CCAACATTAAAAAATATTATTTCAAAAAGATGTTTAAGAAATTGTTTTTAAACTTTTAATTCCGTGTCGTTTTGTAATAATCATTTTTTTCAGAATGTTTCTTAAAAACAAACTTTAATAGACCAACATAATTTTTGCTGAAATTATCTTTTTCCCTATTCATATATCTTAAAATCCTGAGTTCCCTGAATTAAAGGAATCGTAAACAATTAAAAGAAATTGAGTTTTTGCCACAAATTCAAATTTTCTAATCCTTATATCTTGGCAACCTAATGCTGGAAACCTTTGATATTTCAAACTTAGGCTATTTGATCTAACAGCATTCATGGTTTGAAATATCTAACGTCTATGAAATTGGATTGCAAATATATAGGTATTAGAAAATCAGAGTTTGTGACAAAGACTCAATTCCTTTGTCTTTTATTTAATATCCCTAATTAATCATTGTCTTCTTTCTTTCCAAAATTAACTAATTTTTTGGCTATTTTTCGTTTTTTTACTGCTGTAGAAACCCACAAGCTACCTTCTATGATTAACCCAGATTCATGTCCAAAATGGATTCAAAAATCAAGTTGAATTCAGCCTTTAATGTTGATTAAAATAGAACTAAGTTAAACAGAATATCTTAATCAATGAATTACCTTCTCCTTCTGTCTAGTTTGCAGTGCCTCTGTCAAATCAGAGATTGGTGACGATCAAGCGATTAGCTCCGTCCTTGAAAGAGTTCCCGTCTCTGAGATCAACTAAGATCTGGCTCTAAACCTAGACCTATGATACTATTATACAGATGATAAATTAACTTGGATTTCTGAGGAATTCAACGGTTAGAAATCCTGTCCGCCGGAAATAAATTTTGATTGATTGTTTACTGCTAAAACTTGATTAAAAAAATAAGATGGAGCCAAAAAAAAGCACCAGGGGGCAATTCAGGATAGGGTGTGGAGGGTGTTTAAAGGGGCTGCAGAAGTCACTTCTACTTTTACAGTGACATGTTTGATTTACAAGAATGATTGAGATTTTGGTTTATTTCCGAAAATAGATTATTTTTGATTCTGTGTTTTCTGCAGAGAGGATTTTTGAGTAAAAATATTAACAAGCAAGAAGAACAACATATATCTTCACACTTAATTGGCCAGATTTTATTTAAAGGGTACCACTGTGAATTTGTAAATGGGCCCCTCTTGCTTTAAATTTAAAAGAACAGTCCCTTTAAGGTTAAGGAACTTTAGTAGGAGATCATGCAAGGTATGAAGCTGCAGGTTGATGGAACGTCAAGTTAAATATATTGTTATATACATGTTGTCCTGATGAGAAATATTTTCATGTTTTCAAATTCAGAATTAGTTTCGCATTCTACTTTGCCCAATCTCACAATCATCCTCAACGCATCTTTCCAGGCTTTCCTGGCCATAGATCTATCTATCTATCTATCTATTTATATCTATCTATCTATCTATCTATCAATCTATCTTTCTTTCTATTTATCCACTATCTATCTCTATATATGTGTTGGTTGTTATAGGACTTAAATTTAGAAATAGCCAAATATTTCTTATAAAACTATTTAAAAAACTGAGTATATCTACTCTGACTGATTTTAGGGCGGTTTTAATCTGATCAAGTTTTTTGACTAATCATGTTCTATAATAAGGTTTAAACTTGGATTAGGCCGTTCGTATAATTGCATTCTAAATCAGAGTTGAAAACATTAATAATAATACAAGTTTATATTTTTGGATTAAAGCAAAGGATGAGTTGAGTTTTAAATGCTCTAAAATAGATTAGTTTAATAGACGTCATTTGAATAAACTCCAATAAACAAAACTAAATAAAATAATCTGCAGCGTTTATAAGTTTCAGTTGAAGGAACAAGAACTTTTAAACAAACTCAATCTTCTCTAAGGATTTTTGGAAATTTATGTAACTCATTAAATACTTAAATTGGGGGTCATAAAAAAAGGAACTGGGTAACCTATACTAACAGAATATTTTTAATTAACTATTAAAGAATGAACTTGAGCTGGTAAGTTTTGTATTGGAAACTCATAATTCCGATCTCTGGATCCTGATATCCACATTGGGCAATTTTGAATTTTTACGCAGAATTTTATCCCAAAACTGAATCAATCTGCAGATTAACAAAAGATCGAAATCCAGCATTGATACAAGAGTTTCAGCTTTATTCATTAATATTTAAAGAATCTTTAATGCCATGTCCAAATATGGCGAATTAGTGACAAGGTTAATTTTCTAATTTCTATATATTTGCAATCTTTGATATTAGAAATGTTTACTAGTTGATCTAATAGAATTCGTAGTTTGAAAGATGTTCGGTATTTTCCGAAAGGCATTTTCCTAAGGACGACTTACCAATTGACAATCTCCCAAGTGGCAACTTCCCAAATGTGCAATCTCCCAAGCGGCAACTTCCCAAATGTGCAATGTCCCAAGCGGCAACTTTCCAAAAGTTAGGTTAGGCCTTCTGAGGTGCCGCAGGCTGTAATGGGGGGGGGCCGAGCGCTGCGGCTAGAACACACATAGATTCAGCCTCCTTATAAACAGTCTCATCAATTTTTAAGACAGGGCTGACTTTGAAGTGTCGCAACGCCCTGAGCTTTGATTTTACCGCTCTAACTCACTTATGCTTTTCTGTAGCCCTTTACATGTACTTTTTAGCACTGTAAAGCACTTCTTGTTAGATTTGGTTTTTTAGAAGTAATTGGCAAAATTCTCAACGATTTTTGCTTGAGAGCGTGAGACCACTAAATCGCAGTGAACAGGATAGGTGCCGTGCACTGCGGCTAGGATAGATTTCGGAAGTTGCCGCTTGGAACATTGTCACTTGAGAAAAAAACCTTTGCGAAAGTACCCAATATCGTTTAAAATACTAAAGATCTATTACTTCAGATTGCAGGATATCAGGATTATTTAGAGATTGAACTGAGTATTCAGTTCCCTTAAGAAACATGGATTGAATATATTTTAAAATCTCATCTTTTTTGGTTAACCCTGTACAACTGATAATACTGATACTAGAAGTCAAAACAATAATTTAGCGTCTAAACAAAAATAAAACAATTTTGCACGGTCATAAATAAGAAACTATTCTAATTTAATCAAACCAAATCAACATATCTTAAAGAAAAGTTTTATTTGATTTTTAGATAAGTCTAGAACAGAGAAAACTGGAAAATATTTTACAATAATATTTTTTATTTTAAAATCACACATTTGATCATTCAACAAAATAAGAGAACTTGAGCTAAAAACAACATGTGTAGTAATTATACCCTACTCCAGACCAGTATCAATATGAAGCATAAAGTCTGACCGCGTCAACCTTTTTGCACCAGATATTCCTGTCCATAGAGCCAGATACAGTACAAACTGGAACCGGAAAGGTTAACCCGGCTCGGAAATTCAAATGTACTACGGCTGCCCGTGTTATATGAGAGAATGAACATAGGTATGAACTCTGGTTGGGTTCAGATTATGAAAGGGAAAAGAACAAGTTGAAAAAAGGAGGACAAGGGAGATAAAAGGTAACAAAAAAAACTGAGAGAAATGGGAGAGGGCAAATAAAGTTGGGATGGAGGGGGCGCGGGGGTGCAAAATGAAGGGTTGGTTAAGAGAGAGGGAAGGTAGAACAGTAAGAATATATAAAAAGTAAGTAATTACAACTTTTAGTTCAAAATTCTAAACTAAAGAAAGTTGATCTCGCCTCATTATCTCCACTTCTTGAAAATCATCGTTGCACCTCTGAAATAATATTTAACAAACACCATTTATTAATTAATAACAAACCATAAACTGCTCTAGTTAGGATTTCTTTTCACTCTAACCATGCTTTTACTTACATTTTATAGACGTTAAATCTAACTTATTACTGAAGTAGGAAAATAACACGGCATTGCCCGTGACCATAATTATGTGCGGTTCCTAGGGCTGGGTAAAATTCCGTTAATAAACCGGAGGTTTTCGAAAATAAATGGAAGAGTTCGTTAACGGAAGAGTCCGTTAACGAACGGCAAAACCCGTTAATTTTGAAAGTGGTTGAAAACAAAAACAAAGGAGATTTTATTCTTAAAAACGGTGAATTTCGTTTTTTTCTGCTTAAAATTGCATTAAACTTGTTTTTAAAAAAAATATTTTTATTTGTTTGATGTTTTAATTTTTTCTGTACTTTGCGCCTGTAACGATGTTAATACTGTAATAAACCGTTAACAGTGCGTCGTTAACGATTTTAATAACTTAAAACAAAATTTTTCGCTGTTAATTCTGTAAAATAGATGAAATTTTCCGTTAACGCAGTTAAGAAAATTGAGATCATTAACTAACAGAACCTTTCAAAAAAATTAACTAATACCTGAGATTTTATTTTAAAAACAGTTGGAACTAACCTTTAACAAAATGGCTTGATTAAGTTGGTCCGTGCCCAGCCCTAGTGGTTACTCATAAAAAAAAACCAAAGAGAATTGAACATATATTAAATGATGAGTAACTCAGTGGCGAGGTTTAGAGGCCATGAAACCGTCGGACGAAACTACATCTGGAAACTCTGCGAGGAGGTTGGAGATGCACTTAGGAGTGGCGAGAAGGTTGGCTGTGAGAGGAGCAAGCTTGGAATCCGGAGAGGTTGGCAAGACGATGGACGGAGAGGTCGGAGAATCGGCACTGAAAACCCTCTGGTTGGACACATCAAGCAGGAGGTTGTAATGTTTCAGAAAATCTGCACCCAGGATTGGAACGGCTACAGGAGCTGTGTTTCCTGAATCGTAGAGGAATGACTCGAGAACCGGAGCACAAGAGAGAAGAACCATCTGCAGTTAATATTTTTACTCCTGAATCTTCTCCTGAGGATCCTGGATCAGGAAAAACCAATACAGAGGCACCAGAGTCGATGAGGAACCTCCTTGAACTCAGAGAATCCTGTAGATAAATTAGAGGAGATGAGGTAGAAGGCCAGGCAGGAAGGGTACGAACATCCTCCTGCCGGTGAACTAGTTTCCCGACCATGAACATGGAGCTCTACACTTCTTGGCCTTAGATCCCCAGGCATGATGGTAGTAACACAGGGTTGGAGACGATGACCTGTTATCCCAGCTGCCGGAGTATGGAGTTGCTGAACGTTGTGGCCGGTTTGTAGGTGAGGATCTCACAGCATTGACAGAATCCTCCGGGGTGCTGGAAACAGCATAAACAGGAGAGGAGGACACTCTGCTCTGATAGATTTCGTCTGCTTTCAAGGCCAAGGTTATAGGATCGGAAAAATCATCCCTCAGAAGGTGAGCCCGAATGTCGGCGGGCAATCTCTTCAGAAACGCTCCCCGGAGAAAGAAACACGGTTTGTGATCAAGAGGGAGTAGAGCAAGCATATTTGACATGAGCTTGGAAGGTTTCATATCACCTGAGAAAGGGAGGTTAGAAATTGCTTCATACCTTTGATAGTCGTCGAGAGTAAACAACCTCAACAAACGGCTCTTCAAAGCTTCGTAGGGGTCGGAGGACGGGGGAGATTTGATGAGATCCAGAACCTGATTAGCAGTCTCCTGATTGAATGATGAGACGCAATATTAGAACTTGGTTGAACTGGTGGTCACTCCCTTGAGGGCGAACTGAGCCTCCACCTGGACGAACCAGGCCTCCGCAGAATCTGGCCAAAAGGCTGGAACTTTCACAGAAACTGTATTTAATAAATCCAGCGAGCTGGGTTCAGCTTGAACTCGGACATTATCACTGTCCTTAGGCATGATCACTTGAGCGGGTATCTAATTAAAGTCTATATAGTGGCGAGAAAACAGTCTATCAACCTATAGTGTTCGAACTAGGGGTCACCAATTTAGATATGCTCAGATTAACTCCCGTCGATTTTAAATAATTACTTTATTACTAAATATATAACATATTCTTAAATCAAAACATTGAAAATTGTATATAGATGGGTGACGTGGCAGGAAATCCGCTCCTCTTGCCGCGTCTCGATATCCAGCTCCAGACTCTTCAGATTAACTCGTCTTCCGCCACAGCGCCGCCACAAGAGAGGAATTTAGAGAATCTCTCGGTATGAATATTTTCAGGGAGTTCAAAGTAAATGTTCACAAATTATATGCAGTAGAGTACATTAATACAGTATGTTCCCTAGACTATCCATTTCAATTTCAAATTTGTTAAATCTGTTAAATAAACTTTATTAAATAAATTAGGTGAATAAAAAACATCATTTGATTTAAAGTTATAACGGAAAATCATCGTTTGTAAAGTGAAAGGCATAGAGTCTATGTGAAATGATCATTGGTCAATTATGAAACCAGCCTATTTCATAATTTGGTTTTCTTTTAATATTAATTTTAAATTTTCTATAAAATGATATTCCAGGGTTTTATAGCATAAATATGTGAAGTACACCTGCAGTATGGAAACAGTACAACAAAATGGCCGTTTTACACTTTTTTTCTAGTAAATTCCCCTCTAATATATATTCTATTCTCTTTGTATAAAACATAGTTTCCCTATTCCTAAAGAACCGCATTGTCACACTGAAGTATCGCGAAGAACAAAATTGTTTTGAATTTCTAATATGTAACCAAATAAGTTTTCTTCTTTCATAATTTTGCATAAAATCCAAAATAAAGGAGGTCCCACAGTCGTGCTAGTAAAACCAGTTCATATATAAGGTATAAATCAGTGTTACGGTCCTTACAAGTTGCATTCGGTTAAAGCCTGGTACATTGCAGACATATGTTTTAGCACTGCTTATTGTATAAAATTGTTTATCTAGGGATATTCTTTTCTACATCCCATGGGAAATATTACTTCTTCAGTCAGTTCAATTTCGACATAGTAAATTGCACGTAAGATTAAAATATTTTATGTTTTCAATGATAACTCCTATTGAGAAGTATAACCTATAGATTGGTTACTAAATCACAAAGTCGTATATTTGTCTCAGTGCTACATCGGAAACACATACGGTCAATTTGAATTGAACATACTCACGCACAATCACACAAACAACATTTAACATTTAATAATAATAAGAATGTTAATTAAAAATTAATCAATGAAACTGCTAATTAGAACGTTAAACCGTTAAACCTTGAGATAATTTATTAATTATTCCCGAAGATTAAGATGTTAAAGTATGAAATATTAATTGCTTCTAGTAAATACCGAACAATCAACTTAAAGGAACTGGTAACGTTATATTAGGATTTCAGATTCACACTATTTTTGTTTTAATGTATACTATGGATATGGATGAACACAGAACACTATGGATTTGGAAAAACACTAAACACTAAGGATATGTATGAACACAGAACACTATGATTTGGATAAACACTAAACACCAAGGATATGGATGAACACAGAACACTATGGATTTGGATAAACACTAAACACTAAGGATATGGATGAACACTAAACACTATGGATTTGGATAAACACTAAACACTAAGGATATGGATGAACACTAAACACTATTGATTTGGATAAACACTAAACACTAAGGATATGGATGAACACAGAACACTATGGATTTGGATAAACACTAAACACTATGGGTATGGATGAACACTAAACACTATGGATTTGGATAAACACTGAACACTATGGGTATGGATGAACACTGAACACTATGGATATGGCAGAACACAGACAACTATGGATATGGCTGAACACAGAAAACTATGGATATGGCTTAACACAGAACACTATGGATATGGCTGAACACAGAACACTATGGATTTGGATAAACACTGAACACTTTGGATATGGCTGAACACTGAACACTATGGATTTAGATAAACACTAATCACTAAGGATATGTATGAACACAGAACACTATGATTTGGATAAACACTTCACATAAAGGATATGGATGAACACAGAACACTATGGATTTGGATAAACACTAAACACATAGGATATGGATGAACACTGAACACTACGGATTTGGATGAACACTGAACCCTATGGATATGAATGAACACTAAACACTATGGATTTGTATAAACACTGAACACTATGGGTATGGATGAACACTGAACACTATGGATATAGCAGAACACAGAACACTATGGATATGGCTGAATACAGAACACTATGGATATGGATGAACAGTAAACACTATGGATATAGATGAACATTGAAAATTATGAATATTGCCCATTGAACATGCACTATGGATATGGATGAACATTGAACACTCTTGATATCGATGAACACTGAACTCTATGGATATGGATGAACACTGAACATTATGGATATGGATGAACACTGAGCACGATGAACATGAATGAACAAAGAACACTATGGATAAAAATGAAGGGTAAAAAGAAGCCTACTGCTAACACTGCTGATGAACAGATCTTATCCTGTGTTCTCTGATTATCCACATTAGTCTTCTGTATCCGTCTATCTATCTATCTATCTATCTATCTATCTATCTATCTATCTATCTATCTATCTATATATATCTATCTATCTATCTATCTATCTATCTTTCTATCTATCTATCTATCTATCTATTTATCTGTCTGTCTGTCTATCTATCTATCTATCTATCTATATATCTATCTATCTATCTATCTATCTATCTATCTATTTAACTATTTATCAATCTATCTATCTATCTATTTATCTATTTATCAATCTATCTATCTATCTATCTATCTATCTATCTATCTATCTATCTATCTATCTATCTATCTATCTATCTATCTATCTATCTATCTATCTATCTATCTATCTATCTATCTATCTATCTATCTATCTATCTATCTATCTATCTATCTATCTATCTATCTATCTATCTATCTATCTATCTATCTATCTATATATCTATCTATCTATCTATCTATCTATCTATCTATCTATTTATCTATCTATCTATCTATCTATCTATCGATCTATCTATCTATCTATTTATCTATCTATCTATATATCTATTTATCTATCTATATATCTATCTATCTCCCTACCTACTTACCTACCTACCTATACCTGCCTAACTAACTTTCTACCTATCTATTTAACTATCTAATTAAGATAAAATTAGAATAAAAAAATTAAATCGAAAGTCGTCTTCATTGTATTGATAAATATGACGACGACTCTTTATGATAGGAGGACAAATTCAAATACAAATTTACTGAATTAAGTTTTATTTCAAACTTTAAGTTTAAGCCGGAATATTGATTTGTTCAAAATAACAAATTCATGATTTCAAGTTCAAAATTTCCTGAGGGTAAAACTTTTGAATTTAAGTCATGCCTTTAGCGCTTGGATGGTGTCTTTCCCTCTGGACAGTTCAACCACGGCATGCTTTCAGATTCTATCTACCTATCTACACTGTTCAGGGCCAGGGTAAAATTTCAAGATCTGATATTTTTCTGGTGTGCATATTTGATATTTTTCTGGTGTGCATATTTGATGTTTGTACTGTATGAATAGGCCATAATCTCTTAATATCCTTTATCAGTAAACTGTCCTAAGTGTACACTCAGGCTAATATTTACGCAGGGGTAGCTTAGATCCAGCCCCCCTGGAAAGAGCTCATAAAATGTCGTCTTCATAACATTTCAATGGGTTTTATACTATAATTGTTAGGACTTGCAAGAATAAATAAATAGGCATGAATATGCGGGAAGAATTTTAAAGAGCTTCATATGATCATTTAATTGAAGTAGTAATGTTAAAATATTAAAGGAAATGTCGTCCTACTTCAATCTTAACTAACTGGGCCTTCCTGTGTATACCTAACGTCCACTGTATGGGTATTTTCAACATTAGGGAATTATCCACATGTGAACGTTTATTCACTCATTATTAAACGGAACAGTGAACTGCATAGTTAGTTAAATATGTTTTATAATTATTTGATTTTGATTATATTTACTGAATAAAGTCCTGTGCTAAAGTGTGACGTTTTATTTCAACAACTAAATATCTGCAGCATTTTATTCTCCAAAAGTTAAGAATACAACATTTTATAAATTTTTCCGATGTCTCTTTATATTTGAATTTTAGCTGACCATTAACAAATGGATAGGATAAATTCTACATATGCCCACCCTGCTCAGTGCTATACAGTTGTGTATTGATGGATAGTTTTTTTCTCATTACCAATCCCTGCTAGAGTCTCATCACAACTGATTAGAGCTGACATCCATAATGTTTGGCATGACCGCCAATTCAGATTTCACGGGTTTTCAGGCTGACCTGTTCTATTTTTATTTTCTACCAAATGTCTTTATATACTTTGCTTGTCTGTTTTTCTGTCTGTTTGTATCCAATAAACGTCAAAACGGCTAAACCAATCAGGCCCAAATTTTGTGTGGGACTTTACATGTCCCCAGGAAAGGTTAATGGATGATTAAAATTTTCAAAAAAATTTTCTAACAAAATTCGATTTTAGAAAAAATTTTAAATCGACGAAATTTTCTTTTATAAGATCCGCAAAATTTTTGTTGGTTTTCGTTTTACAATTTATACAAAGAGAAAATGTTCACAATTGACATCTAGTCTAGTATCATACATTTTACCTAAATTTATTAAAAAATAAATTATTATGTTTATTAACAAAAAGAAGCAGTAGATACTTGAAATAGATTTGATAACTTTATGCAATTTCTACGAGCTCACAGCAGTAAATTCCATGAACAGAGTCTCCAGGGCAATCCTTGTTTTCTCCAGATCCACAGCTAGAAACAAGAGAAATGTTTATACAATACTTTTAGATCTTGGAAATCTTGTATTGTGGATATCAAGATCAATGCGTCATCTCAATCTTTGGTTATCTTTATTTGATATCCTACATGGTAATTTTACCCAGTCAGTGTAGGGATAGAAGTGAACATTGATCTTGAGAGGAGTTATGGATTTTCAACATAAAAGTTTCTGCAGCTCAGGCAACATTATTTTATTTTAATAGTAAAGGTACAACTCTACTTACATTCCCATGACAGCTTCATCAGCTCTTCCACAAGTTAGTTCCTCACTCCAAACACTTGTATACTTCCAGTCACAAGAACCAGTAGTTCCAACAACTTTTCCTTATTAATATGAATCATCATTAACAGTCTAGGAAGATCCTAGATTTAGTAAAACTATTTCCCATTTTTGGTAAAACTATTTACCATCATATAGGGTATTTAGGCATCTAGAATACCAATGGAGGACTTTATTTAATGACAAATATAAAATTCAATCTTCAAAATGTCATAAAAAAGAGTTTTAGTTGGATCTAATCGGGTAAAATATTTTCATTTCTACCTTCAACATGCCCAACACAGCATTTAGTTTCATGGCTATGTCCATCACAGTCCTTTCCTCCTCCTGATCCGCACAGAGACTCCACAAGATGGTTCTGTCCATTAAGACCAACACAGGAAACTGGTACACCCCAGTCAATGCTGTTGGCTACCTTAAAATGTTTTAAAAATTAGTACTAGATGATATGTTAGATTCCTGCAGCTCTGTTAAAAAGAAAAGACAAAGAGATTGCTCATATCATGGAAAGATGTAACGTAAGAATTCAGCATACCTCACATCCTCCGTAATAAAAGCCATCAAAGGTACAGCACTGAATTGCTGTATAATAACTGCCTACAAATACAAGTCATATGAGCCTTTACAATATAAATAAAATACATTTCTACTTGTTCACAAACTCTGCTTTCAGATACAACATGTGATCAATTAGTTTTGCTAAAAAGAGGTAATAAAGTTAGAAAAACTTGCTTACCAAGGCAGTAACCATCCTTTCCTGAACCACATGCTCCTATGGCTATTTGGTCTCCATCACATCTAAATAGTGCATGTTTAACAATCTTGAATAAGTAATAATGATGTTAACCAATTCAATAACAATAAAGTGTCCTTTGTTAATGAATTAGTTATTCTTCATCTATTTACTGATAAAGTTACAAAAAAGAACAATTGGTCTAATGTAATATGGTAGAAAAAGGGAAAATTTGTGTGTGCTTTGAAACCTTATTGTTTACCATGGTAAAGGACATACATGCAATTTTAAACCTTTCTGAGAATACCCAATTTTACTTACGCAATGAAATCGCCCCAATGAGCTCCTCTCCAGTCACAGTTATCTCTAGGGATCTCAATACCAGCATTCACCAATCCTGGATTGTGATTAATAATGCTGAAGGGCAAAACGTTAGCATGCAATGAAATAGCCTTGACATGAAATCCCTGACATCTGCAGTAGAAAGTTTAAGTTTGCATCATGTGACCTCTCAATGACCAAGAGCAGATATTTAAGGCTGATTTGTCTGATCATGAAAGAAATCTAAATAAAATAATCAGACTACTAAATACCTGAAGATATTAAAAGTAAAAAACTAGATAAACTTTGGAGTTTCTTGTAGAAAATTTTTTTTTAAAAATGTGATATACGGTACATACCAAAGAATAAGACAAACAGACAATATGCAGTCATATTTTTTCTAAAGAAAATAATAAAAAGATGAAATTTCTCCTCTCGATTAAAAAGTTAAAACTGAGCAGAATGATAAGGAAACTCTTCAAGCAGATAAATAAAAAAACAAACAGTTTAAACTTATCAAAACTCTACATTACACAACTCAGTATTTGTTTCAATGACAACAGTTTTATCATCAAACTATGAATACACCTGAATTTAATTTCTAATGAATTGTTCCTGTGTCTAACCACTTTTAAATCCGCTTGCAATCAAACAAATTCAGTTTCATGAGTGTATATTTTATAAATTTTTTTTGGCAAATCATTTATGCTTTACTACATTTTGTTGCCAAGCTTTTAAATGACTTTGATCTGTAAAAATGTTCTAATTATAAACATAAAAGAAGGTGTTTACTACAGTGGAAAAAAATATTTTTTTTAATTTGATCCTTGAAGATTATTATCCTTTAACAACTCCTTTTTTCCCATTTATTGTTAAGTATTTGATCTCATAACCATGCAAACATTTAGTCTCTGGCATGTTATAGCCAGATTCGTTTTACAGAAACTTTTAATGTGTTAGACTTTTAAAAGGTTCCAACATTATAAAACTTTATTCTGTAGAAGTTTGCTTTTATCAAACATCGAAATTTGATACCCTAGAAGAAAACATGATCAAAAACGATCATTTTAAAATTATCGTTTTTTGTTTATTTTTGTCTTATTTTTTCACCTAGGTTAACAAATTTGAATGTTCGATAAAAGCAAACTTCTAGAGAATACACATTGAAATTGTTAGACTCATCTCAGATTGTTGTAAAACCTGCTAAAATACAGTGAAACCCTTAATAACGAATACATCGAAAGAATTTATCAAATGTCGTATTCTTCACTTTCTAATAATGGAATGTTGCAGATATTTAGTTTTTTAAATCTTTAAATTTAAATATAAATTCAGGAACAAATATTTGTTTGCAAGAATCAAAATCAACAATTTTTGTAAAAAATACAACTAATTTTTCTTGATTGTACTGTGATATGTAATATTAATCTATTGTGCAATGTACAAGGTTACCCACAAAGATTGAGAATGCAGATACAACTATAAAAAAAGTTTTTTCCTGATTTCCTGAAGCTATAAACATTTTTTATCAACTGATATGATATGTAACTTAATTAAAGACTTTTTCCAAGAATCCAATTCAACCTTTTTATTGCATTTAGAGTTTTAGGTCCTAATTAAAGTCTCTTCCTTTTAAGGTGACCATGTTTAGTGTTTATCTATTGATTTATATCAATTTTAAGACAATTCTTTTTCAATTTAGTTCTTACCTTTTTTCTATAATCCGGCTTTAGAAGCTCAAGAACAGATTTGAGATCAATGATGGATGACATGTTAATGGTACGGAAGCTCTTTCTTGAATGAGAAGTTTCTGAATTTCTATACGACTTTTGCGAAGTTTTCACAAAAATATTGAGAAATTTAGAAACCCTATTACTATTTTTAGAAATCATTAAATTTGCTTATTAAATATTTTTCCATATGCATTAGTAAGAAATAAGAGAATTAAAATCATGTTTGATAGTTTTATTGATTTCATTATTATTTTATCCCCCACGGTTGGTTATTTCGTTGAACAGGAGATTAAACGATAAATTTCTACTTAATCGGGAGTTTTCATGAGGATAAATAAATTGAGGGGAAAACCACTTAGCCGAGGGCCTCCAAGACCTTTTTGGGGTTCTAAACCTCAATTTAATTATCCTCCCTTGATCTCCTGGTTAAGTAGTAATTAATAGTTATAATCTGTAAAAATTGTCTAATAATAAACATAAAAGAAGGTGTTTACTACAGTGAAACAAATATTTTTTTAAATTTGATCCTTGAAGATTATTATTCTCTTTTTTATAACTCATTTTTTCCCATTTATTGTTAAGTCTTTGATCTCATAACCATTCAAACATTTAGTCTCTGACATGTTATAGCCAAATTCGTTTTACAGAAATTTTTAATGTTTTTAGACTTTTTAAAGGTTTTACGACAATATGAGAAGGTTCCAACATTTTAAAACTTTATTCTGTAGAAGTTTGCTTTATAAAACATTTGTTACCCCAGAAGAAAACATGATCAAAAACGATCATTTTAAAATTATCGCTTTTTGTTTATTTTTGCCTTATTTTTTCACCTAGGTTAACAAATTTGAATGTTTGAGAAAAGCAAACTTCTAGAGAATACACATTGAAATTGTTAGACTCTTCTCAGATTGTCGTAAAACCTGTTAAAATACTAAAATATTAAAAGTTTCTGTAAAACGAATCTAGCTATTGCTTATTGCTACAGACTATACCGATTTTGAACACCAAAAGTCCAGAATTTTTTTCCTGACATCTCGGACACTAACCATATCGTGGTTTAAATGTTTCTTGGGAATTTGGTTGAAAAAAAAAAAAAATTTCTACCTGAAAAATATTGTTCATTTTACAGAAACAATGCCATAGGAATGATATTTAATAAAAATTGAATAATTAACTATTATGTTTATTAACAAGAACAAGGATTACAAGTAGATACTTGAAATAGATTTGATAACTTTATGCAATTTCCACCAGCTCACAGCAGTAAATTCCATGAACAGATTCTCCAGGGCAATCCTTGTTTTCTCCAGATCCACAGCTAGAAACAATCAAATTTTAAATCTTTCTAATAATAAAAAAAGTGGGATACTTACATTCCCATGACAGCTTCATCGGCTCTTCCACAAGATATTTCCTCACTCCAAACACTTGTATACTTCCAGTCACAAGACCCAGTAGTACCAACAACCTTTCCTGAAAAGTAGGAGGTGTTGGAACAAGAATAATAACAAATAATAAGAAGTCATATAGATGTATAGTATAATATGTACAAAAAGGATGATAATTCAGAAAAAAAAATAATTCAGAGACAACTGTATGGAAAATATTCAGCCATTTTTCTGTGATTCATGTATATTTGCAGCTGTTAACTTGATTCATTTCTTTGCAAAATCATTTAATCCTAGATAATTTATGCTAGATAATTCATTTCGTCTTCACCAGCTTAAATTGAAAATATTAATTTAGTCTGTACTAGCCAAATAGATTCTAGTATACAATAGATGCAGCAAAGTTTTCAGCTTTATAGTCTGCATAAACTATTGTAACAAATTCAAGAAAACACGAAGACGATTACTACTGTGTAGCGAAGTTGACCGCACAAGATTTACAATACATAAAACTATATCCGCTCCAAATGTGTCTCCTCATGTCCCCCCCTTTACCGCTTCTACTCGTGGAGAACAGCGTCAGTTAGCTTTAGAACTTCGAGATGTGAACACCTCCGATCAGGAACTACTAACTCCTTCATACTGCTGCAGATGCCTACTCTAGCAACGAATGCTGCTAATGTCTAAGCCTCCAGATGTCCAAATCCACAAATCCACAAATCGCATGTCCTGTGGTATGAGAGGCAAATCGTTCCTCCCCACACATGTTACAGACTGCAAACCCTTCAGGACCGTCGCCTAGATGTGAACCCTTTGCTGCCAAGATGCTGACACCTGCAAGCTGACCATCATGAAGCTCCAACTGTTCCATTCCTTTCAACACTAATAATCAATGTTATTTCATTTTCAACCGTTTGGATAACCCCTTTTTAAGGGTCACTATTTTAAAACAAATTTGATTTTATTATTCAATAAAGTTAAGGAATATCCCTTTTGTTCTTTTATTTGTGTCAACAACTATCTATTCTAAGGTATCTATGCATCTAGAATACCGATGAAGGACTTTATCTAATGACGAATATCAAATTCAACCTAATCAAAATGTCATAATAAAAAAGATTTAGGTGGATGTTAAGGCTAATCGGGTAAAATATTTTCATTTCTACCTTCAACATGCCCAACACAGCATTTGGCTTCATGGCTATGTCCATTGCAATCAAGTCCTTCTCCTGATCCGCACAGAGACTCTACAAGATGGTTCTGTCCATTTAGCCCAACACAAGAAACTGGAACTCCATAATCACTGCTGGATGCAATCTGAAAGAAAAGAAGGTTTCCAAGTTATTTTTTAAAAATTCTTTCGTTGTCTCCAAAGTTCTGGGTTAACGATATATTTTGATATTAAAATTATGAAATAAAACATTACCTCACATCCTCCAAAGTAGAATCCCTCAAAAGTACAGCACTGGATTGCGGTGAAATAGCTATCTGAAAAAGTAGAAAAAATATTTAGTCAGAGTCAGACTTTAATAAATTTGAGCCGTGTCTCAAATCCACCAAAAACCTAGTTCAATTAAGCACCGGCTTAAATCTTGAAAAATTGAACATAATTTTAAGAGGAACCAGTTATATTTCAACCATGTCTCAAATTGAAAGCTATGGCTCAAATTCTTTAAATTTGGCCTCTGATTAGCGTGCACAATTTTACTAGTTCAATCTATACTGCAAATTGTTTATTTAGGTTTGTCCCCGCCCAATATCATTTTGATCTTGCTGTGAGAAAGAAAGTTCTTTAAGATATCAATTTTGAAGAATTATTCCCTGATGAAAACCTTAAACCTTTTAGCTATAAGTCCTATCAATATACTATTTGCCCATATGGATATAGCGCCTTTCTGTTTGGGTTGATTTACAAAATGCTTTATGTACACTGTTTAAAATATACTTAATCAACCTACCACCCGTCAGATGAAAGTATATGCATTCTCACCAGTGCTGTGCAAAGTAGCGCCAGACCCTTTCAGATCGGACTTAAAAAGGTTTAGTGGCTACTCTGCATAGCACTTGTGAGAATGCATATAGCATTATTTACTGGTGCTTTGCTGAGCAAGTATATTTTAAACAAGACCAACTGGATGGATTTAGAATTTCTTTTAACTGCAATATAGTAAGACCAATAAAATTCAAAAATTGTTGCATGCAATTGCAATTCAGACATTCTTGTGTTTTAAAAAAAATAGTTCTAGACCACCAGGTTTATTTTTGCTCTAACCACAAGCAAACTTGCAAAAAATTGCTTTCTATGGAAACCCAGTACTTAAATCTGGACGTGCTTACCTAGGCAGTATCAATCTTGTCCTGAACCACAAGCTCCAACAGCTATTTGATCTCCATCACAACTGTAATAAAAGCACATATGATATGCTTGCTTGCTTAAGTGATTAAAGGTTTATCCATGATTTTGATGGAAGTAATTGTAATTGTAATTTCAAGTGACCCTTCATGAAAAGATGGCAATGCTTGATTCAAAACAACACCTCTGAAACCTTTTCTGGTCAATAACGTGAAAGATATTGTCGTTTTTAAAGTTTTAAACTTGTTTAATTCTGACAGCTCCTCGCAAATCATATTTCTACAGAACGCACAGATGATAATAATCAATCTTCCAAATTGGTTTCTAATTCATACTTGATTAGAAAACGTTTTTAAAGGTACCATTGTACATCGGGCATTGCCATCTTTGCATGGAGGATCTTCTAAAGTTACACTTACAGTTCTTTTAAGCAGAAATTGACACGTTATAAACAGGGAAGGAGTCTTATACTTACGCAACAAAGTCCCCCCACTGAGCTCCTCTTCACTCGCAGTTATCCATAGGGATCTCAATGCCGGCTTTCACCAATCCTGGATTCCATTTAGATCAATAAGTTTTAGAATGATGATATATAAATCCAGGGTTAACCACATACGATGAAACTTCAGAAACGAGTACGACTGTACGGAATTTGTTCGGTCTTTTTCCATGATTCTTTGAAACTGTAAACCTCTTCCTTTCTTCGCCAAACCATTAAATTAACCACACAAACACCAAATCCTTGAGGCATAAGACTTAATTTTAACTTGGGATGGTCATATTTGTAGAGTTTCAAGTCTTTACATTCTCATTCTTGTGAGAACATAACATTTTCAAGTATAATTTTATGTTAAAGTGTATTGTAGGAACAATACATACCAAAAATAAGAACATAAAGATAAAATAGAGTCATATTTTTTCTGATGAAAAAATTGAATGAAAAAAACTGAATCTGCCCCCATTTATATATACTATAGAAACTGTACGAAATGATAAGAAAGTTGTCCAGAGGGTGAAATACAATTTTTTGTATGTACTAATAAACTTCCATAGATTTACCTTACACTCATTTACTTTAAAATCACAAAAATAATTTTTAACTAGAATTTTTCAAACCCCCCATTAGAATTTGTACCTTACAAGTTACATTTCATTTGAACTGAAAGTAAACAAATATATATCTTTAGCCAGGGGATATACAGGGTGTCCAATGAAACTTGACAGATAAAAGACAACATAAAGATCGTTTTGGAAATAATTTGCGGCATATTTTCAAATAAAAATTTTAGATGGTAATCACAAAATAACCTTATAGTATACTATAGTATTTCATAATTGTAGTCTGCCTTTTTGAGCTTTCCAAATTTACGGAGATATGAAAAGTTTCGTTTAGATTTGGACAATTTTGGGATTATTTATCATTTAGTAAACTAAAATCTCAACTAAATTCTTTGAATCTCCAGTAATATTGAAAACAAAACAAAATACTCGAGAATAATGGTTTAAGTAGGAAAATTTGTTGCTTATTATTTGAAGAAAAATATAATTATAGTGATAACTAGAAAACGACGGAATAGAAGGACGACATTATTTCAATAGTATGAGTATTTGATGTTGATACAAAGCAAATAGTTTACTAGACACTTATCATCAAATCACTAATTTACTGAAATGGGTATGTCTACATTACACATTTGCTTTGTCTCTTGCTTATAAAACTTTTTAATGTAATAACTTGATTCTCAAAGTTGTCTTCCTATTCCGAGTTTTCTGGTTATCACTGTATAAAATATATGCTAAAGATGGTTGACGAATGATTACAGAAAATTATTGAAAATATAAAATACGATCTTAAAGCTGCCTCTCAGCGTCATGTTTCATGGGACACACCCCCTGCTGTACTTACTAAAAATTCTTTAGATAGTAATAAGTTAATTGATTTAACTTTGGTAATCGTTGTATTACGATAAAGTATAAATGCAACACAGATTACTTAAAATAATGTTTAAAAGTTTTTAATTCGACTTCTTCACCGAATGCGGAATGCTTTTTAAAAAATCTTTAAATCTTTTCTCAACAATTTTATCAAAATTTTTGCTTTGCCTTTTTAAATATATATTTTGCATGAGTTGACTCTTATATTCTTTCGTATTTTTTTCATAATTTTTTGGGCAATTCAGTCTTTGTGAGTTTCGCATCAATCATTCCTCAGTAACTCAAAGAAAATTGAAGAGCTAACTTTGATCGTTTTGGTGCTAGGAAGAGTGCTGTTTTTATCGGAGTATTTTCAATAATGTTTTGATATCTTATTTAAAATCCAACAAAAAAGCAAAAGATAATTTATATTCTTAAACTAGCTGAATGCCCTATAACACCCCCTGGCCACCCATAAGTGGTCGGCTGCAGTCAAAATATATCAAAATTAAAGTCTTGTTTTATTATTTAGATATTCAATATATCTGCATATAGTCCAATAAAATAATACAAAATAGCAAAAACAATATAATCTGCAATTTTTGGTTAAAATGAGTTTTTAAATTAAGACTCACTGCAAATTTTAGCTGGAAAATCTAGTTTACCGTGAACGGAGCCCTTAATCGGATAAATATCAAGGAAGATAATGTTGTTTTTCTTGTCATGAAAATTATCAGGCTCGCCAACTTTATTGTAATGTAACTTTTATAACAAAACGAGCAATTGTCCAATTCGTTAGACATTTTCTATCTATGATTTAGCTGAGACTCCCTCGCCTAGGAAATCGCAGCTAAATCACAGCTAAAAAATGTTTACCGAATCGGATAAATAACAATAAAACAGCAGAAGTCATGATTTTTGCGTTTCAAAACAATAATTCATGTGAACATTATTTATCCAATAGATTCTAATCAATATTATTTTAAATATTTTTTGGGTTTCCTGCTAAAATAGTAAATAATAAAATTATCCCTTCCAAAAAGATTCTAGTACAATAGATGGCAACGTAGAATTTGAACTCTCAATACAGCTGTATTCTTAAGTCACAAGTGTCAACTTATTTTTTTGTCCGACAAAATTATTAATAATAGTGATAATTTTAAAATAAAGTGATTATCTTACAGTAAAATAAGTGCAATTTTATGTGTTCTTTATTTTCAGTTTTTACACATTTTTATTTAATCTTATCCTGGAACACATGGCAATGTGATAAAATTTCGTTCAGCTTGTTATATTTGACACTTGTGTCGGCATGTCCATTTCTCCATTGCCACCTACTGTACTTAGACTATTTGACCCCTTCTTCATCATGTTTCTGTGGTGTACTGTACTCATGGATCAACTATAGGATAAATTGTCGGCGCGGTACGCCCTGTCTAAGTAGCCTGACTCAGATTTACTAATCATACAGCTGTATATACGTGTATAAATTAAGATAATCAATCAATCTTCCTGTAGGAATTAGGGTTATCATAGATGTTGTGCACACTATTTCTGTAAAATCAGCTGTTCACAGTGGGTTTATTTATAGTGCTTAGACCAACTATCATGTTGTGTTTTTAACATAAAATTTATGAATTACAGTGGTTTTACTAAAATAATTCACATTAACAATAATTTTTACTATTCATTAGGGCTCACGTTAAGACATATTTGACACTATATTTAGTGATTTAAGTTTCTTGGTATATTCCTAGAGAACGATTTTTGGACCCCCACCCCTGCAGCCCCCCTTGACCCTCCTATCAATTTTGTACATGGATCTTACAGAAAGTTTCTTAACTTAACCTAACCCGTGGCCGCAGCGCTCGGCCCAGAAAGTGTCTTAATTCTAACCTAACCCGGCCGCAGCGCTCGACCCAGAAAGTGCCTTAACCTATCGTTTACTAGGACAGACCCAGTTTCTTTTTCTGGACATTTTTGTTCAATATACATAAATATAAANCTCCCCCACCCAAGATTTTATAAATTCCTAAAACATTTCAAATGTAATTTTTTGCAAGATTTGAATGTTTTCATATTACTCCAAAGAAAATGAAAAGCGGAATCAGATCCAATAAAATATAAATATGAGAACAATGCTAGGTTTAAGATAAAAATTCCGAAATATGGTTTAACTGAAAGAAGCCCTTACACAAGCTAACAATCACATAAAAACGCTGAACTACAATGAGAACCAAATTAATTTGCAGTAGTGCAGTGTTAAGTCCCCTTTAACTTAATATGTGATTTAATAGGTCATTAGTATGAATATTTGCTTTTAATTAACATAAATTCATTTTAGTACTGCTAATAAATGTCGTCTTCCTATTCTACAGGTTTAGGCTTCTTAACAAATTTTGCTCAATTTCCTCGTACCTCTAGTTCTCATTACTCACACACTTGCCCAACCAAAACAAAAACGAGAAATCAAGATGAAAAACATCATTTTATTATGAATATAACGACAAAAATACAAATAAATTATCAACTGATTTGTGAATAATATTCAAATGCACTTTTTATGTAGTTAACAACTTTTTGTTGCGAGGAGAAGATAATATCAGAAAACGATCTTTTGATAGATCATGATATTCACGATTTCAACCCTGATGATAACTGTAATACCGGACAATTTTTGCGCCAAAAATAGGTTCTAAACGCACGTCACAAATTATCCAATGGATGTTCAATGATATTTTTGTGAAATTAGGGATTAAATGAGTTGAAAAATTGAAAATGAGACCAGAGCGTCATGAATTCACAAAAACAATAAACTGAGAGGGTTGAGATGAACTGGATACAGCAGCAGCAGCATCGGTTTGGTTTGGTTTAGATTGCCAACATGGCGAAGTTTAACAGAGGATTTCAGGTTCACCAGATCAGAGAATCAGTTCCTAAAAAAAACATACAACATGAATAAAAACCTAGAAACCCCATAGTTTCAGTAAAATAAAAAATCCAAAATAAGACCCAAGGTTATAATGCAAGGAAAGTTATTACAGAGGTGTACGCATCTTTCGTACTGCAGTGTACTGTCTCCGGGCGAAAATGTAAACGAAGCCTGACATGGGATCCATCTTTCTCGTAAAAAATCAATGAAAAATTCTGGTCATAAGAAACTATTGTGAGAGTTGTCAAAATTGTCAAACTTTAATTCTTTTAACCTCCTCGGATACTAAACGAAAACTAATGCATCTATTCTTTTCGCCAAGAGAGAACCGGTTTCAATATGTACGCAGAGTATACGCATTTGCAATTAACTTTCCCTGCATTATAACCTTGATAACACCCGGGTCTCAGAATCAAAATTCTGTGAAAAAAAACTTTTCTGATATTTGATGACTATTCATAATCAGATAAAAACAATTAATTTTTAGGTGATTGATGACAATAGCTTTATAGATTGTAACAGTTAATGATTATGAAAATTAATATTTAGAGTAAAGAATTCATAGATTTTTAAATTCCGGTTGGTATTGATTTTGTTATTTAATAAGGTTATTAGTTTGCCTTTATTTTCTTTATGGTTCAGAATTTGGCACACTGTAAGAAGGGTTTCCAAAATTTGCTATTTTCTCTTTTACACTGCAAAATTTTGACCCTGGCAGACATTATAGGTAGACAACGAACCATAACAACTTCCATTTTGGATAAAAATATTCTAAAGTTTAATAAAAGCAAACTTTAACAAAACAGTTTTGAAATCTTGGAAGTTGTTAAAACCGAACCCTTATGAAAACAATACCTGCGGGGGGACATGGATCTGTATGAGGGAGACCGTCTACGTCTTCTCTCTGGGGTTCTGGATCGGGATCTACAAAAAAAGGTTTAAATAATCATTACAATTCATTTGACGTTAATAAAAATAGTATCTAAATTAAAGACTTTATGTCAACCATCGCATCATGAACAGATTTTAAAAGGCTTTTCTTAAAAGCTGAGAAAATAACGATCTAAAACCCTTCACATATAAGAATTTAATCTGTTTAATTAATAATGCTTTTTTAAAAACAGAGTAAAAGAATATTTGGCGCATATTGATTGTACAAACCGTGTGCGTTCATTATTATTTTGGATAATTTTTGTCCTTCTAAAATGCGTAGGTATCTTAAAAGAACTCTGAACCTTTGTTTATTATTTAATTTCTCAATTTAAACATCCAAATTTAGAGCTGTGGACTTTTCAACACTATGTGGGACATTCCGAAATAAAAGTACTGATATTTAATATAAATAAAAATTAATAAAAAATAGTTATCAATAAAAAATAAATGATACCTGGATTTGTACCTCTCTCGTCTGTCACGTCCTCCCCTGTCTCCACCTCTATCTCCGTCACGTCCTCCCCGTCCTCCATCACGCCCTCGACCTCCTCGGTCAGGTTTACTCATCTCCACCTTTACCCTGCAAAAGCATAAACATTGGTAACTGTAAAATTATCTAAAAAATAATCATTTTAGAAAGTTTTTTCATTGGTTTAAACTTCTGGAATATTATGAATGTTAATAACTGTCCACACTTTAAATTATATCAAAATTAATTAAGTCTCATTCCATTGCCGTTTCACAAAGTTGACCTTTGAAACTGTACTTGAGCAGCAATGAAGTTTTTGAATGATGGGCTTCGTTTTAATTCAAAAATCGAAGAACCACGGTGAGAGAGAAACCACAACAAAATTATCAATTTTTAGAAAGAAAAACAAGGGGACATCGGACATGTATTGTAGCTCTACAGAGGGTCAGTACATGTAAAGTCGAATGTCCCTTAAAAAAATAAATATGGTTATTTTAACTCAAATTTTTTATTTTTACCTTCCACCGCAAATTCTAGTACCATCCAGTTCCTTCACGCAGTCTAGGGCATCCCTTAACATTGAACAAAACATCATTTTATAAAATATAAATTTTTAAATTACAAAGAAACATAATCTTATTAAAAACTAAAACAATTCATTTTAAGTTATTGCTTACTTTCCAAACTTATCTTACCCCATAATATTCAATTGAAAAAAGGAATTAAATTAGCAAAATGTAGTTTGAAAAATCAGATAGACAATATTAGGTAGCAAAGATTTGATGATAACCGGCTTGAGGAAATAACACTGGGATCCAGAAAACTGTGGAATAGGAAGTCGACTGTTGTACTTAAATCATGCTTTTAAAAAGTCCAGCGGACATGAAACACCGCAATTCAGCGGTATACACTACACTAGTCTACACTAGTACACAGACCAATTTCACTAAGTAGGTTGATTCGGATCATTTGATCCGCAACATTTTTGGCTTGATAGATCAGAAGTTGCAAAAATGTGCGGATCCCAAGGGAACAATATCAACAAAACGGTTAAAAGAATCTGTTTGTTCTCAGTCCCCAAACTTCAACTGTAAATCTTAATGAAATGTTAATGACTAGGACCCGGATCCATTCTTTCAGTGCGGATCCAAAAAATTAAATGTATCCTAAGCAATGGTTTTTACCTGGGATCTTCCATCTCCACAAACCCAAATCCAGGAGGACGTCTAGCTACCCACACGTTAACAACCTGCAGGGAAAACAAATAAAAAAAAAGTTTATCGTTTCTAAATATTTCTAAAAACAGAAATTTAATTTCCTTTGAAAATTTACTTCTTTACAAATAGTAATAATTTTTCTCAGCGGTTAAATCAAACTAACTAACCACATACTTTTTGATACCCTCAAATTCTCAATTTTAAACAGTAGGAACTTTCAGGCGAATTCGTGATGTAAAATTGCTGGATTAAGTAGATTTGCTTATGCTCTTTGCAAAGTCATTTTTTGGCTACATTCACAAAGAAAGTGTCCTTTTTATTTTTCGACATTTATCCACTGTGAAACAATCTACAATAGAGGCAGAGTACTGCGGTTAGGACAGGCCAAAACAGAGAAAATAAAAATGCCTTTACTCAGTTGAATTTCCTAAAGGACTTATAACTTTACAATTTTAGTACATCCTCAATAAAAGAGTTGCATACCCGATTCACATTGGTACCTTTTCAATTTAATAAATGAAACATTTCGTTGATTAGCTAAGTCTTAAATTCTCTCGTTTTGTATAAATCTGCAAGTCACTTTTATTTCAAAGTACTTATATGAACAATAATTTTTGCTCAGAAAATCGAAAGGGTACCTGTGTGAATCAGACATGTCTCTCTTACAATGGGGGGGGGGACACTTAAAAAAATTAATTTAAAGGGTATGTAGAACTACCTTTCCAATTTTAGAGAATGCATCTTCTAGATCATATCTATTTGCTTCCTCCTTCAATCCTCCGACATAAACCTTGCATTCAGGATTCCAAGCGTGGTGAGCCATGATGATGTTTAATCTGTCCTCTGAAATATATATGTATAAAGCATGCGCAGAAAAACCTGACGCATCTTGGAAAAAAAAGAACATTTTTGCGTACTGAAGAAATATCAAGAGGACCCGTTGTGCGAGGCACAAGGTTGAAAAAAAAAATTAAATTTGACATTTTGAGTAAATACGCTTGGCTTTAGGATTAAATGTCACACCTGAGATGCGAAGGGGTTGAAAAATGTCGACAAGAAGTGAAGTGTGAAGTTTAAAGTTGTCCCGACATGTCGAGGGTTAAAGTTGAGGCGACATGCAGACGTAAGTAGAGCCGACATGTCGATGTTTAAAGTTGCCATGAGCGACATGTCGCGGCGGGTAAGTAGACCGACGTCGACATGTCGAAGATCAATTGAAGGCGACAAGTTGAAGGTTTAAAGATGACCCCGACATGTCAAACTTAAAAGAACGACATGCCGGTTGTTGAAGAATTAGTGGGGTGAGCTTAAAATTTCGAAGAGATGAGACGATTGCAGTATCGTAGCGAAGTCGACTGGGGACGAATTGTTGACAAGGTGAAAATACATGAATGCAGTACAGTACAGTTTACATGGTGAAGTACACCTAGCCGGGCTGAAACTAAACATAAACATTATAACAGGATGTAGGAATGAACTATTATGATCTTGATCTCGATCTAGATTCTCTCTTGAAGCTTGAATCTCCTCCAGCTCGTGAACTGCTTCCTTTCCTGTCCCGAGATGTGCTCCTCCTTCTAGAAAAATAATTAATATATTTTCTTGAAACACCATTCCCCCCATCCTTACCCCATTTCCTTTTGATATTAACCCCCCCCCCCCATGTCTTTAGAACTTTATTCACTGAATTTGGAATGATTTGTAAGAGCCAAAATTTAAAAAGAATCAAAGGATGAAAAATCTTGCCTTTCGACGTCCAGTGTTTTATTTCTAGGAGGGTGGGGGATATTAATAACACATTTACTCACTAAAAACTGTACATGTAATATCAAATACAATATCTTAAATATGGTTACTACTTATTAAAGAGTTTACCCACTGAATTAAAGAAATTGAATAATTTCCGGGGCAAAATTATTATAAAGTATCAGTGAAGAAAAAACTTACCTTTTGATATCCAATTCCCCCCCCCATTCACTAAGAATCCATTATTTATTTTAAACCCCTTGCGTGTACCTTGGATCAGGGGATGAACTCTTCCTCCTTCTCTCCCTAGAAGGACTTCTTCGTCCCCTAGTGTAGGATGGACTCCTCCTCCCTCTAGAGTATGAAGGACTCCTTCTCCCCCTGCTGTAGGATGGACTCCTACGTCCTCCTTTGCGGCCTCCGCTCCGAGACCTGGATAGCAGAAAATATCAACGGACTGAGCATTTAGAAGCCAAAGAGAGATGGTAAAATAAGAGTCGGCTGTTTTCCATTGATAAATATCTTACTAATTTCAAATTTGAAGTTTTAACCCAAATAGTAAGTGTAGATAAGCGCCATTTTATTTTCAAGTTTCAACCTCTTGTCAGATAAACTACCATTTTGGAAAGAAAGATTGAACAACAAGGTATTAAATAACAAATTAACGTTTAAAAATCAATGAACTCTGGTAAATGAATAACAAGTGTTTGAATGCAAATTCAGTTGATTGAATTAACCCTCACCTTATGATTAATATCTTTGTCTTGTATAGATATAATCATTATACTAAGACCTTTACATCAAGTGTAAAATCATTCCTTCATTATTTTGAAAATTAACACAGAATCGACGGTGAGAAATATAACAAAGAGATCACTTGTCCCCTACTCCCCCTCTGTCATTAATTACCTGCTTCTGCCACCTCTGCTTCCGCCACCACCCTTTCCTCGTCTTTTACCGGGCTCACTCATCTCAACTCTCACCCTAATTCAAACATTCTTTACAAACTTTTAATAAACATTCAACAAACGCTTTTTAAAACATTCTGTTTCAAACTTTCTGTACAACACTTCTTCTTTTCTAACATTCTGCTTCAAACTTTCTGTATAACACATTCTTTTAAAACTTTTAACAAACATTCCATAAACACATTCTCTTCAAACATTCTGTTTCAAACTTTCTGTACAACACATTCCGTTTCATAATTTTTGTTTAACACATTCTTTTCAAACATTTAGTTTCCAACATTTTCTTTTTAACATTCTTTTCATGCATTTTGTTTCATCATTCTGTTTCAACATTCTGTTTCAACATTCTGTTTCAACATTCTGTTTCAACATTCTGTTTCAACATTCTGTTTCAACATTCTGTTTCAACATTCTGTTTCAACATTGTGTTTAAAAAATTCTGTTTGCTTCAACATTCTGTTCCGTTTCAAACTTTCTTTCAAAAATTCTGTTTCAAATGTTTCTATTCAAATATTTTGTTCAATTTCTAATTTTCTGTTTTTAACATTCTGTTCATACATTCTATTTAAACACAAAGCATCCAATTCAAGGAGTATGGAAGAGAACGGAGATACAACTGACGCGGCCCGCCCTACCATATGACTATATATGCTTTGAAAGCGGTACTCTATTTCTATGAGAAATATTTGTTTGGTGTACAATTACCGCGTGTGCAAAAACCTATTTTGAATATTTCTTTTACAAATGGAGTAACGTCTGCAAAGCATGTACATTGTATAATCATATGGTCGGGCGGGCCGCGTCAGTTGTATCTCCCATCTATTTCATACTCCTTGATCCAATTCCAGGGCTCTTAGTGTATTATTTTTAGAATAATATTAAGTTTTGATATTTTTTCTTCACAAATAACGATTCTAAGATAACTAAGATGTTTTTTTAAAGTTGTTGAAGGATTTACAAATTATTTGTTTCATAGACTTCGTTTCTTAATCTTGAAGTTTTTGTCGATCTTAAAAAAGAAAAAAAAAATAATCTCACCTAGCACCGCAGATTCTTGAACCATCAAGACCCCGGGCAGCGTCCTCCGCATCCCTAGGATCTTCCATTTCAACAAACGCGAATCCTGGAGGCTTCCTCGCGACCCAAACATCGCGAACAGGACCGTACTTTACAAATACGTCCTCAATATCGTATCTGTTAGCATCGTCCCGCAGTCCACCGATGAAGATCTTAAATAAAATAATTTTATATTTATTAAAGAGCTAACTATTCTAATTTATAAGTGTTATTTCAATTTTTGAATTATTTTATCTCAGCAAGGAGAGAATAAAACAATTTCCATAACAAATAAATCACAATTTTAAAAAATAATAAAAACTTCTTACATTTTTAGGAAAACAATTACTGAAATCTTAAGACGGAATTGAATACAAGTAATAAATATAGATCAATCTATTGGTCCAAATAAGGTAACTTACTGAGTTCCAAGGTATGATATTATATTTAGTAGTTTAACAACTTCTGCGCTCTCAACCAAAACATAAGTTTGGTTGAGAGCGCAGTTGGTACTATCAGTACAAAGATTAACATAGTGCTTTGGATCCGGATCCGTTGGATTCACAAGATTTGGCTTCCTGGAAACCGGATCCAAACTATCAACCAAAAACTGGATAACAATTTTTTTTACTCTAAACCAAATCTTAACTATTGAAAAAAGATATTATAAAAATTTCGTAATCTCTGAATGGTTCATCAAGTTTTAGCATAAAAATAAGCGAAAAGGATAAAAATAATTTGACAAATTTGCTTTGTTAAATAAATTCAGTAAATCTTGCAAAAATGTTCACAACTTGGATTTGGATCCATTTTGTTCCAGTACGTATCCCTGATCTGGATTTGGATCCGCATCAAAATCAAATGGATCCGAAGCACTGTTAACGTCAATCATTGATTTACCTTGCAAGCCACGTCCCATTCTCTATGGTTTCCCGGCATAATGATCTGAAACAAGTCCAGAGTTAATCCTCAGATATCTTTAATCCATGATAGAGGGGATTTATCTACAGAGTTAATCCTCAGATATCTTTAATCCATGATTAGATGGGATTTATCTACAAGAGTTAATCCTCAGATATCTTTAATCCATGATTAGATTGGATTCATCTATAAGACTTAATCCTCAGATATCTTTAAGCCATGATGAGGGGATTTATCTACAGTTTAACAAGAAAAGCCAAGGGAAAGAAACTCCACGTCCCTAAGCCAAAAATCAAACACAAAGCTTTAAAACAATTGTGAAATACCTTGTTTCATGAAGAAATGAAGGGATGGGGGGCAAGATGCTGATGTTGTGGGAAGTTTTATGAGGTTGAAGCGACGTGAAGGCTATGAGGGTAACTTTTTGATGGGAAAATGAGGCTGATGTTATCAGTAAGAAGAAGAAGAAGGAAGAAAACACAAAAAATGAAGGAAGTTTTATAAGGCCATTTAAAAAAAAACATTTATAACAAGGATGTAAAGTCTAGGTTGAAGACTAAAGGAAGATGTTGTTAGGTATTGGTAGACGTTGTCTAGCTGTTGTAGACTTAGGGTAGATGTTGCCAATGCCAATGTTTCAAGCTGTGGTAGACTTTAGGTAGATGTTGTCTTAATTGTGGTAGACATAGGGGAGTAGGGTAGTTAATGCACTACAAAAACAATAATTAAACATAATAAAAGATATGGAAAATATTTAAATCCAATTAATTACAAGAATATTTGTGCTGGTCGACAAACCTTCCAATGGTAGATAGGAAGGGAAGGTTTATCTACTGCAGTGAACCTAGATGTCGTTGACCGAACGGACCATCAAGCTCACGATGGTTCACATGAATACCTTTACAAACTTAAGTTTAATTCAATGAAACAAGTTGAATTATAAAATTTAATTTACAGATTTTCAATGAGTGATAACTAAGCATAACCCTTAACAATTAGTAATCGATTATAATGGATAAGCACAGACGGATTTTAATAACAAATTGTACAAATTTAGAATTGGTGGCAAATTAGTCCCAAAAAACGCGGGAAATTTATCCCGAAAATTGCAGGATATTAATCCCGAGAACGGCGGGAGTTGGAACGGGATCTCGTTCTATCCCTAGCAGGAGATCTTCTCCTGTCCCTGGACATCGACCTGTAAGAGGGTGACCTCCTCCTAGATCTAGATCTCGACCTCCTCCTATCACTACGCCCTCGGCTCCTGCTTCTGCTTCGGCTGCGTCCTCTACGGCCTCCTCCTTTGGATTTTCCTCCGTTGCTCATTTCTACTTTAACCCTAGAGAACAAATAGTCTAGGTTTTCCCGACGATTTCAAAATAAATTGATATTAAAAATCACAAATATATATTTAACTTAAGCTAAGATGGAGGGGGGGGGGGTCCAAAAATCGTATACTAGGACAGACTCAACAAAACCAACAGAAATATTAAACAAACAAGATCTCAGTTGTAAATTTGTGTATACAGATCTACATCTTAAATTTAGCTTTTCATCTGGAAAAAAAGCACGAGATAAAATAAAGCACAAAGTGCCCTGAGTACTAAAACTATTCATACCTATATCGTATCTGTTAGCGTCATCCTTTAATCCTCCAATATATATTTTACAGTCTATATCCCAATGTCTGTGCGACATTTTGTATCTGAAAATTAAATTAGTTAATTTCACAAACTAAATAAATTTAAATCATAAATAGTTTAAGAGTTAATTTTACAACTCAAGTTCTAAAACGTTTCCATCACATGTAATTGTTACGGGAGTTTTACTCTTCTCCTCAGTCCTCGCTATGACGCCATTGAAATGAGTGAAATAGATCGTTGTTTGGTGGCGGGTCGGGAGTTGCGGTGCTGCCTCATCACCGAATCGGCAGGTAGCGCGGGAAATTCAAATATTTTGCAAGCAAAGACGACTTTTGAAAAAGGTATCTTCAAAAAAAACGAAATAGAGATTAATGATGCTATATCGTTTGCACTAATGTCCGAAACTCATTTCATTTACTGAGAGTAAAGTAGCAAATACAAAAAATGTGCGTGAATGTCAAATTTGATAAAAGAAGGCTTTAATGAGTTATGTGCTTTGAATATACCTTAAATGCTAATTGTAATCAATTTATCGAAATGATGAAATTATATCAGTATGAATGTATTTAATGTATGCATTTGAACAATAAATAGATTTTGATAATTAAAATGTTTAAACCCAAGAAGTCAATTATTTTTCATTTAAATATATACATTAATTTTCCCGCCAATAAGTTTAAATTATCTGTATATGTATTAACAATCTTGGCTTTAAACATATACGCACGTAGTTTATTGGCGAAAGAGAACTTATCCAACACAAGAACACAATATAGTAAAAGATTTAGGTAAAACTAAAGAAAGTTTAATAGGAGTCGTTAATAAATAATCGTTATAACCCTAACACTTACCTAGCACCGCAGATTCTTGAACCATCAAGACCCCGGGCAGCGTCCTCTGCATCCCTAGGATCTTCCATCTCAACAAACGCGAATCCTGGAGGCTTCCTAGCGACCCAAACATCGCGAACAGGACCGTATTTTACAAAAACATCCTCTAAAACACAGAACATTATTTACATTTTGCCTCATTCAAGACTTCTTGTATCCATGATTTACATACGAGATCAACGTACAAAATTTATGGGACCCACAAAACGGATAACAACGGGGGGGGNATGCTAAATTGTGCCATTATGCTCTTTCAAAATATTGGATGCTTTGCACCTTTCCAATTATGCTGTTTTTAGAAAAAACGGCATCCATTATGCCCGGTTGGCAACCCTGAGTGAAATAGATCGTTGTTTGGTGGCGGGTCGGGAGTTGCGGTGCTGCCTCATCACCGAATCGGCAGGTAGCGCGGGAAATTCAAATATTTTGTAAGCAAAGACGACTTTTGAAAAAGGTATCTTCAAAAAAAACGAAATAGAGATTAATGATGCTATATCGTTTGCACTAATGTCCGATTGAACTAACGTACATTTGCACTATTAAGTCAGATGATTAGTAACCGGTTTGTAGTATCAAACATTAATGCAAACGGACAAATTAGAGCTTCACTATAACGTGTTCAAATGGACTAAATTTTTATTTTCCTGCCAGGAATATTTTTTTTCGCGCCAGGATCATTAGTGTATTGATCTGGAATACTCCAGATATTTGTTCATAACGCACTAATTTTTTTCTGTAAATATTAGTGCAATTGAACATTGCAAATATTGACATGTATGTCCTGCAACAAAAATTTGTTCAAACGGACTAATTTTTTTCTGTAAATATTAGTTCAACTGAACTTTATAGTGCAAATGAACAATTCCAAAAATTTGTTCAAACATCGATTAATTTTTTTCTATCTATAGTGCATTTAATTTTTAATTTTAAATTTTAGTTCGATTAAACATTTTTTTTGTTCATTGCACTAAAATATGTTCATATACAGGGTGTCCCACATCAAATTAGACCGCGTCAATGGGTATAAATTACGACTTGGGGGTCAAATCAGAAAATTTAAGAAGAATGAATCCTTTTGAAAAATTTAATAAGGCTAATAGAAATTTTTTCTTGCAGAAAATGCTAGATTTTTCGAGTATTATGTGTGTATTTTGGCGTTAAAGATTGGAGAAAGTCTAATATGATATGGGACGCTCTGTATAATATTTTATGGGAAATTTTTCACAGTATACACAAATTCAGGGGTAAACTATCTCACATTATTTATGTGAAAGTAACAGATTAGATGTATATTTAAAACTATCACAAATTCACTGCCTTGATTTTTGGAATCCTATACTTCTTACAGAATAAACTTAACATTTTTGTTCAACGTTTTTACCAACCCAAAACATATATGTGTATGTAAAACATAAAAAATGATATTCAAAGAAATGTTATTTACTCAAAGCAATAAATAAATACATATAAGATAGAAATATTTATATTTTCACTTTTTCTTTTATTGGAAAGTTATAATATGCAAATAAAATAATAATTTCAAAAATTTATTATATTTATTATTGTTAATGTTTCTCATGCCACAAACTTAAATTTTGCAATCTATTTATCTTGGGAACCTAATGTAGCAGACCTTAGAATATTTCAAAATGTGAATTCTATTAGATAAAATAATTTAAGTTTCAAATATCAAAGGTAACTGTCAGGCCGGTTGCAAAGATATATAGATTAGAAAATTTGAGTTGGTGACAAAGATTCAATTCCTTTACATGTTAAATGATACTACTTACATGTACATCAAAAAAATTTATTTTTTAAAAATCTTTAATCTACAGGGTGAGTCAAAAATAAATGTGATTTGCGGAGCCTGTGTAGCGTTACATCCAGACCGGGGTAATATTTGGCCCGGGTGCAATGCAAAGACGACCTAAGCAAAAACCATAAAGTATATAAAACTAAAATTTTAGTGTGCAAAAGAGTGGAATCATGCCTAAATAATGTACATAATGTGTGTGCTTCTAATTTTTAATTTTATGGCCTACCAAACAAAAAATTGTAACAATTTCAATATCAATGATAATGTGCATGCTTTGGGTCTGTCAAAATAAACAATTTTTGGACCCCCCCCCCCGTTCTATCATTTTGTACATGGATTTCACATGTAACACTCACCCGGACCAAATATAACGCCTGGGCCTTATTTAACATGACATAGGTCGGGTTAGATTGAATAACCTAACTGGTCTCATACTGGTCTTAACCTGACCAATCCACTCAGGTCAGATTTTGGTCATGAAAGATGTAAAATCGCACACTTAGCTACGCAAATTTATTGGTTTTAGTAGACCTAAAATTTGCGTAATAAAATTATACAAATTTACGCCAAAAATGCGCATTTTTATTTTCTCAATTACCAATTTTCAAAGAATATTTTCGCGTTTTTTACCCGTGCTGTACACAGGAGGAATCTTCAAGATTGTGAAAAGTAGATTTACCACGAGCATAACACAAGGAGGGGATACCTTAGATACAAAATATTCTCTGTCAGAAACAAGATGGAGCTTCGATGGCGTAAAATATCCGCGATGGAGCTTCTTCTTTAAATCTTCGCCATATGGTAGGGCGAAGATCAAATATTTGTAGGGATTTGTCCCCCAAATCGTAATTTAGACCCATTGACGCGGTCTAATTTTATATTTGTTGAACTTTTTCATTATCAAATGGTACTAAAAGTAACGCGACACCACACACACTGGGCGTTATTTCATGTGACACTGCCTTAAAACGATGACTTTTAAAATCGATCAATCATACTTTACAAAACCGGATATTAGTTTAACAGTTCGCGGCATTCTTTGTTTTAGCGCTAAACTATCTAGAAATAAATAATTTCGACCTCAGATTTTTAATTGTGTTATTGATTAAGTATAATTGCGGGGTTATAGGCCAAGATATAGACAAAAGTGCCTCTTGCCATCTTTATTCAAAGGAATGCATGGGGCATTAGTATCATAGCACATAGTGATCTGAGAGAGATAGAATTGAAAATGGAAATGAAAGTATAAAAAATAAAAAGGAATAGTCGACAAAAACAGAAATGTGCTTAATGTGCTCTTTCCTCATCTATTAAGTATCATCATCTTTGAGCCCTATACTGCACAAGTTAATATGCATTGCTACAAGGGTGCCATATATTGTAACGTAATTTAAAATTACTTATTTCAGAGTTTTAAGACAATGTTTCACTTTTAAACGAAATATTCTCGAACAATAAGAGAAGTATCGGTAATTTCCTAGAGAACGATTTTTGGACCTCCCCCCGCCCCCTCCTATTTATTTTGTACATGGATCTTATATGTAACACATGGATATAATTGGTCATGAGGCCGCAGCGCCCGGGATTTCCTAGCCAGTACTAGCCGCGACGATCGGCCCCCTAGCCTGTCCCAGCTGCGGCGCTCGGCCCTCTAGCCTGTCCTAGACACGGCGCTTGACCCCTTATCCTATTCTAGCCGCTGCGCTCGGCTTAGAAAGTGGCTTACCCTAATCTAACCCTAAATATATACTAATTTTGTCGAAAATTGTTGAAAATAAAGGCCTGTTGTTGCCGCATCGCTCGGCCCCCTAGTCTTTCCTAGCCGCAGCGCTTGGTCCAGAAAATTTCTTAATCTAACCTAGCCCTTAAATAATAATAAAAAAGTGGTCCTGTAAAAAATTGATAGAAGGGGGGGGGGGAGTCCAGAAATCGTTCTCTAGGACAGTCCTGAAGTATTATTCAACTATTTCTAGAATCAAACTAAAGAGGGTTTAACAAGTTACTAAAATGGGCATCTCAGGACTAATTCCCTTCCTGAAAAATGCTACCCGTGACGTGCATATTCGAGAGTTTAAAGGTTGACTGTCGTTGAAATTTCAAGTGACCTACCATAAAATGCGTATTCAGGGAGAAGGGGGGGGGGCAAGGTAATTTCCTAGAGAAGGATTTCATGAAGGGGAGGCGGGGGCGCAAGAATCTTTCCTTAGGACTGAGCCGGTGGGTTCTAGGGGTTCAGCCCCCTCGGTCAGTGAAATGTTTGGATTTCAGTGGGTTGTTTGGCCCAAAAGGGTACTGAAAAAATTCAAGTCCGCCCCTTGGACAAGTTCCTGAATACGCCCCTGCCTACATATAAGAAAGGGGGGTGCCCGAGTCACATCGGTTCCCTGAAACCAGTTTTCAGATCAATATTTTGGAAGATATCGTCTTTTATCTATCGTCGTTATATGTACATATTTGTACATATTATTATTTTTATACATTCACCATATATATATAGATTTATTTTTTTAAATTGTATTATTGCTTAATAAAAGTTTAAATAGATTTAAGTTTCAAATTCCGACAATTTCCTCCTTTGTTTTAGAAGCTGAAAAACTTCAACTGAAAATGTTTAATTTTTAATGTCAAAACCATGGATATCTCATTCAGTCTTGATCAGTCAAAGATTTTAAGGATACCGTTGTTAAAGAAACATGTCACTTTATAAATGGAAGATCACTTGAAATTACAACCACAGTCAATTAAAAGGTTGTACTGCTGCCATTGATGTATACTGCTTCCTTCACAAAGGATCCTTTGGTTGTGCGGACAAATTGGCTCAGGGGATACCAACAGATTTCTACATAACCTATGTTATGAAGTATGTTAACCTACTTTTAGCTCACAACATCAAACCAATATTAGTTTTCGACGGTCGGAACCTGCCAAGCAAATCAGAGACTGAAAAGAAACGACGACAAAACCGAAAAGATAACAAAGAAAAGGCGGTGCAACTGCTCAGCGAGGGCAAGATGGCCGAGGCCCGGGAATATTTTCAGCGCTGTGTTGATGTTACTCCAGCCATGGCCAGAGAAGTTATTCAGGCAGGGTTATATGCTTACTTGAAAAATTATTTCCCCTCATCCCCCCCCCCCCCGAGAAGTTAGGTATGGTTGGTTGGTTGCGTGGAGCGAAAATAATATTTTTAGGGTTTTATTCGCTTAATTAGGGAGAATAAATGACTTCAAGGGGCTAAACAACAATTTTCAGGTTTTTAAGTTTGAAAAAAGTTTGAAAATTTTTTTCTTCTGATGTCCAATTTTTCATTTTTCCCCAAGATATTTTAAAATCATGTAACCCAATATAACCCGGGATTCAGGCATGTAGAACTAGGAATGTGGACTGTATTGTGGCTCCCTATGAGGCAGATGCACAGTTGGCATTTTTGAACAAGACAATAGCTGACATTGTTATAACAGAGGATAGTGATTTGACACTCTTTGGTTGTGATAAAATAATCTTTAAACTGAAAGACTCGGGAGAGGGTCTGTTGTACGAAAAAAGACTTCTCAATCAAGTATTTGGGAATCAGGCAGATAGTTTTAACTTTGATAAGTTCAGACATATGTGCATTCTTTCAGGATGTGACTACCTTTCTAGCCTGTCTGGGATAGGACTAAAGAAATCTCAGCTGTTTTGGAGCAAAGTTTCAAATCCAAATCTAAAAGTAGTTTTACCAAAACTGCCGGTATATTTAAAGAAGCCAACTTTGACGGTTTCCCAGGATTATATTAATGGATTTATTCAGGCGAACAATACATTCCTTTATCAACTAGTTTATGATCCTATCACAAGGAAAGAAAGGCCTCTAACTGAGTATGGCAGTGGAGTTGATGCAGCGGAACTGGACTATTGTGGACAGTATTCTGATCCTAATACAGCTTATCAATTAGCGCTGGGTAACGTTGACCTTCACACAAAGCAGCAGATGACCTGGTTTGACCCTGATCATGTGACCTCTACCTCCAACTCTAAGTATGGAAGTAAAGCCAAGCATAAATCCATGTGGAGCAAGGGGTTTACTAAGTCCTCCATTTCCCCTTTTTCTGACAACCGGGAGATTCACAAACCAAGAGAGATTGTTGTCCGAACAAACTTCAAGTTCAAATCTCCAAGAAAATCCATCAAGTCTGAAAATTGTGAAATTCGGGGGGAAAAGAGGAAGTTGGAAACTTACACGCAGCTGGAGGTGGAACAGATCATTTTTAGCGAGGATGAGGATAAAGAAAAGATGCCCCTGAAGAAGGTGAAGAGCTCAATGTGTGCCCTGAGCAACGAGGAAAGGGAGGAGGAGTTGAGTCCCAGCAAACCCTACACCCGAATACTGGGGGACAATAAACTAGATATTAAAAACAATCTCAGTTCCTATTTCAACGGAAAGGAACCGACCAAGCAGGAAGTTAAAGAACTACTTCTCATCAAAGAAAAGCGAAGTTTAACTGATCCTAAAAATGCTGGCTCCTGGTTCGATTCTCTCAACAAGTCGTCAACGTTAGAGGGTAAATTTATCTACAGAACAGATGATAAGGATGACAAACCTGACAAAGAGCACGGAGTACTGGCAGACATTTCCAATTCCCCGCCATTTTCAACACCAAGCATTGGCGCCATTTCTCCTAATTCCAAACCCAACCTCGGCGCCATTTCTCCAACTTCCAAACCAAATCTGAGTGCTCTTCAAGCATTTCAAAGGGATAAATCAAGAAACCCTTTTGCTGTAAAGAAACCTATATTTAAAGATTCTGAAAAGGAACCTGAAGGCAACCCTTGTCCGATATCTGAACCAATAGGACGCGAGGACGCCCCAGGAATTGATAGAGAGGACTTACAGGACAATGAAGAAACAAGTTTGAGTGAACCTATGCAGCAGTTGCTAGAGCTTAGTAAACGAGAGACAGAGCCTTCAGTTCTAGTTCGGAAATCCTGCTTTCTTACCTCCAGTTCTGCTAGAGTGGGACTGTCCCGCCCATCTGGGCCAGTCAAGGCAGGGCTAACCCGCCCCTCCATTTTTAAACAAGGAACTCAAACTACAGTTATTCCCACAGGATCAGGAGTTCGCCCATCAGGACTTCACAAGAAAGGGTTGAAAGGCAGGAGTATATATTTTCTTGAAAAATTATTTTTTCTACTGCCCCCGCCCCCCTTTCAGTTAGTTTACGCGGAACCCCATTTTAGAAAATAAATGATTTGTTGAAGAAATCAATTGAATTTTTGGGTGAAAAGTAACAAAAAAGGGAGGAAAATTTACAAGTTGATATCCTATCCCCCCCCCCCCCTACCCAAAAGCCTCGAAATATTATTTTATGAAAATATTAACCCTGTTGATAGGTGTGTTACCTAAACCTGCAAACCAGCCAACTTTATTTCAAATGTTTGCTAAAGCCAGCAAGAAAGCCGAGATATAAGACTGATTAAAAACTATTCCGTAGATATTAAATATTTTATTCTGTACTCCGTAAGTCCGTATGTAGCAAGATTGTTTTGAGGATTCACTAAAAGAAACTTTTATTTAAATGTACTTTAAGCGTGCATAATTGTTTGGAAAATAATTGACTAAATGCCAGTGAATTTCGTCCTAAAATAATAATTTTTGCATTCGGGCCCTTCATAAAGGTTCACAATTTGTCTACATATTTGTCATTATATCATATCTGTTCGGTTCCATAGTACTAAACCTATCGTGTAAGAATTCCCATTGTTACACGGTTCAGGAGGAACAATTTTAATATTGTTCGCTTCTTAGTGTTTAAGAAAGCTTATTCTTACACTGTTGGTGTAGAATTTTCATTCTTTAACGCTCAGACCGTGTAAAAATGGAAATTATTACACGGTCAGAGCGTGAAAGAATGTTTATTCTTACACGCTCCGAGCATTAAAGAATGGAAATTATTACACTAGTTGAAGAATATTTATTCCTAAACGCTCCTTATATTGATCTTTTCAACATAGATCCAATATTGATATTTACTTAATTATTTTGTACTTTTTTCTTTTACATTAATACATGCCAACTACCTTTTGATACTTTCACGATCTTTTTCATTTCATTTCATACTTTATAGCAACATTTGCTCACTTTCCTTTTTCTTTTATATTAAAACATGCAAACTTACCTTTTTCACTTAAGTAATACATGCTCTCTTACCTTTTCATGCTTATTTACCTTTTTCGTTTTTTGAATTATTGATATACCTTAATTCAGGAATGTCCATTTTAATTTTAACCCTAGAGTGTTTAATTAACATTTTCTGACCTTTCCCCAAAAAATGAACCATGCACTTGAAGTCTTCCATTGGACATTTTCATCAAACTACCGAGTCTCAAATCATATTTATCTCCACTTTTGGGAAGATTTAGGATCTAATATCCAATGATTTCTTCTGTACAAATGAAAGCACGATTTTGTTCAGTAGATTAAGACAATCCATTACTATACCTTCTCCCCATCTAAAAAACTCAGAGCACATTCAACATGCTATATTTAAATGTAGTATCAACTTGAAAAAAAAACAAGCATATGCATTAGAAATTGGTTAAACAACAAAGTAAACTAAGGAATCAATCACACCACATGCATTAGATGCATTACTTTCAAACTAAGAACCAATTTTTACTTATAAAATGGTTTTAACATTTTAGCATTGAACATTAGAAAAATAAAAACAGTGATAGTCAGAACAAGAGCATAAAACTTATTTTCAACCGTTCATCACGTTCATTATTTCTTGGGTATTTACTCATGGAACCTCACAAATATTATATAATATTAACCTTAATATGTGAACATTATGTACCATTGAATAAAAAATTATCTGTGACAAAATGAATTAAAAACCCTAGACACTGATGAAGAATTTATTTTCAGATTGTAGTACAATGATATTCTAGAACTTCTAACATGAGTGCTGAAGCAACGGAGGTAATTTATTTGTAATTTGTAAATTGTAATTCCCCTTTTTGTGCTTTCCGAAAACAGGAACCTTAATCTCATCCCATTTAATCTTTTTTTAAATAATGTTTTATTAGAGAGAAAAAATTGCCTACTATACAGGATTATACTTTTGTATGTGATATTTATATTGTATAAATTTTAATCTTCGTGTAATAAATGATTTGATTTGATTTGAGGATAAGAGTAATATTGTAAGGATAAGAATGATATTGTACAGGATAAAAATAAGTACAGGATAGGAAAAATATCCTACAGGATAAGAATAATATTGTACAGGATAGGAATAATATTGTACAGGATAAGAATAATATTGTACAGGATAAGAATAATATTGTACAGGATAAGAATACTGTTGTACAGGATAGGAATAATATTGTACAGGATAAGAATGACATTGTACAGGATAAGAATAATATTGTACAGAATAAGAATGATATTGTACTGGATAAGAATAATATTGTATAGGATAGGAATAATATTAAGAATAAGAATAATATTGTACAGGATAAGAATAATAATGTACAGAATAAGAATGATATTGTACACTGTACAGGATAAGAAAAATATTGTACAGGGTAACAATAATATTGTACAGGATGAGAATAATATTGTACAGCATAAGAATAATATTGTACGGTATAAGAATAATATTGTACAGGATCAGAATAATATTGTACAGAATAAGAATAATATTGTACAGGATAAGAATAACATTGTACAGAATAGGAATAACTTTGTTCAGGATAAGGTTAACATTGTTCAGGATAAGAATATTTTTGTACAGGATAAGAATAATTTTGTACAGAATAAGACAAATATTGTACAGAATAAGAATAATATTTGGCCAGAATAAGAATATTATTGTAAAGAATAATAAGAATATTGTACAGAATAAAAATAATATTGTACAGGATAAGAAAAACATTGTACATGATAAGAAAAACATTGTACAGAATATGAATAATATTGTACAGGATAAGAATAACATTGTACAGAATATGAATAACTTTGTTCAAGATAAGAATAACATTGTTCAGGATAAGATTAATTTTGTACAGAATAAGAAAAATATTGTACAGAATAAGAATAATATTGGACCAGAATAAGAATAATATTGTACAGAATAAAAATAATATTGTATAGGATAAGAATAATATTGTACAGGATAAGATAATAATGTATAGGATAAGAAAGATGATCCTTCGCGCCAGAAACAGAGTAACCTTCAGCGTATTCAACTACGGTATGTGCACTATTATATAAACCGAAAATTCTATTAAATGCTATGCAATTTTATCTATTATATGTTGCATTTGTGCAATATTGTGCAATATACATATTTATTTTATGTTACGTTTGTAAACAGATTGCACATTTGTATATATTTTAATGTAAACTAACTCATAAAATTAAACTCGATGGAAAATCTAAATTGAAAAAATCTATATTATCTCAGGTATGTATGGTCCCAAATAATGTGAAATTAAAACATTCGTCAGTTCAATCTTTGACTTATAAACTTGCTAAATAGTTTGTACTGTCTAAGGGGTTTATTATGGGGTTCTTTATAGAGTCCTTTCTTAATACGTAATATATTATTATATAAATAGAAAACAATCTGTTCGTGGCTGGCCGTCTGACAAGAAGATAGAGAAACTTGGAATTTACTCGTCTTGTAAGGTCGGTTTCTAGAATGATTTCTATTTAAATCCACTGCTTTGGATCTATTTCAATTGATACAGATTCGAATGCGGATTTTAAAAAATAAATCCGGATTTCCTTAGTTTTGATCATTTCTGTTACCAATTCTTTAGTTTACCATTCAATGATTTGGAAGTCTCTAATATCTCTTTGGTGACACTAAAAATGTGTGTTTTTGTTTTTTATTTGAAATTTTGTCACGTGAAATCTGCATATTTTTTAGGATCCGGATCCAGGGAGCTATTGGATCTGAGTCCGAATTTAATGAAGTTGAGCCGCGTCTTAAATCCTCCAAAAACCGGGTTCAGTTGAGCGCTGGCTTGAATATTGAAACATGGAATATAATCTAAAGTGGAACCAACCATATATGAGCTGGGTCTCAAATTTAAGCCGCGGCTCAAATTCTTTAAATTCGGCCTCTGGATCCTTAATATTACAATGGGAGAACCCTGATTTCTACATTGTGTTAATTAAAAATATGTTAGTCCTATTTATAATGTTAAGGCTGATGAGGAATGCAAATGTAACGGTTGGAAGAATCCAAACCCGCCGCCGAACCCGCCGAAACCTGATGCACCCGCCTTGGTCTCATCTCTCGAGGATTTATGCCGAGGTTGCAATCATAAACTAGGCGATCATGTCTCACATTTAGAGAAGGTAACAGGGCCGGGTGTATGTACAAATTATATTCATTTATAGAAAATTAAATAGATTTTTGGGTATGAGAAACAGTTTATTTAAGAAGGGGCATGCCCAATTCACAACCGCAGCCGTTAAAAGTTTTCCTAAGATAAAATGGATAAAAATATGTTCGGTTTTATATCTGAAAATTTGTAATATCTTATCGAGACTTCTCTATGAAAGGGGTTGCGGATTTTTTTGCAGCAAAGACAAATTATTTAATTTAAAGAACTTAACACGATTTGGAAAGGGTACAAATGTGTTCCTAGAATGCTATTTGAAATTACGTCTCTTTTTTCTTTAATCTTCAATCTTTTACTTTTAATTTTACTAAGGTGGGTGAGGAGGAGTTGGATCGACTGCTTGGTATAGTTGTAGACGTGGAGAATCTTTTCATGTGTGTTCACAAGGTTTATACTTTAGTAATTCTTTATCCACATAAATCACATGTTTACATCGAAACAAAATTTTTTCATTCAACTTTAGAGGTTGGCACTATTTTGATATCGAGATTAATGCTTGGTCTCGATCTTTTAATTTACGAAACCGATACCCAAATTCTTAGAAACCTTATTTTATGCAATTTTTCTTAAAACCGATCAATCAATATTTAATTTAAATAGAAAACAACAGCTAGAAAAAAGTTTTGAGAGGGGGGGGGATTTATGAAATATTTGTTATATTGTTAAATTTTTTTTTCTCGCTTAGATACCATTTTTGGGATTACAAAAGCAATTCTGCATTTTGTATCTAAACCACTTTATATTCTCGACATTTTTAACATGTTCATCAAAGCTATTCTTATTATTATTATTATTATTATTATAGTCTGGCCTACAGATTTCACGTTTGTTTTAGAATTGAATTTTAATATCCCCCAAATAGATTGTCTAGTACAATAGATGGCAACATAGAATTTGTGCACTCTTAGTACAGCTGTATTCTTTCGTCACAAGTGTCAACTGTTTGATGTGTCTGACCAAATTATCAATTATAGTGATGATAAAGTGCTTATCTTACAGTGAAATAAGTGCAAATTTGTGTTCTTTATTTTCTGTTATTTTTCACTTTTTTTATTTAGTCTTGGAAAACATGTCAATCAATGGGAGAACATGTTGTTTTCCTTGTTATATTTGACACTTGAGACGTCGTGTATAATTGGTCCATTTCTCTGCTGCCACCTATTGTACTTGATAATCTATTTGGTATCCCCTAAGTTTGTGTGACTTTAACTGTACTGGAGTGTAGGTAGAGGGCCCGCTAGGCAAACCTCCGTATGAGAAACCAAGTATTGCTAAGGGTGTTACTAACTTTGTTCTTCATAGGTTCACACACCTTCCTCCAAAGGTAGGGGTTACTCAGGGGCGTATACAGGAATTTTTTAGGGGGGGGGGGTCGAATGTTATGGGTTTAACCTTCTATAGACAAATACAATTTTTTAATTTTTAATTTTTTACTTAATGTAATATAAAACAAAATAAAAATGTGGTTATCTTGAAAATTATGCCAATTATTTCATCAATCGATCGATCCATTAATAAATCAGTCAATACATCACTTATTTCATCAACCAAGATCGACGATCCACCTATCAATCATTCAATCTATCAATCTATCTATTAATCTATCTATCAATCTATCCATCAATCTATCTATCTATCAATCTATCTATTAATCAATCTATCAATCTATCAATTTATCTTTCAATTTATCTATATCTATCAATCTAAATATCAATCTATCTATCAATCTACCTATCAATCTATCTATCAATCTATCTATCAATCTATCTATCAATATATCTATCAATCTATCTATCAATCTATCTATCAATCTATCTATCAATATATCTATCAATCTATCTATCAATCTATCTATAAATCTATCTATCAATCTATCTATCTATCAATCTATCTGTCAATCTACCTATCAATCTACCTATCAATCTACCTATCTATCTATCAATCTATCTATCTATCTATCTTTCTATCTATCTATCTATCAATCTATCTATCAATCTATCTATCAATCTACCTATCAATCTATCTATCAATCTATCTATCAATCTACCTATCAATCTATCTATCGATTTATTAACCTATCTGTCAATCAATCAATCATGTTTTGTCTAGGAATGGCAGATGATGTATGATCTAGCAAAGATGTTCCTTCACTGCCTGAACCACTGGAAGCTCGAGACTCCCACCGCCAGAAAGCAGCACATGTCCCAGGAGGAACTCTCAGCTTACAAGGTTGGAGCTTGCCCTTGACCTCAGGGGTTGGTGCAAATATTTTTTGGCTATAGGGTCGGAATAATTTTGATATCTCCCCCTGAGTTTTAATAAATGAAAAGTAAGCTTTTATAATACATAATGATTCTATAGAGTTTTGATACCCTTAAAAATTTGCATACTCCTTGTGCTTTTTAGCATAAATATATACCATATTTAGTCATTTTTGTGTATTGGCTTAGTCAATGGTTAAGAGAAATAAGACTTAGTTTCTAATTCGAGGACAATCGCTAGTTGATGAGAAAATGTCTTTTTAATCCATACTCAGTTGGTCGTCAAGTTTGTAGATTTTACCATTTAATTGTATGCGCTAAATGATATTTGTTCGTTGGGACAGGCAACTCTTTTCATTTTGTTTTCATACTTCCCCCCTAAAATTTATTTGTTTTCCCCTGAACATATTTTGGAATATTTACAATTCAGCGAATAAAAAAGGGGAAGATAGGAAATTAATGATTTTTAAAGAAAATATACACCCCTGAGTTAGAAATAGGAAATTTAGGATTTTTTATAGAAAATAAACACCCCTCAGTTAGAAATAGGAAATTAATGTTTTATATAGAAAATATACACCCCTGAGTTAGAAACAGGAAATTAATGTTTTATATAGAAAATAAACACCCCTGAGTTAGAAATAGGAAATTAATGATTTTTTAAGAAAATATACACCCCTGAGTTAGAAAAAGGAAATTAATTGATTTTTCAAGAAAATATATACCCCTGAGTTAGAAACAGGAAATTAATGTTTTATATAGAAAATAAACACCTTTGAGTTAGAAATAGGAAATTAATGATTTTTCAAGAAAATATACACCCCTGAGTTAGAAATAGGAAATTAATTGATTTTTCAAGAAAATATACACCCCTGAGGTAGAACTCTGCCTTGTATTGATATTGTTTAGGTAAACTACACCCGTTGGTTGTGTTTCTGTCATGTTCCTGCATTTTGTGATTCTCTTCCACACTTTGATACAACGCTTATCTTCGGCCGGACATTCATCAAATCCGTCTTCCTCACCATGAGGAAACAACTGCTAGACAAATTCAAGGAAACTAACTCTCAAATAAGAACTCAATCTATATATTACTTCTCTTGTCTGTCTGTTTCTTTGTAACCGATAAACTTCAAAACGGCTGAACTGATCGGGCCCAAATTTTGTGTGGGACCTCACATGATTTGCGATTATTTAATTTTATTTATTTTATAAAGTGGAGAAAATATGTGGAGTGAAAACTTGAAAAGGTTTATTGTACTGGGTGTCCCAATATTAATAAAGTGAAGACTTTTATATCGTCTTCGATCCATTCTGAATTTTGTTAAGAATACAATTATTGCAGTATTCCAGTTTAAACATACAATATCGTAAACGCCAGGTCTTGAGATTTCCAAAATGTGGTCTACCATTTTTGTATCTTCAAAATTGAAGGAGATATTGCAAAAATTTGTACAAATTTTAATTTTATTATCTAAAATCTTCGTCAATTTTTAAGACACAAGAAAGGTAGACCACTTAATGAAAAGCTCGTAACCCTCGTTACGCTTTCTTTGCCATGCATTAACCATCAGAAATCAAAGACGTCTCTGAATTCCCATATTTATTAGGACACCCTGTATAGTGAGACCCATGGAAAAAGGAAGACGACTGATAGACTCAACTTAACATTTTAAATAGTCCCATGAAATTGAAACACTCTTATCAAGTTGATTGATTTGAGCTACGGGTAAAACTAATTGCTTAAATATAATCAAAAATACATAAAAGTTCCTTTCTATTCCATAGTTTTATTGGTCCCATTGCAATATTTTGAGAGTTATGATTTGAAGGCTGAGAAGGATAAAATGCCTCCAGAGAAAAGAACTTTGGTTCTCACACACTTCCCTAGATTTCTTACTCTTCTAGAGGAGGAGATATATAATCCTAGTAGGTTTCATTCATTCATTAATCCTTTCATCCTTTCATTTATTTGTCCTTTCGTTATTTTATTCCATTCTTTTCACTTGCTTTATTGTCTGCATTTATTTTATGCTGATTCGCTTCGTCTATATAATTTTCTTAATTCTGTAAATCGCTTAATTAATATCCTTCGTGTCATAACCTTCATTATTTTCTTCTTTCTTCATTCAGTTTCTGTGTTTTTTTCTTTTTCATTGGCTTCATTTGTTTCATTTTTTATATTTTATTCCCTCTTTCACTAGTTTCATTTTGTTTCATTGGATTTTATTATTTCATTTGTTTCATTACCTTCATTACCTTCATGATTTTCTTCTTGTTTCAGTCCGTTTCTGTTTTATTTTTGTTTTATTTGTTTCATTTGCTTCATTTGTCTCATTTGCTTCATTTGTCTCAATTGCTTCATTTGCTTCATTTACTTCATTTGCTTCTTTGTTTCATTCTTTTCTTTTTTCATTTGGTTTTTTCGCTTCATTTGTTATATTTTTTTATTTGTGTCATTTGTTTTATTCAACGTTTTTATTCAGTGCGTTTTCACATTTCACTAATCACCATTAGAATTACGTTTTTAATTTTTTAGATTTTACTCTCCGCGATGTTTGAATTTATTTTTTAAAATTAAAACTTTAGGCTCTCCGATCTGGGATCCTGAATTTAACGGTAAAACCCCCGCCCATGTTATCGCCGCCGCCCAGGCCCAAGCCGAGGTTTCTACTGCCGCCGCCGCTCTTGGGAAAAAGAGGCCGCACGACGATGACAGCAAGGAGCCGGAAGCGAAACGGCGACGATCAGAGGACGAGAATTTGGACGAGGCCGTCGGTGAGATTGTGTCGATCATCGAAGACTCGAAAAGGATGCTTGGTCCACAATCCATGTTTCCAGAACATGCTCCCAGGTAAATCCTTAGATACACAGTAACCATTTTGCAGCAAAAACTTTGTTGCAGAAGAAATAAAGGAGGATGGGGTGACATTTTTGTCCTTTTTATCCGGGTTCTATTTCTGAAGTACATAGTATTCAAATATATAATTATATTAACTATACCATATTAGCTGGCATACTAGGCGTTGCCTAGGTTAAAGAATAACATTTTAAAGCCTATATAATCTCCCATGGGTTGCCTTAAAATATTCAGTCTATTTGGGTCACCCGTTTGGCCAGCTATAAAAAGTAATAGTGGTCTTTTTCTTCAGATTATTCAAAGGGTGTTTGGTTTATTTGTGAATGGATCGAATGCTTGGTCGATTTATTGATTGATTGATTGATTGATTGATTGATTGATTGATTGATTGATTGATGTTTAAATCTTTCGTTAAAGAGACGAAGCAGCTAAAATAGAAGAGAAGAAAGGTCTGATAGAATTCCACTGTGTTGCGAACAGTTTGACAGAGAAGGTTCCTAAACAGACCATGCTCTGGCTGATAGCTCTACAGAATGTGTTTTCTCATCAGCTACCCAGGTATATCTATCTATCTTTCTATCTATCTAATTATCTGGCTGATAGCTTTACGGAATGTGTTTTCTCATCAGCTACCCATGTACATCTATCTATCTATCTATGTATCAATCTATCTATGTATCAATCTATCTATTTATCTATCTATTTATCTATCTATCTATCTATCTATCTATCTATCTATCTATCTATCTAAATATCTGGCTGATAGTTTACAGAATGTGTTTTCTCATCAGCTACCCAGGTATAGTTATCTATCTATCTATCTATCTGTCTATTTATCTATCTATCTATCTATTTATCTATCTATCTATCTTTTTATCTATCTTTATATCTATCTATCTTTTCCACTATTTTTCTATCTATTTATCTTCAATGTATTCTAGGATGCCTAAGGAGTATATAACGAGGCTTGTCTTCGATCCTAAACATAAAACCTTGGCTCTAGTTAAGAATGGGAAACCCATCGGAGGAATATGCTTTAGGATGTTCCCATCACAAGGTTAGTTCCCATCATAAGGTAAGTTCCCATCACAAGGTTATTTTTCCAACACAAGTCTAGTTTCCATTACAAGTTTAGTTCCCATCACAAGGTTAATTCCCATCAAAAGTTTAGTTACTATAACAATGCTAGTTCCCATCACAAGGTTAATTCCCATCAACAGTTTAGTTACAATAACAATGCTAGTTCCAATCACAAGGTTAATTCCCATCAAAAGTTTAGTTCCCATAACAATGCTAGTTCCCATCACAAGGTTAGTTCCCATCACAAGGCTAGTTCCCATCCCAAATTTGTATCCAATCACAATTAGAAATTCTGAAGAAAAAAAACGTAATTTTACATTCAACGTTTCAGGGTTTTCTGAGATAGTGTTCTGTGCTGTGACGAGTAATGAACAGGTTAAAGGATATGGAACACATCTCATGAACCATCTTAAGGATTACCATATTAGGTGACAATTTATAGATTTTTTAAATAAGTGATTTATTTATTTATTTGTTGATCGATTTATTGATTTCTTAATTAAACTAGCTGAAGTGCCCGGCGATTCTCGTTAAATCAAGAACACACTTAAAAAAATTATATGGATAAAACATTGTTAGATTTTCTGATAAAAGGAATTGTAAGCGTAATTTTAAATGGCCCTTCATGCAAAGATAGCAATGCCCGATTCACAACAGTAGCCTTTAAACCTTCATCTCATCAACGTGGAAGATATTGTCGTTTTTCTAGGTTTAAAAGGGTTAAATTTTTGTTATGTTTCTTACAGTAGAAAATATCTTACAGAAGAAATTATTAAAATACTTGATCAGACAAAGCTTTTAGAGGTACAGTTGTGAATCAGGCATTACCATGAGGGTCACTTTTAACAATGCTTTCAGTTTCATTAGAAACCAATTTATTTGATTGATAGAATAATTATTTAATTGTAACTAATGCATAGAAACGGCATACTACACTTCTTGACGTTTGCTGATGAGTTTGCTGTTGGATATTTCAAGAAGCAAGGATTTAGTAAGGAACTCAAACTCCCTAAATCTGTGTACGGTGGATATATCAAGGTAAGGTTAAAAAACGTATTTTTCAAAAATTTTGTTTGTCTTAATTGATAAAAATATTTGCGATGATCGTGAATATTTTTTATTTTTGGAAAAATATATGATTATAAAAAGTACTTACGTGGACGGAATATTGATAGTTATAGACAANTATTTGAGAATTGATTATCAGTTATAAAACTAAATATTTGTTCTAGAATTGATTATTTGTTTCATTAAAATTGATGATTGATTTGATTGATTAATTGATCAGGGAGGATTTCTGATCCCAGACTGGGAATCTATCCAAGTTCTTCAACCTGATGATCTAGGAACTTAGAAGCAAATCATTAACAACAGAACCTATTACTTGCCTAAAACTCTAATATCTAATTCCTTCACATTCGCAACCTGATGTCCCAAACTTTCCCAAAATCTTTTAAACCTTGAAAAACGACCATATCTTTTACATTGTTATTCAGATAAAGGTCTCCAGGGTAACGTTTCAAAGGGGGGGGGGGTCACTTATGCTTATAAGCCTTTTTAACTAAATTAAATAATTTGTTTGATCTAAAATTTAACCCATTTAGATATGTTCCAAATTTATTTTAAAGCACTAAAATTTTTCTTTTCTTGTTGTTGTATGTAAACCTCTAATTTTAGAATTTGTTCATTTAATTGTCAAGTTTGGTAACGATAAAATATTTCAGATACAATGTGCAAGGACTGTGTGAAACGACCCTTTCCAGACAGGGGTAGGTAGGAATTTCAGAAATTGAGTTTTGTAAAATAAAAAAACGTATTAATTAATTTTTTCAGTTTCAATTTTTGAAAAAGAAATTTTAAAATTATTATTTAAAAACGGCGTTTTTCTTCAGGGCTGGATCAGCCCTGAAGAAAAGTGGATCCGGATACTGGTCATTTTTTATAAGATTTCATGAATTTTGGAGTAAAAGAAGTAGTTTCAAGTTTTTGTTCTTTTTTGTCTTAGTTCAATGCTAAAACTTTTCAGAGAAGGACATTTTAATAGAGAGTCTTCTTCAACAGTTAAAATTTGAATTTTGAGAACAAAATTTTTTTTTTTTACAGTTTTTGGTTGATATTTTGTGCCATGGATCCGGATTCGGATCCTGGAATCCGGATCCAGGAAGCCAAAATGTTGCAGATTCTACGGATCCGAATCCTGATGACTGCTTATTAGGATTAAAGACAGAAATATAAGTTTATAAATGATAATTCAATTCATTCTAGTTTTTGTTTGGAGAATGGTGCTTACCTTGTTAACCTACAGAACTGCTCTAAATGCTTGAAATTAGATCCAGGTTAAACAGAATGATTAAATTCTTATATATCCCTGTTATTTGGATTTTTTTTTACTTGATAAACTTGTGATTTAAATAGACTGTATTGTAAGCGTAATTACAGGTGACCCGTTGTGCAAAGATGGCTATGCACGATTTTCAACAGCCTAATAGCTTTGTCTGAAATCAATATTGTTTGTTTATAAAATCTGTTTATTTTCATTTGTGGTTTCTTTGCAAAAGTAACCCGCGCAATTCTTGCTTATGATAAACAATGGAGAAATTCATAGAAATAAACACTTTTCTAGTCAGAAAAACGACGTTATCTTTCACATTTTTGATCAGGTAAAGGTCTTAAGCCTTAAGGGTACCGTTCTAAATCGGGTATGCTATCTTTCCATGGGGGGTCACTTGAAATACGCTTTACAGTCCAAGATTTTTCTTCTCCACTCAACGTTATCATTTTAGTCGTTAAAATTTGAAAACCTCATTTAGCCACTAGTTGGTAACTTTGCTCTTTAAGGAGTTAATGATTAGAAAGCAAAAATCTAAGTGATCTTGATGATTTTATAAAAAAAATGTCAAATATTTTTTTTTCTGTATTAAAGAAAACTTTAGAACTGGTGCAAGGTGGATTTGAGCATTTTTATCAATAACGTGTCAAATAGTTTCACCCATAGTGATCCTCAATTTATAAGTTATTGCAGTAAATGTCAAGTTTAATCAATGAAGCTAAGCTTTATCCTCTGAAATGTTTTGACCTCTGACTGATTCAGGATTGGAAAACTATGGAAGATCAGTTGGTGAAGAGGATGAAAGAGAAGATATAGAGTACAATCATATTTGTAAGCAATGCAATCATGTGATTTCTCAACATAAGGTTAGAATTGTGTACTTTTTAATTTTTATATTATTTAGCGTTAGCCTTGAGTGATTGATCTTGATATGCAATGCGGGGACTTCTTAATTATATATATTTAATGGTATATTATGCTTAAGAAGAAAATGTAATAATCAAAATTATTGTTATAATATTAAAAGAAAAACCGTGGCATAATTTTGATTATTCACCGAAGATTTGCCGAGGATTCTATATCTGTCCAACCATATGATCCAAGGAAGGCGTCGGCAAGCTTTCATAGAGAAAGCTGAAAGCAAATATAACTTACAGGGAATTTAAGCGTAATTTTAAGTGACCCTCTATGCAGAAATGGGAATGTTCGATTAACAGTGAGGTACTTTCTCAAATCAAGTATAAATTATATGTACATTTTTGATTAGATTAAGGTTTCAAGGGTACCATTGTAAATCTGACATTGTCATGTCATGAAGGGTCACTTGAAATAACATTTACAGTCCCTTTCAGATAACCTTACATTTATTGACTAGTATTTTCTCTTATTTGATTAGAAAGTTAATCCTTAATGCTGTTGAAATTTCAAATGAAGAGCCACTGTGTCATGATTTTCATAAAATTTTTCAAATATGATTTTCAACATTTGTTTATAATTAGGAAATCTGTGATATTTGTATAGGAAGACGTAAATTTTATTTTAAAAATGCAAATGCTTAATATTGTGAAAAAGAAATTAAATTTTCATTTTGTTTTTTTCACTGAAAGCTTCAATTTTTCTCTTCCCTGGAAACATTCTCTTCTTTGCACCATTAAATTTCTCATCATGATCAATAGTACATTTATTCTGTTTAAGACTTCTTCCTAATCTTTTTACACTTTGATGTTTATTTAGATTTAATTTGCATTAATTGCTTGAAATCAATTTCCCCGGTTTATAATTTTTTTTTTCTATAAACTTTGCCTAACAGAAGAGCGGAATGGCAGGGACTTAAATGAAAATAAAATTTAATATTTTTTACAGAAAGTGACAAAATGGAGACAGGCTTCCGAATCCGGTTGGATCTGTCGGATTTCATCCGGGTATTTCAATTTTATTTAATTTAAAGTGATAACTAGAAAACTCTGAAATATGAAGACGACTTTGCAGCATTATTTAGGTGTATTTTATATGTTGTTTCTAACATCTAGTTTTAAACTGGACACTTATTTAATTACAATTTAAGTGAAATGGGTCTTGTACACAAAAAATTACTTACTTCAGTTGGAAACTTTAGGAGCCTATCAAATTGTTATTTATAGATCTACAAGCAAGTCTGTAGACCCTTATACAAAATTGTGCAAACGAAGATTCTTATTTCTACCTAGTTACTCACTCCAGTTGGAAACTTTAGGAGTCTATCAAATTGTTATTTGTAGAGCTACAAGCCTAAAATTGGCTTATTGAATTGGAAATTGTACGTCGTATTTAAAAGTGGTCTCAATCTTGAAAATCAGATTACAAAAAAGTTTTTAGACCCTTATTCCCTGTTTTTTAGACACCCCGTAAATTTCAACCTTGATATAGTATTTGTCATCTCAAATTAGCCGTGTTGAGTGTGGAAATACGACGTCTCCAACTTTATTTTATTTAATTGATATATGTGTTTAGAATGTTGGTATGCTAAGAGTTATGTTTCTACCCAAGGCGAAGATATTCACTGTATCCGACTTGGCGGATAAAATTCGGTATTTAATTTAGAAATTCAGGGGAAATATATTTGAAAAAAATCATCTCCCTTTCAAAAATGTTTTTAGTTTCCGTGGGTAGGGACTGTTGAGTGAGTAAGTTTTTACAAAAATTTTTGTGAGACGGTTTTTTTCATTGGTAGAATGTCTCACAAACCATAAAATATTTAATTTGATCATAGCAAAAATAATTTTTGAATATTTGTGAAATTTATTGTTTTAGTGAGGAGTATAATGAGTGTACAGAAGAAACCACAGTTCAACTTTTCATGGAGGAATTAACCAAACCAAACCAGAAACAAACTTTTCGTTTTTATCAACCGAATTTAAGACGGGGATGTGTATTTTGTTGTTGAAAAAATTGCACCTACTCATCCTCTTAAAAAATCATCCCCCAGAAGTTGTGATGATTGCGCTGAAATTTGTAATGCTTTTTTCGCTGAATTTTGGAAAAGTATCATAAAGGCCGAAAAAAACTTACCTTGTAATGTTCAATTTTTCATTTTCCGCATAATTAATTAAAAATCAATCCCGGGGTTACCCCTGATTTCAGATGAATATTCTTGAACCTTTTTCTATTTTATAAATAAACTATAATTTTTGTCTTGTCTTTGTAAATCCATAATTTATAAAAAGTAATTTATTTAAACCTATTATAGATGATTATATAAAAGCCTATTATGCAAACTTTTGAAATAAAGGGCGATATTAACCAATAATTTCTAAGAAATTCTGACTAAATGAGATCTTTATCTTTTATTTCATTCGTTATAAAATCAAAGATGTTATTTGAGAATTGATTATCAGTTATAAAACTAAATATTTGTTCTAGAATTGATTTTTTGTTTCATTAAAATTGATGATTGATTTGATTGATTAATTGATCAGGGAGGATTTCTGATCCCAGACTGGGAATCTATCCAAGTTCTTCAACCTGATGATCTAGGAACTTAGAAGCAAATCATTAACAACAGAACCTATTACTTGCCTCAAACTCTAATATCTAATTCCTTTACATTCGCAACCTGATGTCCCAAACTTTCCCAAACAGGATTAGCTAAAATTCTCAAATAATAAATGCTTACACCAGCAATCATCAGGTTTCAATGATATAAAGATTAGAGGATTGGAGTTTATGGAGATTAATCACTTAAAGTGTTGAAAAAATCTCTTAAACAGAAGCAGATAAATATCAAGACATAAAAATATTTATGAAGTGAGACAAATCATTAGAAAATGATAAATTAGAAGAAATCAAAAGAAAATCTTAAAGAAAAGAAATATTTAACAATTGAAAATCTGTTATCAATTAAAAAAATTTTAAATCATTTATTACACAAATAGTAAATTTATTAAATAGAAATGAAGTAAAAGTCGTTAACAATTGAAAACAAGTTATTTACAAATGAAACAAGCCACTGACAATCCAAATCTGTGTCCGAATTTAATGAATTTAGACCGCGTCTAAAATCCCCCCAAAACCGGTTTCAATTGAGCTCCGGCTTAAATCTTGAAAAATTTAATACAAATTTAAGTGGAACCAACAAAATTTGAGCCGTGGCTTAAATTTAAACCGCGGTATAAATTCTTTAAATTCGGCCTCTAAATCAGTAACAATTAATAATAGTTTTAACCAAGAAATTTCATTTGAACTTCTAGTGAAATTGTTTCTTTGACAGTCAAAGTTGCTTTGGCAAAGAAAACAGAGAAAAGAAAACGGAAGATTGATGAACCAGAGAAAATGTGAGTGTATTACCTCTTTCTTAACCCCCCCTCCCTCCCTCCTTTCAAACTTCCTATTTTAGAGATCTCCAGACAGTTATTCTTCTAAATATTTTTGACATTTTGTTAATTTTCAAATTGCATTGTGATGTTTTTAATTGCCATATTTCTATTGTGTAAAATAAATAATTGAAATAATTTATATTTGCCCTGTTGAGTTTTTTTTTATGAATGAAGCAAATGTTTTATTCATTTTCGATTTCGATTAATTATTTTCGAGCAGGAGGGGTATTTTTTTATGAATCAATGTTATTTTTTTTGTTGCGCAGAATGAATTCTGTAGTACTGCTTCATTTTGTCATGTTTTAGATCTAGTCAACACAAGAAGAAGCTTAAAGCCACCAACAATGTTACTCTGGCACCTCCTGTATCTCGACCTAATAAAGTTTCCTCAAGTTCAGATAGCTCAGCATCATCTGAGGAAGAAGCACCGAAAAATCCTGCCAAAGCAATGAAAAATGTTTCCTCAGTTTCTAAGTCAGCTCCTCCTCCTGCCAGTTCCTCTGATTCAAGCGAAGATAGCTCAAGCTCTTCTGAATCTTCAGTTCCAACTAAATCAACCACTACTACTCAAGCTTCAGGGACGGAATTTAATGATTGGGGAGGTCGCTTAACCGCCGGTTCAAAATCTTTAATAACCGATTTAAATTTTCATGAATCTTTAACTTTTAATCGGGGATTCAAGATTTGAACCGGCGCGGTGGTAGGTAGTTTAGCAACCTAGCTTAAATTCATAAAATTCGGTCACAGGATCCAGAAATGGTGTAAGAAGTACACCAGCAGCAGCAGGAGTCAAAAAAACTACCACAGCTGCTGCAGACAAATCAGATAATAGTGATAGTGACAGTGACGGTGACCGTGAAGCCTCCAAACCAAAGTCCAACAACTTTAAAACTCCGAAAGTTCAGAAGAAAGAATCCTCCAGTGATTCTTCAGATGAATCCACTGATGAAGATAATCAGAAGAAATCAAAAACTGGATCCTACACTCCGACCATTTTTGAAGGATTTCCTAAATCATCCACTCCCTCTCTAACTCCGGCTGCTGATTGCACCAACACTGCAGAAAGTACTCCAGTAGGAGACAAGAAGACTCCTAAGAGAAAGAGGAAAAGAAAGAATAAAAACAAGAACAAGCTTCCAGCGTCTGAGATCGTAAATTTTGATCCTGTCCAACCAAATATATCATGTTCCAGGTAGTTTTTTTTATCCTTAAACATTGTATAAACATAAATACTTAAATACAAACTAGTTAAAGTGCCAGGCTTTGCCTGTGGAATTTTTTCAAATTGAACTTTAAAAAGAAAATTAAATATTTGAAAAAAATCGAATTTTTGAAGAAAAAAGTAATTTTTTTTAACCTATGTTACCCTCGGGGTACTTAAGGGTTTTAGCCAATTTGGTTCAGCCGTTTGGTCAGCTATAGGTAACATATATACATTACAAACAAATATACATGAGCGAAGAGCTTTATTATATAGATATATATACACGAGCGAAAAGCTTTATTATTTAGAATTACCCATCCACTGCACTGATTGTTATTGTTCAGTTCTACAACTGTTACTGCTGTTGCTAAATCAGAGGAGTACTCAGCAGATGATATACAGGCCCTATATAGACTTTCTAAACCAGCGCAAATAGGAAAGGTAAGTCATTTTTAATCTTAAGACGGTGCAATTTACAATTTACATCAAATCTGGTAAAACACAGATTGTTTCTTTACGATAACCTAACTCTTGTCACAGTCTTTTGAGGTACAGACTAAAACAGAGTAAACAAAAATTTGCTATCTCTCTTCTCTCTCTTCTACGAAGCAGTGCTTAGGATCCATTCAATTTTGATGCGGATCCGGATCCGGATCTAGGTAATTTCTTTAAGATTAACTGATNTTTTTTTTTCGCTTATTTTTATCCTAAAACTTGATGAACCATTAATGAATGAGGAAAATTTTAATAATCTCTCTTTTTTCAAAAGTTCAGATTTGGGGTTTAGGAGTAAAAAAATATTTTTTTTTTTCAGTTTTTGGTTGATATTTTACCTCTTGGATCCGGATCCGTGGGTCCGCATATTTTTGCGGATCCGGATCCAGAAAGCTAAAATCTTGCGGATCTAACGGATCCGGATCCGGATCCTAAGCACTGCTACGAAGTCCTTAAATTCAAATTAAAAAGTCTGTAAGCGTAATTTCATGCAAATGCAATATTCACAACGTTGCCCATGAATCCTTTATCTGATTCATGATAACGTAGTCAATGTTGTCTTTTTTCCTAGTTTAAAATGGTTTAATTCTGATAATTCTTGTATGTTTTCCTGTAGTAGAATCACCCAAGACACTTTTTTGTTGTAGAGAACCAACAATTGAAAACAATAATTTTTTAAGTCATAAACATTGATATCTAATTCATGCATGATAAGACAAAGCTTTAAAGAGTACTGCTGTGAAGCAGACATTCTTTGCATGGAAGGTTACTTAAAACAACTCTTCCCTTCAACCACACATTTCAGAGTCTGTTTTATACGTTTAATTTATTAATTAGCAATTGGATTTTATTTTAAACTAAGCGTCCATATATGATCATTTATGCACTACAAGTGTTCACTACAATATGACCTCCAATGCGCAAGTAAGGGGGGAAGTTGCATATTATAAAAAGGTCATCGACATTAATTTTACGTAGGTGCTTAGTAGTAAAGAGAAGGAGAACAAGGTGAATAATGATAAAAAGAAACTTTATTTATTTATTATTTATTTATAACTCTTATCTTTATGTTAAAATTATTTTTCTTGCTTTATTTTACATTGTTATTTTTTATGCTTTGAGTAAGTAGATTTTTCTATGTCTTTTAAGTGTCGTTATCTCTGAAATGTCCGATATATAAAATTAAACCATTATTATCCAAGGTGACAATGAACGGGAATAAAAAATCCGCCACACAGTTTATGCCTAGGGTTCTTAACATTCAGGTAATCGTGGAATTTAAAACTTCAGTTTCTTAAAATTGGACTATCAAAGTAATTTTATGTGACCCTCTATTGAAGCATAAATGATTGAGATATCCTTGGTTTTCTATCTGAAAATGTATCTTTTTCTCTTTACAGTGGCTTAATTAAAAAATTTATCTCTTTCTTAAATAGATAGGATCACGACGATATATTCCTCATGAATTAAAGGGAAAGCTGGGGGTGTTCTGGCCCACAGTCGACTTCACAGTTTACCCATCAGTACTTCCCCTTGCGATACGCATTCTATACACGCCTGGGGTTATCTGTTAAATCCGCCCAGGTTTTGTTCTATTAATTGTTCCTGGATGCAGGCGAACCAGGGTGAAATGTTTCCAGGAACCTGAGTTGACATCCTCATCCCACCTGTCCGCCCCCCCCCCCCTATTTTAAACCTGGGGTTTCTCAGGGACAGTATTTAATCTTTGGTCTAAATCACATTCAAAGGCAATGTGATAGCAATTTTGATTCATTTCATTCTTTCTTGATTTATACAATTGATAACCACATTAAAGCTATTCTCTAAATACTATGTTAAAATCCCATCTGTATCATTCATTATCCCTCTTAAATACCGGGCTTCTCTCAAAATTAGATTATTAATTATATTTTAAAAATTTTCTAAAATAATCTTCAAAGAGCGATTCTCTGCACAACTAAATAATAAGATCTAAGTTAAGAGATAAGAAAAATCCCATGTGACTTATTTTGAGATTCTGAAAGAGATCATCAAGACAAACATTTTGCGATATGTCAGCACTTTTTCTGCAATTCGCATAAGTCTAAATATTTCTTGCACTGTTTTAGCTAAGGATATAATTATTGATTTTTACTTTTTACTGAAGACCTTTTCTCTTATTCTTTATCCTGAACCTTTCTATACCCCTTACTCTAGACCTTTCCCCTGAACCTTTCTATACCCCTTACAGGCAATGGATAAAGCAAAAAATGTTAAGTAAAATATAAGATAAGACTTATATTAAAGTTAATGGAAATGGCAATAATTGGAAGTAAAGTAAAAAAAAGAATGGTTTTGGGTAAAGAAAAAGTAAAAATAAAGAGTGAGAGATATGTAAGTGTTTAAAGTAAAGAATAAGTAACGGTTTAGAGAGGAAAGGATAAGGAAAGGTTAAGGAAATATTTTGAGTAAAGTTTAAGTAAAAATTTAGAAGTATAAGAAATATAAGGGTTTAGAGAGGAAAGTATAAGGAAATGTTTTGAGTAAAGTTTAAGGAAAAAATTAGAAGTATAAGAAATAGAAGGGTTTAGAGTAAAGATAAGGAAAGTTTTAGAATAAAAGTTAAAGAAAGTTTTAAAGTAAAGTATAAGGAAGGTTTAGAGTAAAGGATAAGAAAGGTTGAGGTCAAGGATAGAGCATGTTTATGGTAAGGAAAGGAAGGTTTGGGAGAAAAAGAAAAAGAAGTGTTTTGTAAAAGGGGAAATAACCAAGAGGAAATATAACTTCACAGTACTTTTCTTTAAACCTTTTCTTTTTCTTAAATTTAAATATGCCTTATCATTTTCTCTAAACCCATCCTCATCCTTCACTCTAAACTCTTCCTAATCATCTACTCTTAACCTTTTTATCCTTCCTCTAAACCTTTCCATATCTTTTACTCCTACTGCTTTCTTTAACCTCTACCCCTGAACCTTTGATTATCCTTCACTCCTACACGTACCCTTATCCTTTACTCTAAACAGTTCTACATCTTTTACTCTTGACCTATCCTTTTCTATTCTAAACCCAGTCTCATCCTTGGTTTATTAGTAAAGGTTAGATAAAGGTTTAGTTTTAAGAGAATGGAAAGGACTAGAGTAATGAATAAAGGTAAAGGTCTATGGTTTAGAGTAAAGGGTATGGAAAGGCCGGACTAGAGTAAAGGATAAGGAAAGGACTAGTAGAGTAAAGGATAAGGAAAAGGTCTAGAGTAAAGGGTATCAAAAGGTTTAAAGTAAAGGAAACGAAGAAAGGTTTATAGCAAATTATAAGGGGAAAGGACTATAGTAAATGATTAGGGGAAAGGTCTATAGTAAATGATAAGGGGTTCACATTCTAGGGTTAAGGATAAGGAAAGGTTTAGACTAAAGGATTAGGGAAAAAGTCTATAGTAAATGATAAGGGTTATGGTCTTGAGTATGGGGTATGTAAAGGATTAGAATATAACACAGGGAAAGGTTTGGAACAATGGGTAAACAAAAGCTCTGGGATTTTTAGCAGATCTTCTCTGTAAGGAAAAAAACTGTAAATCTCCAGTACATATATTCAATTGCACCATTAGGCCTGTGCATGTGAAATAGAGGTCAAAAGAAAAAAAACATTTTACGTCTAAATACTGGTATTTTTTCCAAAATGTTCAAATTAATTTGCTATATAAAGAGCTTAAAAATGTCAATAAAACTTACTTTGCAAATATGCGAATTGCAGAAAAATTCGACTCAGGAAAAAGTGCTGACATATGGCAACATGTTCGTCTTGATGGGCTCTTTCAGAATCTTAAAAAAGTTACATGGGATTTTTCTTATATTTTAGAGATAAGTTGTATTAAATGAAATCAATTACTGTTAACTGGTATAATGTGTGGAATGTAAAATAAAAAAGTATCTGTATTTATAAAGTAGTATCCTCTTTTAGGATGTTAGGATGTGGAATCAAAACATATAATTCCTAGACCAATTAGCAACAACTTTTAATTGGGGAACTTGGTAGAACCACGGGAATGTGGTTTGTTTAGTAAACATTTCCAAGTTGAGGGGGTAGACTTTTATTGAAAAAATCTAGGAAAAGCTGGGTTCCCTAGCTGGTAGTTTTATAAAATATTAAATATGAAGTAAACAATATGAAGTGTGATAAATATTTCCTGGAATATAATATTAAAACTATTTGGTTCCAAAAGTTTGATTTATTTGGTTCTAAAAATCAAATATTAAAGTGTGTTTTCTAGGAATTGAAAAAGGGGAGAAATATCCAGAACACGGATGTATTAACAGATATTCCATCAACACAGGAAAACTTTAAATTCAACAATTTAACTAAACCCTCAAACCCCCACCCCACCNTAATATTTCAGTCTGATTTACAGAATCTTTGTTCTTCACCTAATATTTCAGTCTGATTTACAGAATCTTTGTTCTTCACCTAATATTTCAGTCTGATTTACAGAATCTTTGTTCTTCACCTAATATTTCAGTCTGATTTACAGAATCTTTGTTCTTCACCTAATATTTCAGTCTGATTTACAGAATCTTTGTTCTTCACCTAATATTTCAGTCTGATTTACAGAAAATGATGTTTGTGTCATGTCCAGTTAATGATATTTTATTATTGATATCTTAGTCTGAGCAAAGTTGAAGCCTTTTTATCTTAAAACTTGCTGACTTTAGAATTTTGTTAATTTTATTCCTTCTCTCTGTCGAATATAAAAGTCACTTTAAAAAAATCACAATTGAAAAATATCAATTTCAGACAGAAAAACATAAATATCTGCGAGAATTAAGGATAGTCCTAATAGAATAAGAACATACCTTTTTTTATACAAATAGTGTGTACGTTCCGTGCACTGTAATGTTTATGACGTCATGGGCTACTGTGTTGAATTCAAACTATCAACATTAAAACTCTAGTTATTGAATAAATTCAATAAATTAATCATTCATAGGTGCTAAAAATGGTCGGAAATTAACGACACTGTTATAAACTTCTAAATGTTAATAAATCATTCTTAGGAAACTATGCTCTTCTGCTAAAATTGCGATTTTTTAACGCATTTCATTTGTATTAAAAATACCAAATATTTAAGAACAACCTTTGTTAAATGTCATTAAATATAGTTTTCTACTAGTTTAAAGCAGAATTTTAGGCCGGTAAAGAGAACAAGGCCCAAAAAAACTTGGCTTGAAGAGGCAAAAAAATTGCAAACCAATCATTGCAATCTGGTTTAAATTAAAGTTTATCTACTTAAAGATACTAAAGTTATGCATTTCTAACGGCAAATTACGTAAAAAAAAACACGTTTTTGGTGAAAATTATGCTTAAAAAATTCTAAAATCATTTTAAATTATAGAAAAGACGACATTCTGTGGCTTTTCAATTGAACCAATTAAGGCGTCTGGTTTTGCGTTTAAATCCCAAATTGAATATAAATGGTATATTTTTGTAAAGGTTTAAACGTTGAGTGACGTCACAACCATAATCAGCATCATGATAAGCATTAAAATGTCAAAAAAAAGAATATTTTAGCATTTAAAACTTAAATAATAAAATTTTCATATTTTAGTTAAAGCCTGAAATTTCATGTGACCTTTTAATGCAAAAATTCACAACAGTACCCTTGGAGCCTTTATCTGATCAATAATGTAGAAGATATTGTCGTTTTTATCGTGAAAAATAAGCAGTTTTCAAATTGTTAAACACAAATATCTAATTCTTACTGGATCTAAAAAAGCTGGTAAGGGTACCGTTGTGAATCGCGCATTGCCATCTTTCCGTGGAGGGTCACTTGACATTTAGCTAACAGTCCCTTTAAGATGAATAAATAGAAATGATTCCTATTTTAACGTTCATATTTTAAATATTTAAGATTTATTCTGTGACGCCATAACCTTTAAGTATATCATTAAATTTAAATCTTGAAAAATGCAGGGTTGTGTTTTTTTTCATGAAATATTGCCAAACATGATTCTCATTTTAAATTCTTAAAAACTGAATTTAAGCTTTAGCAGCAAAAATCAAAAAATCAAAATTAAAAATGAGTAAAAGATTGTAATTGTATTTGTTTACACTTAAGAATTTTTGTGTTTCTTATCTTGAGATCAACCATTGATATCAATCTTATTGATAAGTTTGTATACTCTACGATATTCCGCGATGGTCATACTCTGCAAGGATAACATGATCATGAGGATAGCATTTATCCTCATTTTTTGAAGTTCCCACTTTGGATATCAAGATCAAGCGTTTCAAGATGAAGTGCCAATTATTTATCTTTTCTGGATTATAATCAACATAATATGAAAATTATTTATAATTTTTTATTGATAAGAATAAGAGGTTAAATTCCTAAAAAATGAAATTATCTCCTTCAAATGTTTTATATTTATCTTTTCAGGATTACACTCAATACCATGCAGTGAGCTCCGGTGGACCCAGGTAAATTAGTTTGCATCAGGTCGAAACTTTTGAATTATAAATCGATTCAGAAAGCATTTATTCGTATGTTTACAAAACGACAGAAGTAGGTTAATATTTATGTTTGGGTAAAAAGTATTAAAAAGGGTGAAACAACGCCACTGAAGATGTCCATTTATGCATTTTTTCTATCCAGATAAAAAAAAAATAATATCCCAGGGGAGGGGGGATTTAATTCTCAATCCATGCCTTGGAATTTAATTTTCTTTAAAATATGATAAATACACATTTGTTGCAGAAGACCTGAGGAGTGTGGGTTTAGTGAGTGATTTTGATTTTACCCCCAATCATAAATTTTACCACTTAAGAATTATATTTTGTATTGACGTTATATCTTAAAATCTTAAATGCATGGATACATATTTTTAAGAACTAACGAGTTTTAATGCTGGGGNTTTAAGTGACAAGCATTTTGCCTTTTTTTACACATTTTAACTAAAAATTTATTTTTGAAAACAATATATACCACTAAAACAAAGCCAGTGCTGTTTAAAATCCTATTTAGAGCATCACTGTCTAAATTAAGGAACTGTAATCGTGATTTCAAGTGACCCTCGATTTATACAGTGGCATGCAGTGCTTAAGATTCGGATCCGTTTGATCCGCAAGATTTTGGCTTCTTGGATCCGGATTCGGATCCAAGGGGCAAAATATCAACCAAAAACCGCAAAAAATAGTCTACTCTCAAAACCCAAATCTGAACTTTTGTAAAAAGAGAGATTATAAAAATTTCCTGATTATTGAATGGTTCATCAAGTTTTAGCTTTAAAATAAGCGAAAAAAGAGAAAAAAAAATGAAAAATTCTGCTTTTTTAAAGAATTCAGTAAATTTTAAAGAAATAACCTGGATCCGGATCCATTTTTTCCAGTGCGGATCCTAAGCACTGGTGGCATTTCCGCTCGACAATGGTACTCTAAAATTCTAATCAAGAATAAAGGAGCTGTACATGTTTTTGTTTTTTTTTTAATTTGATTATTTTAAATTGTGTTTTTTTTTTAATAGAAATATTTGAGTAAATTGTCAGAACTAAACACTTTTTGAGTAAGATTAACGTCGATAACCTTCTCACATTACTAATCAGAAAAAGGGTTATAGGGTACCTTTGCTAATGTAGGATCACTTTAAGTTACAACAATAAACTTTAATAGTTTAAAGTGAGTTCAATTTACAGAGTGGCATGTCCGATTTACAACGGTGTTCTTAAAAGCTTTGTTTTATCAAAAACTAATGAGCTGTGTTAAGTGGTGAGTTTTAAAACAAACAATGGGATTAATTGTCAGAATTAAAATCGATCACGTTTTTAAGGGTACCTTTGTTAATTGGTCATGCCCTTTAAATAAAGATTCACTTAACGACGACGACATTCCCTTTAATGTTCAGGATGAATGATGTTATAGCGTTCAAGATGGTTGAGATGTCTAGTAATTATACTCCGGAAGTATCCGAGTATAAGGAGGGTAGAGTGGTGGATATTCAAGATAATCTGGTCACATTTAATATTGTATCACAGCAAACTTTAAAAAGGTAAGGCATATATATAATTATACGGTACCAGTACAAAAGTCGGACGCACAAACGTCGGACGCCACAAACGTCGGACAGTACAAACGTCGGACGCACTAACTTCGGACCAGTACAAACGTCGGACTAGTACAAACGTCGGACTGGTACAAACGTCGGACTGGTATAAACGTCGGACCAGTACAAACGTCGGACGGGTACATTTATAAGAAAAACCGTCGGACTTGGTAGATTTTGAATGGACCATTGTTTTAAAAAATTTCAAACTATGAATTCTACAAGATCATACAGTTTAATCCCTATATCTTTGCAACCCGATGTTGTAGATGTTTCCAAGAACAGTACGTGGACTTATTGCTATATTTCCAGAGCTTTCTTTGACTTTTTCTATTTCACGTTCTCTTTTCTTCAAAAGATCACTGTCATGTGTATGCTCTCCCAGGAAACTGATAATCTTGTCATTCTCAAGAATTGTTTTTCCTTTGAATGCATTGGTAATCGGTTTTGTTGGGTTTCTTCTTTGTAACCCTATATTCAAACTGATTTGAATCAAGTAGGTGCCGTCCCCCCTGCTTGACCTCAATATAGTTAGCAGTCTCCTCGTCCATGTATCCAGACTTTGTGAGATTATGAATTTTTAACAAAAAAAATTGGGAATTTTTTTGAGAGAAAATTGCGAATTTACAAGAATTTTAATCTGAAAATTCAAATATATTTTTTCCTCCTTAGTCCGACGTTTTTCCTTATAAATGTACCCGTCCGACGTTTGTACTGGTCCGACGTTTGTACCAGTCTGACGTTTGTACTGGTCCAATGTTTGTACTGGTCCGACGTTTATACTGGTCCGACGTTTGTAAGTCTTATGTTTGTACCGTCTGACGTTTGTGGGTCCGACGTTTGTACTGGTACCGTTTTTATATCTTCATATCACTTGCATCGACTTAAAATTCGGTGATGGTGATGAACCAAACCTCTGTAGAGAAAAAAAAAAGATAGTTGTTATTTCCACATTTTATTGAAAATATATTTCGGTCTAGGTTAACCCTCAACAGTTCTTGAGATTGTTTCTGTCATGAAGATTAAAACAATGCACGCACTGGGTATACATGGTACATACAAGGGTTATCGACCTGCCACTGAGGCAGTCTATTGTGCTCTTTAAAATTTACTCTCAAACTAAAGATTTCTAACAAGGTATTCTTTATTCTAGTTTTAGCTAGAAAATAGACAGAGACTGAAGTTTTAGAGGGTTTAGAATGAGAGATTTACAGATTCACTTAGAAAATCGAGTTTTTTAGTAGTTTAGACCAAAAAGATATAAAACGGTCTATTCACACTGGTAGCATCTTTCTGTCGTAGCGCGGTAAGGGGGGGGGGTTGGAGCTCTGGGTTCTAGTTCCGATAGTGGTCGGTGTTTATTTTAGATTTTACTCCTTAACATTTATTGGCTTTTCGGTCGAAATAACTGATTTATTTGATTTTGAGATGAGCTTCAATGTTGTTATGATTTGTAACCGTTTAAATTAAAAAATATGTCCTTTGAAAAAAGTTCACTTCAATGCAGTTTTTGAAAACAGAAAATTTTGCGCCTGTATGTGTTTGTTGAAAAAAGTTGAGAAAAAAATCCTTAGAAATAAAATGACCTAAAAATTCATTGAAAAATAACAGTCTTAAAGATATTTTACTAATATCTTTGATTGCTTGATTATAAAACATTATATTCTCCCATAATACCAGCATAAGAAATTAAATGAACAGTTATTACATTTTTAGTCAAGATGAAGAGGGGGAAAAGTAATTGCAAGTCAAGAATTAAAGAATTCGAATTTTTAAAAACTATGAATTTCAAAAATTAAATTGTCAGAAAGATTTTCTTAATGTCATAAATTCAAGAATTTAGTCATTAAATTCAAGAATTTAATAAATGTCATTAAATTCAAGAATTTAATAAATGTCATAGATTCAAATAATTTAAGAATTAAAAATAATCAGAATTTTAAAAAAATAAATATGTTAGGACCGGCAAGTTTGAGTTGAACCCTGAGGAACTCCCTTTTCAAGAACCCATCGTTCAGATCCACTGGTCTGCAGTTCTAGAACCAAGACTAGTGTTCCCATAATACAGATATACACTGTTCAATAGCTTTGTTATTATTGACCCATCATTTTTTAAAGACAAAACGTCTATGGTGAACATTGTTAAATTTTTCAGATAAAATGTCGATTGATGATCCTGAAATTGAAGCTGAGGGTTTAGATGATCCTGGAATAGTTCCTGAAACTCCTGAGCTTGATGAACCTGAATCTACTCAAGGAAATCAGCAATTAAATCTTTATTGATCAAAAGTTTAAAATACTTTAATATGATTTTATTTCTGTTATTTGTGAATACTTTTGACAAAATTTTATTTCATTCAATTTATTGATAAAGAAATGCCTTGAGCCAATTAAAATATAAATAAAAAATATAAATATAATATAAATATAATAAAAAAGCAGTGCTTAGGATCCATTTAATTTTGATGCGGATCCGGATCAGGATCCTGTATCCGCACTGGAAAAAATTGATCCGGATCCGGATCCAGGTCAAATTTTCAAATTTTTTGTTTATTTTTCTCGAATATTTTTATCCTAAAACTTGATGAACCATTAAGAAATGAGGAAATTTTTAAAATCTCTCTTTTGTCAAAAGTTCAGATTTTGGTTTTAAGAGTAAAAAAGGTTTTTTTTCAGTTTTTGGTTGATATTTTACCCCTTGGATCCGGATCCTTAGCACTGTAAAAGTTTTTCATTTAATATTTGTTTTTATGATTTAATGATCTAATATTACTAAAAGGTTATTTGTTCCATTTTCTAGATATTTAAACCAAATTAATAGATTTCTAATATCGCTTAGTATTTTCATTATCAATGTTTATAAGATTTTACAAAAAAGTTGATTTAAACGACGGACAAAGTTTAACTTTTTAGTTTCAATTTTTTTATATGATTTGCTGCGTGCAGGTGGAGATAGTATAAAAGTAGTTCCCGAATCTGAGGAACTAGTTGAAGAAGATATCCTGGAAGATGATGATAAAGAGAACGACCGAATGGAGGATGAAGATTATGAGACTGAAGAACAATCTGGAAATATTTTGTCTGATAAGACCAATACACTCAACACTCGGAAGGTAATTCAGACGTTGTTAGAATTGATCAGTGCTTACTGCTTTGCAGCCATTTCATTTTGATGCGTATACGAATCCGGATCATGGATCGGCCCTAAAAAATAATGGATTCGGTTCCAGGTCATTTAAGTTTTTTTAAGATTTACTGATTTTTTCAAAAAAAGATGATCGCGCAAATTTGTTCTTTTTATAATAAAACTTAATTAACTATTCAGAGATAAGAAAATTCTTAATAATCTCTTGTTTTTGACAGTTCAGATTTGAGTTTTAAGAGCAAAACGCTTTTGAGAAATATCTGTGAATCTGCATATTTTTGCGGATCCGGATCCGTAGCACTGGAATTGATTATTTATGTAAGGATCTTAAAGGGACTGTCGTTGTAAACTCAAGTGACCCATCATTTAAAGATGGCAAGCCCAATTACAACTGTAACTTTCAATCCTTTATCTGATCAGAAAATTAGAAGATATCGCGTCTTCTTTGCCTATTTCGTATTTAATTAATTTTAACAATTTTAACACAAATAGAAAATGATGAATATCTCATTCAAACTAAGATTTTAAGGTACTCTTGGGAATTGATGATGTCACTATTAATGGAATAAGCTTAAAATGACGCGCACAGACCCTTTAACAAATAACTTAAATAAATTAACGTATTCCAATATTCAGAAAGGAGAAGAGGAAGAAGAGAAGAGAGCTAAACTATTCAGGTTTCCCCAAGGAACTATCAAGAAACTAGTTAAACTTGATGAAGATGTTCACATGGCAAGTCAGGTACAAACAAATCATAAAGGGAGTGATCGCGAAAAATGGAATGGGGGTAAATGCTTAACCCGAATTGAATTCGTTTTTGATCGCTACTAATTTTACTTCTATCCGTTGCTTTTATAATGAGAAAATGATTTGAAACTCATTATACCTAAGAGAGCAGAACCCGTACAAATTCACGTATCAATATCGAATTCAATTCGGGATTAGTCTTTACCCGCTTCCATTTTTCGCGAACACTCCCTTGAAAGAAATTGCTCACCTATTTTAAAAGCTTAATTTTGATATTATGTACACATCTTTCTGAGGCCCAGAATAGTCATACACGTCGTTTTTATCTTTCGTGGTCAAATTTACAAGCAGATACTGATATTGCATGATGCTAAAAAAAGCTCTATTGATTTGTACTCAAAACTCGTTATTATACGGACAGGAGTTCAATCCATTTTAGAGTTATATCACTTATACAAAGTAGTAATGGCGGTTTGTTTGTTTGGATTAACGATCATAACTCATGAAATCCTGGACCAATTTGCCTCAAATTTTGATTGGGGAAATTGGTAGAACCACATGACTGTTATTAACTTAGTTCAAAAATTCTTTGTCCAATGGGAAAATTAATTTTCCAGGCAAGGCTGGGTGTCCAAGCTACTGCTTTAAGGGACTAAACACGTAATTTCAAGTGACTCCATGCAAAGATGGCAATGTCCGGTTTGCAACGTTACCCATGAAAATTAAATCTGATCAAAAATGTGGAAGATACCGTCGGTTTTCTGATTTGAAACCTGTTTATTTCTGTTTCTCTATTATTGCTTCTTATAAAGAAAGAATGCGCAAGTGACTTTCGCATAGAAACCGCAAATAAATATAAGCAGTGTAAAGAAACAAATACATTTATATCTAATTAATACTTGATCAGACAACGTTTTTAAGGGTACCGTTTAAAATCTGCCATTGCCATCCTTGTATGGAGGGCACTTGAAATTACGTATACAGTCCCATATTTTACTTTGCTGTTAAGTTCTAATAATTATTTTAGGACGCTGTATCTACGATCACGAAATATTTCAGGACTCTGTATTTATGATCTCGAAATATTTCAGGACGCTGTATTTATGATCTCGAAATAAATCAGGACGCTGTATTTATGATCTAGAAATATTTAAGGACGCTGTATTTATAATCTCGAAATATTTCAGGACGCTGTATTTATGATCTCGAAACATTTCAGGACGCTGTATTTATTATTAAAAAATAGTGTTTTAACTTCAGCAAATTGGTTTTCGTAGTTTATGGAGAATGGGAGCATTTGTCAGATAGATCACAGACTATGTCTGAGACACGCTTGGATTGAAAGATGAAGCCCTAAAATGTATCCAGAAGAAATTTCTTTGGAATGTATAATCTATCCAAAGAAATATTTCAGCACGCTGTAATTATGATCTCGAAATATTTCAGGACGCTGTATTTATGATCTCGAAATATTTCAGGACGCTGTATTTATGATCTCGAAATATTTCAGGACGCTGTATTTATGATCTCGAAAGCAACAGAACTCTTTATAGAAACCCTATCCACAGAAGCGTTCTCCTTCACGAGTAAAAACAAGAAGAAAACTATTCAGAAAAATGACGTGGACACAGCTATAGAGACAACGGAAGCATTAGCATTCTTGGACGGAGCCATGGACGATTAGATTGTTTCATTCTTAAACGGAGACAGAGAATTTCAACGGAGATTTTAAAATACTAATATCTTCTTAACTGACATGAATCACATAAAGTATTGGTTTCCCCGATATTTTGGTCATCCAAAAAGATCTTAGGGAAACCCTTCGAGTTCATGAGAAATAATTCTTGACAAATTCTTTTAACCTATAAAATATATATTAAAGGTTTCATGTACAGTTAGTAATCTCTTTCCTTAAAGTCTGCGTCATTCTTTTTTTCCCTAGGATACTAATATCAGAAACCTTTATACAAAGCGTCAGAAACCAGCAGATAATTATGTGATACCTTGATAAATCTAATACGCTTAAAGTAATATTCCTTCCATTACGCTTAAACTTGTAATCCATCAAGGTTGACCTAGAATTATCCTTTACACGTGTAATCCATTACTCTGAAATTAGAAAATAGCAATGAATTTCATTTGAGGTAGTCATCAGCTCTACTTCCCTCATCCATTTCACTAACTAGTTATCCATTACTCCTTAATGTTCATCTAAATAGTGATGAATTACTCCTTAACTAGCACTAGCAATCCATTACACTTGAGGTAATCATCTTTTTTTATTTCAACTAGTTATTCATTTCTTTCAACTACAATTCCTTTACTCTTCCTCTAGCAATCCATTACACTCTAACTATAATCCATTACTCAAGCAATTAATACATTACTGATAAGTGATAGTAATCCATTAGTCTTCAAGTAATAATCCATTTCTCCTCAACTAGTAATCTATTAATGTTCGAATAGTTGTCCTCAACTGTTGATCCATTCACTTGATACAGAGTCCATTACACTTGGATTACACTCCATTACACTTGAATAATCCATTTATTGTCTAGAACTAGTTTTGTAAATATTTGTATATTTCAGATGGAAGTATTAAGTAGAGAATGGAGTTTAATCAATGAGCTATCTCAGGTTGGGTTTCATGATGTTTCCATAAGTGGATCTGATGGCCTTTTTGCTTCTCATGGACACAGGTAGTCGGGTGTTCTAACTCATTTATTTTGTAAATATTATGAAAATTGATTTAAAATCTTCAATTTTTAACCACCCTTTTCGATTTTGAATGAAAGGAGAGTGGTATTCGGAAAGTCTACTTTACAGTGGTTACTGGTTACCAGAAAACATATGACAAATTAAAAGAAAAAACTAAGACGACAACAACGGTCATTTCGCAATTTCTAGGCTTGTAGTTGCAGCCTGCTGTCCTTTACTTCGAGATATTTTTCTACAAATTGAAGACGACATTCATGTTATTCTTCCAGATTATTCACCAACTCAAGTTCGACTTCTTGGTTAGTATTGTCAGTTCATTTAATGAATTTATTCAAATTGGTAATTGGATTGAAATTGAATGTTGAATTAAATAGTTTGTTAATTATTTGGTTCAAAATTTGCGATGTGATCCATTGAATAGTTGGTAATTAAGGGGTGTATATTATAAAGAACTAACATTTAAGGAGAAAACTGCTTTTTGTCCTTTTTTCCTAATTCAGCGAACATAAAAAAACTTTTTTGGGTAAAATTATTTTCAATAGGAGGTGGGTAATGATTTTTCAAGAAAATTTACACCACTGTGGTAATTTGTTGTAATTGAAGATCAGAGTAGTGTAGTTGTACTAAAAGAAGAGCAGAGTAGCAAAACTAATACTAATAATTGTAGTTGAGCACCTGTATATAGGAAGTATAGAAACTGCTACAGAAGATGAGCAGAGTAGAGTAGCAAAACTAATACTAAATAATTGTAGTTGAGTACCTGTATACTGGAAGTATAGGAACTGCTACAGAAGATGAGCAGAATTCTGTAGTTGAACTAATCAATATACTCTCAACAGTTACTGGCCAGCATCTTCTAAAACCGCCAGGTAGCATGCAACAAGTCAGAAATGAAAATTTATAGAGACTATTATCAAATTGTAACATACTACATTCATTTTAACTTAGACTGTCAGTTTTTTACTTAACATATTCATCCATTTAAAGAGTTTAATAACCTGATCACGAAGGTATCTTATATTTTATATAATGGTTAGTAGCGAGTTACTGAATACTAATATATGCAGCAAATTCAGCTAAGATATTTGTAATTGCGTTGTCTCGATAAAAGAAAAAAACGTACAGAGCTTTTGAGATTCAAAATTAAAAACCACGCTATTTTTCTTATTCTTTATATGAGGAAGTGTTGAAGCAATGTGCTCTGTGAAGTAAATCGAGCATGCAACTTTTTAATGGATGGTTACTTGGAGTGTGATATTAGGATTTCCAAAAAGTCTGATTTTTGGCTCAATTACAATTTTCAATAACAATACTTTTTATTTTATTAAATACTAGTGTCTTCTGCATCTTCTCCAGTTCTGCAAACCCAAGCTTCAATTCTTGCCGTTCCACCAGATCATGCTCAGCTGCCTGTTCCTGCCCGTGAGTCTGTTCCAGCTGATCTACTTGTTCCAGCTGATAATCTTGCTCCTTCTGATCCTCCTGACCCTCGTCAAAGTCAACTTCTTGAAGATAATATTCTTGAAACCAACCTGTTCGATTCTCCATCTTTACCAGGAAACCTTGTTTTTAAAAACTGTTTTATAGTAATTGTTAATTCAGACTATTTGAGAAAAAGAAGCTTTCTGAAAAATCTAATTTAAAACTACTACTAAAAACTACTTTCAAGGGATCTTAAAGAAATAAGATTTATTATATATCCATGACACAGTGTTTCAACCTGTTATGGCTAATCAGTATTCAGTATGGCTTCATTCGTAAGATTTTGTTTTGCAATTGACCGGGCTAGAACCGTGAACCATTTGATTACGATTCAAGCACTCTAATCATTTTGCCTCATGAAACCCTAATGGGTGGGTAATGCAATATATACTGTTTGTCTGGGTGTCTGTGTGTTTGTTTGTTTGTACCCAATAAACGTCTAAAGGGCTTAAATGATTGGTCCCAAACTTTTTGTGTCAACTCATTTGACCCAAGGGAAGGTCAATGGAATGTCGAATTTTGCCCGGGAAAGGTCGACACATTATTTTCGAAAATGCACCAAATTAAACAGAAAAATCTGCAAAATTATTATTTAAGATTTAGAATAAAAAGTGTCACTTGAGAATCAAAAGTTCAAAAGTAAATTTGTTATTTGTTACTATAAAATAGGCCCTTTCACCTCGAATTTAGTTTGTTTGTGGGGTTTTCCTCTAATTAAGTGAATTATTGAAACACAAACATCAAAACTGTGAGATAAAGTTTATCTTTATTGAAATATTATAAAGGGGACAACTAAAATGTATTTCTGAAGGTGCACATTCCACAGAAAATTTATTTTATGTACATTTTCTATTTAGAAAAAATATTTAAAGTTGAATTTTGAACCAACTTCGCAGATTGTTTAACCCCTTCTCGCCTTTCTCCACTCAAAGTGTAAAATGTTCCAAACTTGATAGAACTTTAAACAAATTCTTTCAAGAGAAATTGAATTTAGAATTAATTAATGTCACTTGCACAATTAGAAAATTAGTTTTTTAGAGTGAATAGAGGGGGGATTGGGGTGGGTTAGATAATGGACATAGTTGGGTTGGGAAACAAAAGGTTTAAAAAACATGTGTTACTCAAACCTCCCGATGGCGGTTTGGGTCCTCCAAACTGAGGGAGCTTTCAGATCTTTCTCCTGACACTCCTGTTTTAAACATTTCCCGTTCCTCGTTCCTTCTGTTTCTCTGAGTTGCTGTTCTTTCAATCCTGTTCCACAAACCTCCTGTTCTTTCAAACTTCTGTTTTTGATTCTTCTGTTTCTCGTTTCCTAATCCTGTGCCTCAAGTCTCCTGTTTTTCTCAATTCCTGATCCTCAAACCTTCGGTCTCTCTTAACTCATGTTATACAATATCTGTTTCTCCAAACTCTTTCTTTTTGGGCTTCCTTTATTTTTAAACTCCTGCTTTTTGAACCTCCTGATTTGATTTGATCTCTAAACTCTTCTTAAACCTTCTGTTTCTTTCAGATCCGTTTATCTATTCTCCTGCTTTTAGGATCTCTTACTGTTTTAAATGATGGAACATTTCATAGAAAGACATTTCATAGACATTTCATAGATAGACATTTCATAGACAGACATTTCATAGATAGAAATATCATAGATAGACATAGACATTTCATAGATGGAATATTTCGTATATTAGACATTACATATAAATGGGACATTTCATGTAAATGGGACGTTTCATATAAATGGGACATTTCATAAATTGGACAATTAATAAATAGGAATCTCATGGTAAAAGAAACTCATAATTTAAGGACATTTCATAGACAGGACATTTTAAAGACAGAAAATTTTCTTTAGCCAGGTAATTTCTTAATCAGATAAAGTTCTTTATACGTGTAAATTCAAGAGTTGGGTCATTTGATGAACAGAGAAGAATTTCATGGATAGTTAACATTTTCAATTTAAAGAAGTATTTTTTTATTTATAAATTAAAATAGAAATGTTTTTTAGTGTTTTTCTTAACTCAGCTAACAAGATATATATTAACTGTTAAAAGCAAAAATGTGAAAAATGGGTAAAAAACAGAAATCGTTGAAATATTATTGTCTGATTTTTTTAAATATGATCATTCTCTGGAAAAATGAGCTACCTTATGACAACTTTGCTCTGTCTATGAAATGTCCTGTCTAAAAAATGTCTTCTATGCAATGTCCTGTCTATAAAATGTCTTCTATGTAATGTCCTGTTTATAAAATGTCTTGTTATGAATTATGTCCCAATATCTTTTTCATTATGCCTGCACCTAGATACTCCTGTTAAACCAAACTCCTGCTCCTTTGTTCTTCAATCTCCTGTTTATGTCTGCACCTAGATACTCCTGTTAAACCAAACTCCTGCTCCTTAGTTCTTCAATCTCCTGTTTATGCATGCACCTAGATACTCCTGTTAAACCAAACTCCTGCTCCTTAATTCTTCAATCTCCTGTTTATGAATTTTTTTATCTGTTAATCATTTCGTTCTATTTGCATGCCCAGGGGGGGGGTTTAAAAATATATAAATGCCCCTGTACAGTTTATGTGTATTTTCCCTTCAAAATCTTACTTAGTATATTCTTTGAATAAAAGAGTGTTTAGATTGTCTTGAGCCAACTTCTTTGTATATTTTTTAAAACTAAACTCATGCTTTCTTCCATTATCTAGAATTTTCATAGATAAATAAATAAACATACATAAATTATGAACGCAAAATCACCAAGAATTGTACAGTCCGCGAACTCATACTTCTAGGGGCCAAAGTGTACTTCAATGATAAGCGGGGTGGTTTGGTGTTTTAATAGAGTAAAATAACTCCGGGAATGGAACTTTTTGAACAACAATATTTCACTGAGCAATATAACATATTGATGAGAACTGAAGAAGGACATAAGAAGGACTAAACTAACTTAAATTTCTCTCTACAGAAGTCATGTACACCACAAGTACTCAATGACATAAGAACAGCCAATGTTGACAAACATCTCTGTACATTTATATCTTTCAAGATGAAAAATGTCGTCTTATTTGCAATCTATCTTTATCTACAGAGCGTCCCATATCATATTAGATTATCCCTAATCTTTAACGACAAAATAAACCCTTAATACTCGAAAAACTTATGATTTTCCGCAAGAAAATTATTATAAAAGCCTTATGTTATTTTTCAAATTGATTTATTCTAATTAAATTTTCTTATTAGTCCCGAAAATCGCAATTTAGACCTGATGACGGTCTAATATGATGTGGGACACCCTGTATGAGAATTTTACTATTCCACATATTTTCTTGGAAATATTTAGCGCCGGATTTTTTAACTATTACTTATTAAATGTTTTTTAAAACAAAACTTAAAAATTTTGAAAACTAGAAGAAAGGTGTCAATAAAAAATGGGCCTGATCGGTTTAGTCTTCTAAATGCAAAAAAAAATACCAGGCAGACAAACCAAATATCCTTAGTTAGGATTAGAATTTGAGGCAGTAAAGTGGGACTCATAAACCTGTAGAATACAATAACGATTAGACTCTATTAATGATTTACATTTTTTATTAACATGATAAAAAACAACTGTTTATTTGAGAAGTGTGCAGAATCATATTTAATCACTTGATTTTATAACTTAATATCAAATATACCTAAGCTTGTTAAAATATAATTGTCGTCTTCCTATTTCACACTTTTATGGGTCCCACTTTATGATGCATGTTTTCTGTTTTTTTATATTGTTTTATAAACTTGAATAGGGACTGCTGTTTGGATTTCATGTGACTCTTGTTGAGTTAATGAAGGCCTCGAGTTTTATTAAAGGTTGGGTTCCCTACTCTCTGCATACTAATCCATAGTCCACAACAAACAAAAGAATTGTTTATTTCAAACCTAAAAAATAAGCATGTTTTAACAATGTATTGTTATATTTAATTATGAACAATGTTTGATTTTATAAAGGTTCTTACTTGCTGGTAGAAGCAGAAAATGAGGGGTCTAGTGATCAGAATAAAACAATCATTGCTTCTGAAAAATAAAATAACCGTTTGGTTACAAAGATTTGTTGTTTCACTTTCCACGCGTCGATTTTGTTTACCGGCGAAAATGCTTGGTTTGGGTTCCGGAGTGTGATTTGATTTAAGACGACATTTTACGGAGAAAGATTGGGTTTTGGTCTACAACCCTATACTTGAAGAGAAACATCCCCGATGTAACAAAAACAATAAAACATGTATCTGATCAATTTTGTAGATCTGGAGGCGGAAGATATCAGCCTTGAAATGAAACCACAATTTTAAGTTAATCTGTTGTCTTACTTACCAAGTATTCCCAGTACTGTTTCGAATCGGATATTTAAATTTTGGACAGCTTGAAATTAAGTCTATACAGTCCCTTTAAACTAACATTATATAAAAAAATAAAGCAAGATAACTGTAGAGTTTACTGAACTTCAGCTGATGGATACTCTTCCTTCAATATCTAGGAGACGGAGAGGATTATTTAATAAACCAGGAATGTATTAACCTTTCCCCCCCTAATCCCACTCCCCCCTCATCCTTCTCCCCCCCTCTCCTCTGTAAAAAATTCTGCTATTAACTAATTTGTTGTTTCTCAAAAGAAATTATAGATGCATTAAATGGTAGAATCAATTATTTCTTGATAATCATTATCTTCAATTTTATCATTCCTATAAATTTTTTACATATATTTCTCTCTATAAAACTGTATTCTCAGTTCAAATACAGGGTTACCCATAAAGGATAAAACTGTGATGACGATCCCGAGTTGTAATTAAGTCTTCTTTCTTAAATGTAGTCTTTAAATGGTTTTTGATGATTAGAAAAGGAAGAAAGAGTTAATAGTACCATGAATATTAGAAAATACAGTATAAATTTCATCCAGTCGTTCAGAGATGGGCATCGTTTAAAAAACTATTGTTTTAGTATCGTTGATTTTCAAAGCTAACTAATATTCGTTTTTAGAAAAAACTAATTGTTAAAGCTAACAAAGTGTTAGTTTTAAGCTTTTGTAAACGTAAAACGAAAGGGCATAACTAAAGTTTTAAGCAAAAACTGTCCTTTTTGTTTAAATCTTATTTAAACAAATTTTCTCCTTCGAACCAGGTTTGTAGATTAAAACTTTTATTTGTCATTAATGTATGCTTTATTTGTCGTTCTTATTTCTAAACGATCGTTTTCATTCCAAAACGATCATTTTTCATTTTTGAAAACAATCGTTCAGAAAACGACCGGTCTGTTTTTTCTTCTTACAAACTATCACAACTTAGTTTCATCTCTTTCAAAAACGATAGTTTTCAAAAACGTCAAAACTATCGTTTCGTTTTCAGAATTTTTTTAACGTTAACAAAACGAAACAAACGTTTTTAATGAAGTCCAAACTGCTTATCCTTACGTCGTCTCTGAAGTCTAATCCTTTGTGTGCAACCCTGTACTTACTTAGCCAGTCATTACAGTAAGGTAATATTTAGAAATCCATTAAAGCCTTTATTTTTAATGCAATTGGGGTATTTGATAGTTATACATCTGTCAGGATCTCTTTCTCTTCTTATCAAGCAAGATCCTTATCAACTGCATTGTGATATCTGCAACATTGTGTTCGACTGTAGAGCAACATTTAAAGACCACGTCAACAATCACGAGAAAGAAAGTCGAGAATGTGATATTTGTAACAAAGTGTTTAAAAAAGTGAGTAGTTTAAAACTACACAGACTAACACATGTCCGCCCGTTTAAATGTGATCAGTGTGATTCAGCCTTTGGGAGAAAATCAAACCTCATAGCTCATGAAAGGTAAGGGATAAATCAAAAGATGAGAAGGTTATAAGCCATAGCAAGCCACATTTAAACTTCCGAATGTTAAGAGCCGCAACTATTTCCTCTCATTGCAAACCATTTTATAGTTTTCCGGTTTGGTTTACATATATTTATTGAATTCAATTTGCTATTTTAAATAAACTGTTTGTAGACTAAAATGTGAATGTAAAATATAAAAAGATGCACTGTAGCCCAGTATATTAGTTACTGACAATAATTCTTTTGATGTCAATTGTTCAATTTGTTATTGTTTAGCACTATAACATTCAGCTATTTTTTCTGGAATGAAATTAAAATGCCGGAAGATCAGAATCTTGTAGCAAGAAAGAACGAATTGTTGTTGCTCATGGCTTGTATAAAACGAAGAAGGTCTCATGTGAGATTGAAGGAATAATATATATATATACAATATGTATATATTATAGAATAATAATACAATTAGTTGGCATTTCTGATTCACAAGTTTTCAACAGTACCCTATAAACCTTTCAACAGTACCCTATAAACCTTTCAACAGTACCCTATAAACCTTTCAACAGTACCCTATAAACCTTTCAACAGTACCCTATAAACCTTTCAACAGTACCCTATAAACCTTTCAACAGTACCCTATAAACCTTTCAACAGTACCCTATAAACCTTTTTCTTAGCAAAAATGAATTAGAATTCCTTAGTATTCTAGCTTAAAATTGATTTTAATTCTTTTTGGCTTTTTTAAAAATTAATCGCGAATATTTCCTGTAGAAACAATGGAGGAAATTGTTAGAATCAACCAATTTTGAGGATAAACCGGCTTTATCTTCCTCATTATTATTCAGATGAATATTTAAAGGGTTCCGTTGGGGTCCCTTCAACTTTTAATTATGTCAACAGATGCTTTCAGCATTAACCCATTAGTGACGAGACAAAAAAATTTTTCTGATCTTGCTGAAAAATACAGGGTTAACTCATTATAGTGTCCATAGAGTAGATCTAAAGTTTCAATTTTTTTCAATAAAGGGTTGTGGAAAGGTTTATTGAGTCGTCAGTCAATCGTCTTTCAATCGTTTTTTTCAATAATTTTGGTCGATTTCTTTATATTTCCAGAATTAGACTTAAATCTTAATTTAACTATTCATATTGATTCTATGATTCTATTCTATGTTGCTCAGCGCTTGCCGATATAATAGTTCTAACCTCCGGACTACATAATTTGACTTGTTACGATTCTAGTTTAAGGGACTGTTAGCGTAATTTCAAGTGACCCTTCATGCATAAAATGGTCTGGCCCGATTCCCAGACCATTTTTATAACTGTTTAGTTCTGATAATAAATATATTTGTTCCTGGCAAAGACACCACAATTTAGAATAATTAGTGTTCTAAATTATAAACATTAAAATCTAACGCATACTTGACCTGACAAGGCCCTTTATGTTAGGGATCTGGCATTGCCATCTTTGCGCGTGGAGGGTCACTATAAATACTCTTAACAGTCCCTTTAAACAAACTAAACAATAGCAATTTGAATTTGAACGCTTTTCAATGGTTTCTAAATTTCATTGTTGTAGAATGCATAAAGGAGAGAGACCCTTTGTTTGTGATCTATGCGGAAAGGATTTCCCAATACATTCCAGTCTTTTAACTCATCATAAACAGTCACATTCTGTTAAACAATGGTAAGTCATATTATATACTAGCCGAAGTACACGGCGTAGTCCGTGGAAAAAAATTTAGACTTTAAAAAAAATATTTGATTTTGAAAAAAATAAGATTTTTGAGAGAAATAAAAATCGATTATAAAAAATCGATTTTTTTAGCCCATGTTACCCTTAGGGTACCTATGAGTTCCCTCAAAAAAATCAGCTCGTTCGGTGCAGCCATAGGTAACATATATCATGAGCTTAATAATATAGATATATACAGAAAATTTATGATAAAACATTCTAGTCTTTTAACTCATTATACAGTCACATTCTGTTAAATTAAACGATGGTAATTACAAAGTAATATCTATATAATAAAGCTCTTCGCTCGTATAACAGAATGGGTTAAAATTTTTTTAGGACATTTGAGGTAACAAAGGCAAAAAAAAACATTTTTTTTCAAAATCAAAATTATTTTTTTTAATCGAAAAAAAATTAAATTGAATTTTTTTTTTAAAATTCGAAATAAACTATTTTTACGGTCAATGATAGGATTTTCAGCTGTTTATTACATATATTTGCAGCAGTACACAATATTTTCCTGTCTTTTAGCTCATCACATCCTGTTTTACTACTGTAATTAATATTATATTTCTGCAGTGAAAAAAAACTTTTGTCATGTCATTTTAGATAATAAATTATGGATTTCTCTGTTTAAAAAAATTTCCAAAATTTTCCCCATCCAAATAAAAAACCATGGTTTCTCTGTAATGTAATGTAACTTATATAATCAGTAATGCAGCAATAGACCTTTTATTTATGTTCAATCTTTTTTAATTTGTTCTTAAAAATGTGTGCAGGCCCTGTGATCTCTGCAAAAGTGTATTAGTGTCTAAATCTCAGCTGGCAATTCACAGAAGAAGTCATACCAAAGAGAAACCTTGGATCTGCGATACCTGCGGGTAATTTGAAACTTAATATTTGAATTTATATATATACACATTGTCTGTCTGTTCGTTTGTTTAATTGTTTGTATCCAATAAACGTCGTAACGGCTGAACCGAACTTGCCAAAATTTAGTGGGGAACCTCACATATACAAAGAGAAAATCAAGTTGTTTATAAATGAAATAGAAGATGGTCGCTTTAGCCTAGAAACATATGATCAATAATGAGTCATGTTGGTCGTCATGCAAGAGTTCTGGGGAAAAAATATGCATTCTGGTTTAAAAACGACTACATTTATTCCTTGCTGGTTGAATTTACTATACTATGTCAAGATAACAATAGTTAAATTATGACAAAAAAATATTGAAATGGTCATGGAGCAAAACATAGTTGAAATAAGAACAAACGATTAGCTGACCACTGTCGTCTTCGTTAAACCAGTGCGGATTTCTGGTCTTATCATCCTGCAGTGTGTGGTACAAGTTAAATTAGGCATTGAAGTGACACAAAAAAGGTGAACAAAGATAAATTAAGAAAAAAGTTTGAAGTCATAATCGCTAGATCGCCGGAATGAGAGGTTTAAAAACTCAATATTAAAGAAGAACTGTTTTTCATGATCAAAACTTGGAGCGGAAACAAATCCATACATTTTGATTTGATTTGATTTTGTTTGGTTTGGTTTGGTTTTGTTTGGTTTGGTTTGGGTTAGATGGATATTTAATGTATTTGTTTGTAGTAAAGGATTCTCTACAAAGCAGAATATGATGGATCATACCAGACTTCACAATGATGTCATGGGTTTCCAGTGTGTTAAGTGTGGGCTGCAGTTTAAGTGGAAGGCGTCGTTAGGTAACTACTACATTAATTTGCTCAAGAAGGATTCAAAATTCTAGGATTTTATTCCAAAAAACTTCATTTTAACATTTATGATTAAATGGGAGGGGAGGTGGAGGGGAGGAATGAATGATATGTTTTTTTAACTATGTTTCTTTTTCTCCGAAGCTGAGTGGATTATTTCACTAAATTGTTTCCCTGAAAATTAAAGATGAATATTTTATTATTTGGAACTGTTATTAGAAAAACATATTCTGAGTTCTGAAATTATGTGTTTGATACAAATAATTCCGATTGTATGATCTCGATATCCATTGTTGGCACTTTATTTGAGGCTCTAAGCTTAATCTCTTATTCCCCCCCTTCTTAAAGCTCCCGCGGTTAATCTCTTACTGGGTATAATTTCCGTGCGGTATATCGAAAATAGATTAAATTAATCTACAGATTAACAAAAGATCGAGATCAAGCATTGATACAAGTATTTTGCTTGCGTTAACATCTGAGAAGTATCAGAAAGGATAAAAAACTTATTTCCCATGGAATATAATTCTTAGGCAGACGCTGAACTCCAACCTTCGAGTGTGCGAGGTGGAAAAGACTTCACTGCCGCGCTTAATTAAAAGCATGATTAAGGGAGGATGACATTTGTAGATCGAGATTGAATCCTAGCCGCAGCGCTCGGCCCAGAAAGTGTCATAACTTAACCTAACCCGTGGCCGCAGCGCTCGGACCCCTAGCCTGTCCTAGCCGCAGCGCTCGGCCCAGAAAGTGTCTTAACTTACCTTGCCCTTAAAAAATACTAATTTAATTGAAAATTGTTGAAAAAGTGGCCATGTGCAAAAGTAAAATCTGAAGTGAAGTCTTCCCTACCTCGCACACTCGAAGGTCGGAGTTCAGCGTCTGTCTAATTCTTAGTATTAGTATTAGTTAATAATAATAATAATGGAAGATAATTAGATTTGATTAAATTATTTGTGTATTCAGTGCGCCATTTGATGGATCATACAGGAGAGCGTCCTTACCCTTGCTCACAGTGCAATATGGGGTTTAAGACAGCTAACAGCTTGAAGAAACACGGTCTGTCTGTACACAGCGAGATTAAACAGTACAGCTGTCAACACTGTCTGGCAAGGTGAGATATACTTTGAAATTAAATAAACTCAGGTTATCCTCAGCTTCTCATAAATGTTAATTACATTTTATAATTTTCAAAAATGTGAAACTTTTGGTTTTGTATTATGCATATTATTAGGTTTAGTACTAGCTCCGGGGTTTACAGACACCAGAAGAAAAATAGATGTTCAGCTCTTGCGGTATTTATTTATTTTTTTATTATTACAAAGTTAATATCTATCATATACATAATTCATAACTTAAACTTTTACAAGAAGTCGAGAGAAAATAGTTAATTGCATCCAACGTAATTTTTAAATTAAATTTCAAATTATCCAGCAAGAATTATTTATTTTAAAATTTTCATTTTTAATGATATTAAGAGAAAACCTTATTGACAAAAAAGTATTTGGTGATTCTATAATTTATTGTTTAATGGCAGATAAAGATTAGTTATGATTTTATTTGGATTTTATTGATTTTATTTATATGGTTTTATGTTTTATGTTTCATAGTTGTATTTGTTATGATTTGATTTCATATGATTTCATTTCATTTGTTTATATTCCAATCGATTAGATTCAATTCGATTACGTTCGATTTGATTTCAATCTTGATTTTATTTGATTTGATTTGATTTGATTTGATTTGATTTGATTTGATTTGATTTGATTTGATTTGATTTGATTTGATTTGATTTGATTTGATTTGATTTGATTTGATTTGTTCTTAAACCTAGGTAAGCGAGGAGGTATCTAGATCCGAAACAAGGCTTGAGAATAAATCTCAAGGACTAGAAAAATCTGGGAAAGAATTCATCTCGCTCTTGATACACAATCATTCAACAGATGATATTGATAGGAATAAATTTTATCTGTTATACATAACTTTATTTCATTGACAAGTGAGCAATATTAAAAGCAGAAATGCTTTTTTTTTAAAGAAAAGAGTTGTTTTGAAAGTTTAAGTAAGAAATGTCTCCTGAAAAATTTCGTATAAATCCTTTTAAATATTTTAATGAATATTGGACAAAATTTGTTTAAACAGTGCCAAGGTGAGTGTCTCTATTCCACTATCTCAAACTCAGGTAAAAAAAATTGAACAGTAAGTTATTGAAACAATTAAAAAAAGATTTGCAACCTTTTGAAGCATATTTCATTTCATTAGGTTTTATTAAGATTTCTTTAATATTTAATATTATTGGTTTGTCGTGTATTTCTTTTTTAAGAATGACAATTGTATCCGACAAAAAGAGAAAGATTTTATGTTTCTACTTTTTTTCCAAAACAACTTTTCTAGTGTTGAATGTTAAAATATTTAGGTGACATGGATCTGACCTTGGAAGACAAAAAATTAGAAAATAAATTGGAATCATTAGTCAACAGTGGAAACCATCAATGGAGAGCTTTTCAGAGTAAACCTGAAGAACACTGAGGGCATATGTATTTATATATAGTTATATATATCATTTTTTGACAAGTTCGTTTTTTGGCTAAGTTCTCATTATGAAAAATAAATGTCCATGGAAGGTATGCTGTACGGTTAAATGAGCAAAAATATAGCGTCTGTTGGAATTCAATAATAGTTCGTTGCACAAAGTTACTTTCTGGTAAGAAATAAATTTCCTAATTGTATTAGGAAGGCTGGTCTCGATATATATATAATGATATCAGGAAGGTTTAAATTATGTTAAAAGCTGTGATGCCAAAAGTGTCTTCTCGGATTTTTATATTTGATTATACTACAGTGAAACCCTTAATAACGAATACATTAAAAGAATTCATTAAATGTCGTATTCTTCACTCTCTGATAATGGAATGTTGCAGATATTTAGTTCTTTAATTAATTGATTATATGGAAATCTTTAAAACTGTTCCCGCATATTCATGGCTATTTTTATATTTTCGCAAATACTGAAACTTACGTAATATATTATAAAACTCGTTGAAAAATTGTCAAGAAGACATTTGATAAATTCTTCCGATGAATTCGTTTTTAAAAGTTTCACTGTAAATATTGTTAAATTTAAATTGTGATATATTTGTTCCATGTTTTGTAGAGTTTTTACTGAAAAGAAGATAAAAACTTTGGATATTTTGCTTGGTAACTTGTGGGCGTAAATAGAGAGAAATAAACAATTCTTTCTGGTGACGAGTACAAAAAGTTTAGACTATTAGACAGTTCAAATCTTAAAATAACTACTGTAAAATCCATACTTCTTCAAATTTGAGAATTTGTCTGTTAAAAGTTTAAATTATTCCGTTTTAGAAGTGTTAAAAGAAATTATTAAATTATTATAATACAGTTAAAAATGCAGAAAGATTTATTTTAGAACTTTTAGATTTACAAAATTTATCAGTTACAAATTACAGAAGTCTTGGTGACAATTCAAATAAAAGAATTATACAACAATTAAAAGATGAATTTGATATTTTCAATATTTTGTGAAACTTCAGTATATAAAACTTATATATCCATAACTGGTGTACACTAGTTTGGATAAGTTTTATAATTTTTAATTTAAACTCTGTCATCTGAGTAGTTTACTGAAGTTTCACAAAATATTGAAAATATCACATTCATCATTTATTTGTTGTATAAACATGGGAATTCAGGGACGAATTTGATATCGTCTTTGTTATGGATTAGCATTGCAATAGCTAATTTCAAAAGAAATAATATTATATTATATCTGCTTTAAGAGTTTATTTTATGAAAACGGTAAAGGGCTGTAAAGATGTGTCTATGATGTGAAGACGGACAAGTTTACATTGTTTGAATACTGTCAATTTCTTGTTTTACTAATTACAACTTTATGCAGTCAAAACATAAACAATCAAATTGTAAACATAGCAGACAAAAAGCTTACATTTTACAGCTTTCACAGTAGGTATCCCTATACTTTCTCAAAGAATTTTTTGAAAAGACGATATCGAATTTGTCACTGAATTCCTATGTTTACTGGAACACTCTGTATAAGTATCGTTTTTGTGAACAAAGGAAATTTGTTGTTAAAGATGGCGTCGTTTATAAAAATTAGCAAAGAATTAGATCGATATCAGAGAGAAAAAAATTATCGTTTTGTTACACGAGCGAAGAAAAATAACGCTGTAAGTCGTTGACATTTTTTGGATAAAATCAGAAGTTCAGAACGTTAATGAATGATTTCTAATTCGCTTGAACGTACTTGAAAGAAACAATTTTTTTAATAAACCAACGTTCTAACTGCAAAATCGATTTGATTTAATGATCGTTTAAATAGAAAACGAACGAAATAGATGAAAAATTAACAGTAAATCTGGAAACGAACGAATTCTAGTGTTTTCTGAACAACTGGTTAAAATTGCCGAACATGCCCATCTCTATCGAGAACTGTGCCAAAATCATGATACTGATTAATATATTATTATAGGTTTCTTGTCTGTTGGTAGATCAGAAGATCACTCTTTCTTCGTCTGAAATTAGAATAGATTAATGGACGCTAAAATTGGAATAGATTACAGTAAACATGACAGTTAAAGTACGATTTAAATATAATCTTGGATCGTTAAAATAATATTCGGCCTAACACTAAACTCTTACGTCATTTGCTCTTTGGCATAAACATAATAGTAGAACAGACAACATTTGTCCGTAAATAGAGCACGATGTAAGATGTAAGTTGCGAAAGTTGCTCAAGAATCAAATTACAACTGTCACTCTGTGTCGGTGTCTAACTTAGTTCCTTAGATATTCTAACTGCAGTGCTCGGGCACCCTGTACAGCCTACACTATGGCGCCTAAAAACGACTAATCTAACGTTAAAAGATTTATAATGTGCGATCCTCCATTAAAGATCGGCATACCCCGATTCACAACCGTAAAACATAATCCAACGCTAAACCTTAATCCAAACAATTATATGAAAGATAACGTTTTAAAATTCAGATTCTCCATGAAGGGTCGACACAAGTCACTTCTCCAGAGAAACCACAAATGAAAATTAACAGTTTTCAAAATAAAAAATTGGATTTCATCAAAAATTAAGCTTTTAAAAGGTACCGTTGTGAATCAGATACCACTTTAAAAATTAAGGCTTTCTAAAAATTATTTAACAGTCACTTTAATTATTTAACAGTCCGGTAAATATTTTTTCAAAAAAAAATTGAAAGCTTAAAGTCAAAATTAAAGCCTCAGCAGTGAAAGAGATAAGTACGAAACACTTATTTACTATTCACGTGTTAAAATTAAACCTAGCTTCATTCAACTAAATAGTTCAATGGAACTCCTCCTCGAGTTAAGCTTTTTCTTGAAATTTTAAATTCAAGGCTTTCATCAATATCATTAAGTTGAAAGAAATGGTGCTAGACGCCTGGAATGAAACCCTGCATAAAAAAGCTTAATTATTTTAATTCCATTCGTGTTTTTAAAGGGACTGTGTAAAAGTAATTTATAGTGGTCTTTATATAAAAATGTGTATCCCCAATTCACAACTGTGTTACAGTACCCTTAAAACAATAAGGTAACGTTGATTTTTTAGTGTTAATTTCTGTGAATTTTTCCATTGTTTCTTAAAACAAGTAATGCAAAAGTCAAAAATAAAAATAACGGCTTAATTAAACGAAAACATGCTTATCTGGTTCATACTTGAACACACAAAGCTTTTAAGGTTAATGTTGTAAAGCGGGCATTGACATCTTTAAATGGAGGGCACCTTAAAATTACATACAGTCCCTTTAAGTAAAATTGGATATACAGTGATAACCAGAAAACTTTGAAATATACAGACAACTTTTAGAATCAAGTTATAACTTTAAAAAGTCCAATGAGCTTTAGACACAGCAATTGTGCAGTGTAAACAGAGACCACAATCTTAATAATTGATTTTTTAAGTAACTAGTAAAACCGTTTGCTTTGTAACAACATAAAGTATACACAAGTATTGCTATTATGTCGTCTTCCCATTCTACAGTTTTCTGGTTCTCACTTTTTTTAACCACGTTTTTATCACAAGTTGACGTTTCAACTTAATCTCAAAGTGTGTTCAACTAAATCTGATTAAATAGGATTACTTTCAACAGCATACGTGTCAACTTGTCAAATCAGTGCATAACTGTACAGTATTGATGTTATAATGATTTATACTCTCAAATTACCCCGAATTAAATGCCCTTCTCAATTCGAATTCGGCTTCAAAACGGAAAGGGTTTCCAATTTTTTTCTGGATTTATTTTTTTCCGTATTTTTCACTGAAGCTGAAAAAATTAAATTAATGGCGGAACCTGTTAACTTAATCTAACCCTAAGATGCAGCTACATAGAGCTAGGTGTGGCTAGGTGAGGCTAGGTGTGGCTTGGTGTGGCTAGATGTAGCTCTAGGTGAGGCTAGGTGTGGCAGAAAAAAATCATACTTTTGGTTGGATATATTATATATAACTTATCTACAATATTTTGACGGAAAATAATGTATCTAAAATTTTTTCAAAAATATTCCGATATGCGCTGCTAAAAATTACAAATTGACTTTTTTCTCTCCCTAGAGTTCTTCATAAATTGGAGTATTAAATTTATATTTTTTAAATCACCTTGAATTTTTCCATTTCACAGATCATTACCCTTGTGCATTCAATTAAAGGCAACCTTCTATAGTTTCTTTATTTTAAACTTTATATTATATTTTTTTAAATTGTAATTCATATTTTTTATATGAAGCAGTGTTCTTGTAGAAAAAATGACACAAATTTATAGACGCTAGATTAATAAAGTTACTTGCTCTCTTACTGAATTAGTTTAGTTTGAACATACAAACTTAATCATGAAATAAGTTACTTACTTTGGTCCAATTAATATACAGTCGTCGCCGTTTATATTTATATAATGAAGACGACTTTATATGTTTATTTTAATCTTTCAAACAACAGAGTCACATAAAATGTAAACAAAGAGAAGTTTTTAAATAGCAGCTTCTAAATTTGTTTACTTGTAAACTTATAATGTGTAAAATGCGTGTTAGGGATCAATTAGCATTATTTTTTAAGTTGCTTCATTGAATTGATAAGATCGCCGACCAGTGTAGTAATTAAGTTATTTACTTACTTTGGCCACATATCGGCAGGCTTTTCACTCTCAGCTATCATCTCAGAATTCTTAAATTTGAAACATATTTTTTATTGCGTCCAGATGAAATATTTTAAACCTTTTAAAATGTTTGTAAAATTACTGGTTTCTTTCATTTGGTACTAGAAAATAATAGGGGTACAAAGTTTTGAGTAAATTGGGGTGTTTATAACCAAAACCTTGTGGTTTTATAGCTTTTATTTGTTTCTGAAGCTTGGTTCATAATAAAGGTGCAAAAACGTAACGCATAACTAATTTTAATTTGCGTATAATCAAAATATAGGGAAAAGACTTTTATTCTTTAAAGATTATTTTTAACCCTATTCCTGCTGTAGTCTTTTTTTTTCAAAAGTATTGTTCTGAGGCTGTTGAAATTTTCTGACTTTTCCTAAATACCCGTAGTCCTTCAGGTTTAAAACCGGGCTTTTATACATACTACCCGAGTTCTCTGGCACAGTACCTGAATGACTGCTCTTTTCTGTAACAAACTAAATCTTTGTTTTGACCCACTTTCAGTTGTCAGATTTGAATAATTTTTAGCTTTTTTGGAAAGCCTATGACATAAGGAAACGGATTACACAAGTTGTTCAAAGACATTTTTGCAAACTATTCGCATACAACCCGTCAAAAGAAATTTGCACATTTTTCGTCTTTTTTAATTAGACATAAGGTTATTTAAAATTTTGCAAATATTTTTGCATATTTGAAATGGGATGGTCAAGGGCTTTTCAAAAATGTATATTTTATTACTTGTGTTGTAAAAGCAAAGCTCAGGAGCTTTCCAATGATTTATCATTTGTCATATTTGGGTATCAAACATGGTTAAGTACTCCAGCAGGGATAGGGTTAAGGTTTGAACAAATATTGTCTCTTCTCCCCATTCTTTTCCATATTACATGGGTATTGGGTATATATTTTCTTGAAAAATAATTCCCCCACTTTTTGGAAACCTTTTTTTTTAGGGGTATAAATAGGTTTTTAGGTAAGAAGTATAAAAAGGGGTAATAAAGCTTGCATTTGATATTTACATATTAATTTTTTTCGCAAACCTTCAAGATCATTAACCTTCCACCCTCTCTTTTTTTTAAAATGCANTAATAATAACAAAAATAAGTTAATTCTTATAATTAACAAAATATTGTTAAAAAGATCAAAATATAATTCCCATGAAATATACGAACCTTTCAGTTGTAAAGGGATTGTTCACTTTTCTAAAATTACACAAACACAAAAACTCGAGTTTAGAATTTTAAAAAGCAGCTAAAATCATTGATGAGGAAAAGATTGAATACTTTGTCAAAAAATTATCCAGTAAAGTTGTATTGTGAATTTGGTTTATTTTTAGTTCCTAATAAGTGAACAATCTCTTTTGTGCGTAGATAAGTAATTGCTTCTTTGTACATTCAGCTCACCTTAATAGGAATCATCTTTTCATCCCATTCAACAGATTTATTTCTCCTGAAAACAAAACACTAATTATTATATGGACAGCTGCAGGTAGTAACTAGTAAGAATAATATAATTAAAGTCTTTTCAGGGTTTAATTAACATGTCAATCCAGAGCATCAGGGCTAGGGCTGGGAAATGTTCCGTTAACGAAACGAAGGTTTTAGAAAATTAACGGAAGAGTCTGTTAACGAACGGCAAAACCCTCTAACAGCTACCTAAGATTTTATTTAAAAAACGGTTGGAACTAACCGTTAAAGAAACGGCTTGAAAACGTTGGAACATAACCAAGCTCTAAACATTGCTGGGTACGTTAGTACGTTTGTCTGTTTTTAAAGGGTTGCTTGAATTAATGTAACGCTCGTTTTAAACCGTTACTTGAATTAACGTTCTCTACAGTCGTAAATTAAGATATAAATATTTTGTAACTTCCTTCTGATCACAATCATATCTTTAAACTTACTTTCAATAAGAAAACTTTGCCTAGCACTAACAAGAGTAAGGAAGGACATCTGAATCCCTCCAGTGGAATGTAAATCATCCCGCGTAAAGTTTTAATAGTAAAAGGCATTTTTTGAAACCCCTCCAGTGAAAATAAAATCCCTCCGGTAGAATCGAAATTTTACTGCGAACTTCTTTGAGTCATAATTTCGTTGTTAATAAAAAGATCCTTTTATTCTTGTTAAAGTAAAAACTTAATCTCTAATTGCAACGGTGTTAGGTGCTTTCCCAGGGCATTTTCCCAAGAGCAACTTCCCACCCAAGTGACAATTTCCCAAGTGACAACTTCCCAAATGTGCAATTTTCCAAGCGGTAACTTCCCAAATGTACATTTTCCCAAATGACAATTTCCCAAGTGGCAACTTTCCCATGAAGGGAAACGCCATTTATCCCATGAAGGAAGTATTAAATATACATTTAAGTTTAACATTTTTGAAAGAAATGTTCAATCTTTTTTGGAAAATACGCAACTTAAAAAAAATTCTTTCTATTTCTCTCAGTTAGTTAAGGAAAGAATATGTTGGCGGCCTACGACCTTTATTTAAAGGGTAAAATTGTATTAAACGATCCTTATTATTATTTAAGGTAAGTAAAGCCTTCTGAAGCTATGTAGGATGGGCTAGTGGACCGAGCGCTGCAGATATTACTTGTTTTAAAGAAAATATAGTGCATTATTTAAGGTTAGGTTAGGCGTCTCTGGCTACAATGGTGGCCGAGCGCTGCTGCTAGAATGGGCTAAGGGGCCGAGCGCTGCGGCTAGGATGGGCTGATGATAAAATAATTGATTTGAATATTTTCTGTTATATTGCTGTTGCTTGTATTCCTTGAAATCCGGCCATTTTTCAAGTAATAAAGCTTTAATCCTGAAGCCCTATACAGTATTAATTCTATTTTCTATTTTCAGGTTAAATATCTTTCCCACAAACATGCTTCATCAAAATATGAAATTAAATATTTTTTTAAAGGAGATTTTTTTCAAAATCTGTTTTGAAAATTCTCAAAAATTGTTTCACTTTTTTTAAGTCTGAGGACCAGTCCCCCTTGAACACCTAGGGCTGTTCTTAACAAACCACAACCAAGGCAGGGACTTCAAACGAGTTAAAGCGTAGTCAGGATTTCAGTGCAGTTCGGGAATAATTTAAACATTTGGAGCCTTAAATAGACTTTACTTGATCACCTTATAACTACAACTTTGGAACTTTGAAGTTTATTATCTGAATAAATATTGATGATTATCTACTGATAAGATTAAATGATAAAAAGATTCTTTAGTGCATAAATCTTGGAAGAGAAAAAAGTATTTAAAAGTTAGAATAGCGCTTTTTCGGCGTTTTTTTTTATTTCCGTGAAAATTATAGCTTCTTGCTTGAAATTATAAAATATATGATATATAAAATAGAAGAAAATGTTTTAAGAATACAGGGTTGAAATGTTAGAAGTTGACGGTATTTGTGTCATGTGTGGTGAAATGAAACCAAGGCATATATATGCCATCATTACTTGTTCGTAAAACTAAACATAGCATTAATTTGTCAATCTACAATCATTAGTTCTCTCCATTACTATCGATCTTTTTTCAATCAACTTTTTATATTAAAATAACTTTTAAAAGAAAATCTCCAGTTTCTACCGTTAATCCTTATCGAAGGAACCGTTTAGTCAAAGAAAAAAATTCATTACTGAAAATTTGGTAACGGTTCGCTATTTTAACTGACCATTAACAAACACGACAGCTTGAAAAAAGTCTGAATATGCCTAGTTTAAGTTTATAATTCCTTCTGACAACATAATTTACCTGAACTTTAACACGATAAAACAAAAATTAAACTTTTTGTTTTATTATTTATTTCGTGGTATTTCTAAATTTTTCCTGAAGCGAGTACTGCATCCACTGATGGAACACATAAATCGAATTTTTCCGTTACGTCTTTAAAGTAAACTAGATGGCTTCTTCTGAGAAACGATTGATGGCCTGCCTACATTTACATTTCACATCAGTTCACCATAGCGACTTTATCCACATCTAAGCCTAAATCTGCACTCTCCACTGAACGCTACTATATCTTCGGTCAGTGCATTACATCACTGAAGAAAGCACCAAAAGCTTAGTCGAGAGTGTCTGACAAACTATAACCAACACATAATAATCACATAGCATTCACTAGCTTTAAGGTTTATATAAAAAGGGGAGGGGAAATTGTTTCAATTTTTATGAATCTTTTTCAAAATGAAAATTGAAAGAAATTCCAGAGATTATTTCCGTACGTAAAATGTACATTAATTGTATGCACCGGAATTCCGGTGGAACTTCCGAGTCTCGCTTAAAAGGATCTGTAGATGTAATTTTAAGTCTTTCAAGTGACCCTGGCTGGGGGTGCTGGGGGGGGGGGTTAAATGCAAAATATCTTAACAAAGTTCTGGGTCATTTATTCCAGCACAATTGTTTCGACATTTTTTCTTACTTTTCATACTGAACAATCTCACAAGAAGAAGATGATCAATGTTGTGTACTGTCCCGTTGTACCGTCTATTAAAAGTCGGATATGGTATTTTAAATGAACCAGTGTTTAAAGTATACAGCCATTGGCCATATTTAGCTTACAGGAGGCAGATGAGTTAAAAAGTCTTTTTATAAAATAATATCTGAAAGACATAAATAATTTAATATAAAATTCAGATCCAGAAAAATATTCAAAAACATTCTGAAAGAATAATTTATTGAAAAATGATAGAAAAATAAATTTTTTTTTCTTGATTTAGCCATGTATATTCAAGGTCAACTATATGAAGCCATATATGCAGATATCCTCAGTTTAAATCCATATTTCATTTATCCTGCATATAATTTATTCCAATTTCAGCTTTATAAAACGTTAAAAAAGTTAATATTTAAACATTTTTAAGAAAAGTTATTTTTTCTCAAAAAATTGATGTTCTATGACTCTGTTAGTGTTACAGGCGACTAGTTGTAACTCTCAAAGACGGCCCTATTTAAGGTATTATTCAAATATTAAAATTTAGATATTTAAAGGGAGTGTTCGCGAAAATGGAAGGTCAGGCGGAATCCTTAATATTTTAAGTAAATTAAAATTTACAAAGATTGAAGGTGATAGGAAATTGTAAAATAGAACTAAGTTATATAATGAAAAGAAATGAAGAAAGATTTGCAAATTAGTGCATTCTACACAATGAACAAAACTTCTGTATAAACAGAATTGCTTTCCAGTAGTTCTTAAATCAATGAATAAAATATAAAATTTCTTAATTTCTGCGAAAAAAAATTATTATTTAATTGACATTGCCTCTGAAAAAAATGAGTCTTTGCCAAACTCGCAATTTTCTAATTCTTCTATATTTGCAACATGGTGGTTAAAACATATATTGTATTTAAAACTTATGCTATTTGATCTAACAGAGAATTCAAAGTTTGAAATATCTAATTGGACACATCACCATGGGTTGCAAATTTATTGGGATTAAAAAACCAGGGTTTGTGACAAAGACTCAATTCTTTTTAGTGTTTTCAGTGATTTCACTGTTTAGCGATTCTTCGAGAGAAATATTCAATATGGTGGTGAGACAGGGGACTATAGAATCTACAGCAACCATTGAGTCAGATTCTTTACCAGAAGAAGAAATTAATAGCCCGGTAAAATATGTAAACATTATGCTGTACGGTACATATTATACATACTCAGCATGGTACATTGTACACCATACACAGTACTGTACTGTGAAATGTGTACAGAGTAGACTGTACAAATAAGTAGTTAATTGTAATCAAAAAATGAACTTTTATGGGATTTAGGGTTAGAGCACTGACCTTTTTGCCCCCCCCCCCACTGTGTGGTTGGGGTGTTGGAAGTTGGAAAAGTATGATTTTTATGTTTAAACCATATTTTCATCTTTTTTATTGTAAAATTTATTGATTCGTTCTTTTTTTACAAAATTCTTTTTTAGCTCATGCTTACTCTTGCGATTTTCTTGACTTGTTTTTGCTATTTTAACTGACAATTTTTTTCTTCATATTTTTCAATTCAGTAAAAGAGCCGTTTTAAAACGATCAAATATTTTGACACCTTTTGTAACTACAATGAGGGAGAGAATTCACTGGAAAATCTCTCTAACCTTGAATTTTCTTATCTACTTGCTTGAGAACCCAGCGTTGCCCCGGGTAGTCACAGTTTATCCCTTCGTGTACCCGCGCGTTGTCGTAAATTACAATTTTTGCTATTTTTTTTATTCAAAAGTGAACCGACTCAATTTAAAATCTTAATACCAAGCTAAGAACATTATCAAGGTTATCCCTCGAATTCCCCAATACAAATTTGAGAAAATCGATTTAAAATTCGGTGATGGTGATGGACCAAACCTCTGTAGAGTAAAAAAGTAGATTTAAGTTCCTTCCACATTTATTGAAAATATATTTCGGTCTGGGTTGACCCACAGACATGCAGAGATTACAACTTTATGTATACAGATGAACTCTGAACAAATTACTATCCGTAAGCTCTCGATATTCTGAACAAAAAAGTTTTTTAAAACAGTGTGTTTTTGGCAAACTTTTTTTTAGATATTGTACTTTTTTTGGCTTATTACTCATTTATCTATAATTTTGTGTTTTTACTTGGCTTTCTGAGTGCTCTCACTCTTCCATTCATTCAACTAGAAACTTCTCGGTTTAAAAAAAATATATATTTTGAGGATTTTCGTAATTTATTTTTAATTTTTAATATTTAAGCTGATTGAAAAAATAGAAATTTGGAGAAATGTTTTCTTTTAACAAAATTGAAAATACATAAAAACACTTTTAAACTACAAAATGTATTTTTAAAAATGCAGTCTTGTTTAATTCACCTTACGGGCCCGTTTACTTTATTGGTTATTTTTTTTAAGTTACTGAGCTACAAACTATTAATCTAAATACACTTGATTGTACTGTTTAACTTTACTTTAATTGTTCCTGTCAGTAAAAGTTGTTTTGCCTGTAAGCGAATCCAATAAGATAAACCCATCATAAAAATCATTATGAAATCCTTCTAGCTATTTAAAAAAAAGTTTTGCACTGTAAACTTTTTGTACTTTTATAACTATTTTTAGAAGCTTTATGAGATTACATCAATATATCATGAATAATAATCTGCTCCGTTTTTTCGAAACTTTTTAGGTTTTTGAACTTTTTAAAGGTTTTACAAAATGTAATAGATGATTTAAATACGATTCCTTCGTATTTTAATAATTATGAGGAAGAGTCTGTTTAAGGTTGTCACTACTGGAAACTCTGTCGATTGGTCTGTATCTGCTAAACCTGATGTTCATCTCTTTATACCATCAACTAGTGGAGAGGAGGCCTGCCAGCTAGGACAGGATTGCCAGAACACGTAGGTTATTTTTAAAGGGATTGTTCAAATTTTTGGCAATGTTACGGAGGTACCATTTTTTAACTTACTACCTAAAATACTGAATAATTTTAGGGGGAAAGTTGTGGTCATATTGCCCCCCCCCCCCCACCTACTCAGTCGGAAATTGAAATAAAGTTAAAAGGTTATTTTGCTGTGTCCGTTTAAATTGTCCTGTGATTAGAGTCGTGCACGTTCAGGTTTTTCTTCATTTTGTTCGTTCATCTGTTGAAAACGACCCATTTCAGTAATATTTTATAATAAAAAAATTGAAATAAAAAATTTTCGCAAAATTTTGCTTTAATCTGTTTCGCGAAAAAATTAGAAGTTCGTCAAGCATTTATCAAAGTTAACGAAGATATAATTCAACTTCCAATGTTGAGCTGTCAGAGCAAATAATTCCACAAGTTTTTTTGTTGTTTGCAATTAATTGTTGCAACTACAACACTTATGGCTTTTTTCTTGTTTAGGAAGGGGATGAGAATGAAATGTACAGTTTGTAAAATTGTGACTCATGATGGATGTCATACACGAGCACAGGAACAAATACCAGGGTTTAATCAACATGTCAATCCAGAGCATCAGGGCTAGGGCTGGGAAATGTTCCGTTAACGAAACGAAGGTTTTAGAAAATTAACGGAAGAGTCTGTTAACGAACGGCAAAACCCTCTAACAGCTTCCTGAGATTTTATTTAAAAAACGATTTGAACTAACCGTTAAAGAAACGGCTTGAAAACGTTGGAACATAACCAAGCTCTAAACATTGCTGGGTACTTTAATACGTTTTTCATGTTTTTAAAGGGTTGCTTAAATAATTGTAACCGCCGATTTTAAATGTTACTTGAATTAATGTAACGCTCGTTTTAAACTGTTGCTTAACTGAATTAACGTAACACTCGTTTTAAACTGTTGCTTAACTGAATTAACGTAACACTCGCATTAAACTGATAGCTAAAATTAAAATACCACTCGTTTTAAACTGATAGCTTAACGATTATCTCTGTTTGTATTTTTTTTGGGTAATTTATAAAAAAAAGTTTTTGTTTTTTTAACGGAATTTTGGTTAGGTTTATTACAATTTCATGTAAGTTTTTTGTTCATATTTTATAAAATACGTAATTTACGAAATTCGTTATTGGTTACTTATAAACGAAAGTCGTAAATTAAGATATAAATTTACTGTAACTTCCTTCTGATGACAATCATATCTTTAAACTTACTTTCAATAAGAAAACTTTGCCTAGCACTAACAAGAGTTCACCTAAGTACGATTGAACCTCCTTATGATGAATAAAGCCTCTGTAAAGTTATTTTAAATCATCTTCCATTTATTGAGTGGCATGTTCGATTCTGAATGTTAACCTTAGATTCTTGTTTTTGTCTTTAAAAACGGATTTATTTCCTTTTCAGTTTCTTTAGTAACTACAAGCATGACTTGCGTTTTTCTTGCTTCATAAATAAAAGAGAAATGATCAGAATTAAACACTTTATAATGACGTTATCTTCCAGATTATTGATCACATTAAGAATTTAAGCGTACCGTTGTGAATTGGGTGTGTCCATCAATTATTTTTGATAGAGGTTTATTTAGCTGAAAAAGATGTTGATAGTCTGATTTTTGTTTAACAATTACGTTTGCACTGATCTTAAATTTGATAATCTAATTTTTGTTCAACAATTACGTTTGCACTGATCTTAAATTTGATAATCTAATTTTTGTTCAACAATTACGTTTGCACTGATCTTAAAGTTGATAATCTAATTTTTGTTCAACAATTACGTTAATTTTCTTCTCATCTTGGAAGATTGAAATGTTGTTTATTTAATGTGTTATTCCTTTATCCTTTGATGGAGTCTGGCCATTTTGCATTTCCCGCACTAGCTCGAGATCAACAAATATTGAATTTTCTATCTGAAGAAATTTAATATAAGTGGAATTAAGGGAATAGAAAGAATTTTCAGACTTTACGTTGATGAATTTTTATAGACGGCAAAACGAGACAGTACGCCAAATAAATATATTCACCTTCTTTTAAAGTTTATTTAAACCATTTTTGAAAATAACATGACAATGACATTATTTTCATGAGTCAGAACATTCGATTTTGATCGGGCCAAAAATTTGTGTGGTAAATTACATGACCCCAGAGATGGAATTTAAAGAATTTGAGCCGCGGTTTAAATCCGCCAAAACTCGGTTTAAATTAAGCGCCGGCTTAAATCTTGAAACATTTGATACAATTTTAAGTGGAACCAACCATATTTAAACCGCGGCTTAAATTTAAACCGNCTTCGTAGGAGAAAATTTTTGTGATGAAAGAAAGAATATTTAAATATCTTTATTTCAAATAAATCTGAATATTATGCCCAAAGCAGGGTAATTAATTCAAGAGAGATTAAACCCCATTCAAACTTTGAATTGATTATTAACCCTGAAGCATAGTTTGATAGCAGGGTGACTTAAGTTAAATGAGAAATTTCTGTTTGTTCTTGTTTTACACTGTATCATTACCTGTATAAAAGATAAATACAAGTTATGCATGAAAATTTTATTCCTGTTGAAATATTCCAATTTATAATTTCCTAGACTACTCTAATAAAATATGCCTGTCAAGTAGAATAAAAACTTTATATTTGTTAGAATTTTTCCCGAGACATAATATTTATATATGAAGTTGTAATCTCTATTTATCTGAATTTGTTTGTTTGTTTGTCCGATCATAACTCCTTGACCCCTTGACCGATTTGCCTTAAATTTTGATTGGGGAACTCGGGACAATTCCACGGAATATTCTTACTTTAGTAACTTGGGCAAGAACTAGTTTTTTTCCGTGTAATTTTGAAGATTCAGAGATGAAATCATGAAAATTTGCAGTGTCCAAGTTGAAAATGAAATGCGACGTGCTCTTGATATCTAAGTATAAGTGCAATAATAAGTAATAATAAACCTGAGTTTTAGTTAAAGCCATTTTAGGCGGGTGTCACACCTTTCAAGGCTTGATAGAAAATAATCTGCGGTTTCCCGCGCATCCATATCATGAGCAGAGTAAATGCGCAATATCTTCTGCCGCGTTGCAGTCACGTGATTTACCAGGCGCTTCTGCTTATAATCCAATTAATAAACTTTATAGTGCTTCTCTATGTTGCCGGATTAATTCTATTGTAGTCTTTAGACCAAGTTTTCATTATCTTTTTTAAATTCTTTCTCAGTCTGAATATTAAAAATTAACTAAAAACTTTCATCCCATACCATTAAAGAATTTATGCATGGTGCCCTAGATACCGAACCAACATCCTGATTTCTTGACCTTGACCGAAGACGACGTTCAATGGGACTTCAAACACTATAAATCGACACTGGAGAAACGAAAACTACTTTCATACAATTAAACCCTGAATGAGCCATACATCGAAAGAATTTATCAAATGTCATCTTGACAATTTTTTAATGGGTTTTATACTGTATTTATACTATTTTAGCTAAATCTCAGTACGTGCGAAAATAAATTAATAGCCATGAATATGCGGGAACAGTTTTAAAGAGCTCCATATAATCATTTATTTAAAAAACTAAATATCTACAACATTCCATTATCAGATAGTGAAGAATACGACATTTGATGAATTCCTTTGATGTATGGCTTATTTAGGGTTTAACTGTATCATACCTTAATCTTTTAAATTGTAGTATACAATATTTGCATAATTTTTTTCATGAATTTAACTTTTGTTATTACACAAAAAAAATTTATGTTTACCAAGGTAAGGATTTTGTGTGAAGTATCTTAAATCTTTAATAATTGTTCTCGATATCCAATGTGTGCACTTAAAAACGTAAGGATAAACCACTGGATTTCCAAGATTTACCCGTGTGTCTGCATTATATGGAAATTAATGAATTAAAAACATTTGTGTTTTTATATTTTAATCTTTTCAAAGACGGGTGGGCTGCAGCCTTCGTAGGAGAAAATTTTTGTGATGAAAGAAAGAATATTTAAATATCTTTAGTTCAAATAAATCTGAATATTATGCCCAAAGCAGGGTAATTAATTCAAGTGAGATTAAACCCCATTCAAAATTTGAATTAATTATTAACCCTGAAGCATAGTTTGATAGCAGGGTGACTTAAGTTAAATGAGAATATGCATATTGTAACAATGTAAAAAAATAAATGCACTTCTTAAAAGGGGCTGTGAGCGTACTTAGCAGAATCATTTGTCAATGTTTGTTGAATGCTCCAACAAATTGTGTTAGATAAAAAATTTTAATTTCTAAGAGTGTAATTTAAGTGACCCTCCATGCAAAGATAGGAAAGCCCGATTTACAACGGTACCATTGAACCCTTAAACTGATAAATATTGTGAGAGAAAACGTCGTTTCTCTGACTCTGAAAGTGTTCATTTCTGTAAACTTCTCTATTGTTTCTTATATGCAAGAAATGCGAAAGTACCTTTTGCAGAGAAACCAAAAATGAAAATAAACAGTTAATATGAACATAAACATTTATATAGACTTCATACTTGATCAGACAAAACTTTCAAATGAACCGTTGTAAATCGTGCGATTGGTATGACTTTGTGTCCTCGTAGATCCTCCAGGTTTGGTAAATCTGTAAATCTGAAAAGTAAATCTGTTACACAATTAGAAAGTCCAAATTTTAGATATAAAATTTCAATCGTATGTGCAATTTACTTAAGTTTGAGGTGAAATTGTATGTAAGATTGTCCATAACGAGGTGCTCTACGAGGTCACAAAGCTGTACAGGTAATGCAATATTAGTTTCGTTTAAAATCAAAATATAACTAACTTTTTTTTCAATAACATTTCCACATTGCATTTTTTCTATTGTTAGAAGGTATTTTTATAAATTGTGTAGACATTGAAATATACTTTTAAAAAATGCAGAATTGGCAATTTTCTTTTCAAAACTTGAAAGAGGAATTTAAATCTTCGTCAAACAGTGATTTCAATATTTATTGAAAAACCTCCTAAAGCTAGTTGTAAATAAAAAATCTCTGACACCCCTTAAAATCTTTATTCTATGTTGTTATGTCTAATAATAATGGGTTTTAATTGAGAAGATCAGATTTATAAAAAAACTAAGGAGTGGCTCCCGGACCTGGAAATCTAGAACTGGTCACATGAATAGAAAAGATCAATAAAATAATTAATAAAAAATAATAATAATTATGATAAAAATGCTGGACTGGTTCCTTGTAGGACTACGATTACCGTCCCTTTTTTCACATAATTTTAAATGTCGAAATTTGAAACACTTTTAGAGTGTTTCGCGTCCATCTTCTATTTCAACTTTAAATTGTGGCCCTATCTATTAGCATTTTCTCTTCGTACAATATAAAACAATAACAAAAAAGATCTCAAATTTCGCCTTATTTTTTCTTGGATTTCCAAACTTTTCCAAAATTGTTTATTTTGAGACAAATTTTTTAAATTCTGAGCATCCATAATCCTTTCTTGGGGTCATGTGAGGTCCCACAAAAATGTTGGCCCAATCGTTTCCGCCGTTTGGACGTTTATTAGAAACAGACAAACAAAGTTTATCTTCAGTTATGAAATATACTGTTTAGTGCCAAATTTTAAATTCGTTAATTCCATTTTGTTGTCATAAACATTGCTTTCAAGAAATAGAAAATCAAATTATCTTATTTCAAAAAACCTGAACTTGTCCCAGCTCTACAACTTGTCTCTGACATCATCCATATTTCCTACTTTACATAAAGCATGGTTGTGCGGGGGCCAGAACAATATTTCCAAAGCTCACATGTATCTCTACATAATTATGTAAATCTATGGAAACATCATCTTATCATGCTAAAATATAGATTTTAAATTTTTTTTACAAGATTTAAATATGCATTTACAATAAATATCATTGAATTGAAATATCAAAAATGACCCGATTGCAATCATACTTTTGAAGAAAATAGGAATTTTGAGAATTTGCCAGATACCCAGGCATTTAGGAAATTTATAAAATATTTAAAATACACCACCATCAGATTCCAGTAGGAATTGGAGGGTGGTATATTTTTAAGATTTTGGTAATTTCTCAAATGACTAGATATTTGTGGAATTTCCCAAAATTGGGAAATTGGAAATTTCCCAAGTATTTGAGAAACTTCCCAGATACCCAGGCATTTTGGAAATTACCGAAATTTCCCAAATTCCTATAGGAATTTGAGGGTGTTAAAATTTTAAGGTTTTAGAAATTTCTCAAATTACTGGATATTTATGGAATTTTCCAAAAACCTAGGCATTTTGGAAATTTCNTATGGAAATTAATGAATTAAAAACATTTGTGTTTTTATATTTTAATCTTTTCAAAGACGGGTGGGCTGCAGCCTGCGTAGGAGAAAATTTTTGTGATGAAGGAAAGAATATTTAAATATCTTTAGTTCAAATAAATCTGAATATTATGCCCAAAGCAGGGTAATTAATTCAAGTGAGATTAAACCCCATTCAAAATTTGAATTAATTATTAACCCTGAAGCATAGTTTGATAGCAGGGTGACTTAAGTTAAATGAGAATATGCATAATGTATGACGATTTAAAGAAATAAATGCACTTCTTAAAAGGGACTGTGAGCGTACTCTCTAATAAATTTCAAATTGTTATCTAAAAAAATTTGTTGGAGAAACGGCATCAGAATCATTCATCAAATTTTGTTTAATGATTCTGCTAAGGTGAATTTAATGCCGGTGCTCCAACAAATTTTGTATTGTTGTAATTCGAGCATTGCCATCTTTACATGGAGGGTCATATATTGCCATCATTACATGGATCGGGTCATATATTGCCATCTTTACATGGAGGGTCATATATTGCCATCATTACATGGAGGGTCATATATTGCCATCTTTACATGGAGGGTCATATATTGCCATCTTTACATGGAGGGTCATATATTGCCATCTTTACATGGAGGGTCATATATTGCCATCTTTACATGGAGGGTCATATATTGCCATCATTACATGGAGGGTCATATATTGCCATCTTTACATGGAGGGTCATATATTGCCATCATTACATGGAGGGTCATATATTGCCATCTTTACATGGAGGGTCATATATTGCCATC